TAAAGTGACGGTCTCATCAGATTCCGTAAATTGAGCACTGGTGCTGATTAGCTTTAGAAGGTACATGTAGCATAAAGAGGGTACCAATTGAACAACAGAACACGATAAGGACATTCAATTTCTTTAAAATCCCACCTGCGGCTGCCTCTCGTGTTTCAGACCACCAAAGCTCGTGTGAAGGCCTTCTACAACAAGCACGTCAAGCCCGTCCTGGAGGAACTGAAGGAGCTGTTTGACACCCTGTCCAGGCAGCACCAGGTCCAAGTGGAACTTCTCCTCCCTCACATGAGGCCTTTCAATGACTTGTTCCCAGTGGCAGAACCAGAGCCGGAGCGTAACAATCCACCGCAATACGTGATCGGGGTAGGTTGACAATTGGAGACTGAGGCTACGTCTGGAAAGGCCTTTACACAAGAGCATGAATGTTTAAGCCTCATGGAAGCTGCTAACCAGCCACAAGTTCCTGAATATTTCAGTCAGGAGCTGAGGTAGCCTCTGAGGTAGATCTGAGCACGAGCAAGGATTTAACGGCTTAATTGTCTTGTTTCTTGAAGGGCCAAGAGGACGTTGGTTTTTACAGCCCCGACGGTGCCATCATCCAGACGTCAGTCAACGTTCCCGGCAGGGAGGTGATTGTTGAAGCAACCGGGGACGTCCTGTACGCCCGATGGGTACGCATGACCCAGCTCAAGGTCTGGCAAGACATCGAAAAGCTCTTTCATGACACAATGGGTGAGAACACTTATGTTGTTAGGAGAGAGAATCTCTTGGACACCAAAACATAACTTGCTATGGCGTTGGTAAAGTTTTTTGCCTCGAAGGGGCCATCGTTAACTTCACAGTCAATTTTCTGTATGTAGTACTTGGTAAATTTATGGTTTTTCATTCATTGTGAACATCTGGTATGACGCAAACTTGAATGCATATGGAAACCATGTTTATGGTAAGCAGTGCTGTGTACAAGACTAGAAGTACAGACTGAATGTTAAATAAGTGCTGAGTCCTGTTTTTGCTTTGCCTCTTGGCTAGTTGTGACACCTTATTGGTCAAAGAGCCATGTTAGCCCATGGGTGTACACTCGCGCCATTGGCTGCCAATTCTTACATGCTGCAAAAGTCCATCTATTGGGGTGAGAAGAGTACTGACAGCCCATCGTTGGTCTCGTTGCCCTTAAAACGTGGCTCACTTTCTGCCATTGCAGCGGAATTTGAAGCCATCCTCGCTGAGATTGACGAGGAGTTCAAGCAGTCCAACCTGTACCTGGACGGGATGGAGCAGTGGGAGGCACTGAAGGAGCAGTTCCCCGTGGAGCAGTGGGTGGCTGAGGCGCAGGCCAAGTTCGAGGAGATCAGGGAGTCGGAGGAGATGCTGGAGTTGATCGACGCTTTGTCATCACTGAGAGCAGAGGTAGGCTGAGAGATGTGCGTGTGTCGATGATGCAATCCCAGGTCTGGCATTAGCCCCAGACCAAGCAGGAGCTCCGTTGGAGGCCCACCTTGAGGCTCAGTTTGAAGTTGAGTTCAAGGCTTAAATGGAGGTTGTCTCTGAAGTTCCCGCAGATACTGCGCTCGAGGCAGCGCTCCTCTTGAGGCACAGCTCAAGGGTTAGTTAGATGTTTGGAGTGAATCTCAGCTTGACGCTCTGTGTAAGACCCACTTAAAGGCTCGGCTCAAGGCTCTGTTTGTGGTTAAGACTGAGACTTATTGTAAGGTTCAAGATGAGCTTCCTTTTGAGGCAACCCCTGTGGACCCATTTGATGGGCAGCTTAGGGTTCAACCAGTGGCTCGGCTTAAGGCTTTGTATGGAGCTCAGTGGAGGAATGGCCAAGGGAGCTGTATTTGTTGAGGCTGTTTTGGGGTTTCTGTAAGTACCATTGTGAAAAAGTCCCAATCCTTGTAACCCTTCGGCACCGAATGCTCAAGAGTTTGTCTTGGTCCCGTTCACAGTTGACAGCCCCCGACTTAGACGCGGAGATGGCCCTGACCCGAATCCGGAATCGCATTACCCAGTCCCTGGAGGGCCTGAAGCTGGAGTTGCTGGAGTACCTGAAGACCCCCATCTACGAGGTGGTGACCTTTGACCCGGACGACGGCGACATCCTGGTCCGCGTCTACCTCCCGATCGAGGTCCACAGCCTGCTGGAATTGCCCGAGTCCTTGCGCCAGTTGCAGGTCAGGCCTGCATCTTGACCATTACTTCTGCAATCAGTTACCTGTTCACTTTTCACTTGTCTCTTAAAATAACTGAAAATTTTATTATCGGTGTGCTTATTTTTCACGGCACGTTTCATTAGTAATGAGAAGCGAGCTGGTCGGTCCGATGATTTCTTATGAACAGTGAGAAACTCTGTTCAGAGCATAAAGAAACAAAGCTGAAATAAAACATTGAAGGATTGCGGATGTCTGGGATTGCGTATAAAATTCTTCTGCACAGTCTCTTTCCATTGTAGGTGAGGGAATGCTTTTTCCCCACAAAGTGGGTTTAGCAATTTTATCAAGGCAAAAGCCTGATTTCATGATTTGTTAACAAGCTTAAACAAAATTCGTTTTGGCTCTTCTGTCATTTACTTCCGGACTCAAGGCCAGAACCAGAACTTATGTGCCAGATTAGACACAAAAGTAAACCGGATAGTTGCCCGACCCATTGACTTAAATAAAGTCACATTTGCGTCCACCAAATGCAGGTGCCGCAACAGCTGCGGGAGCTGATGGACGAGGTGCGAGAGCGCTCCAAGCACACCCTGGGTGAGATCACCCTGTGGGACGGCAGCAAGCACAGCATGTACGAGCTGATGCTGAACGAGCCCGTCCTGCTCTTCAAGGAGGGCAACTTCAGCCAGTGGTTCCAGGGGCAGGAGATCAAGGCCCGACGCCAGTTCTGGGAGGCGGTGCACCTGGGCAAGCTGTACCTTAACCCTGTTAACTGGATCCCCCCTCACCAAGGTATGTCGGGATCGTTTCCTTCCTGTTCTCACTGAACTGCTTTTCTGACGTATGAAAACAGCTCAACTATTTCTCCATATATGCCGAAATCTTCTTTTTAATCGATATTTTTAATTGAAATCTAAAAACATTACCCTAAATCTGTGATTTTTAAAAACTAGGTCAGACACTTAATTAACTTACTGATTTATTCATCTAATCGGTCCATTTAAAAAAGTAGGAGGAATCTTGATTGTGTCTTTGAATGATTAAAGAATTAAGAATATGGATTTTGAATAATTGCCCAACAAACAGTAATTTTTATCTCGTTAATGATAATTTAAAAGCTATCCATTGCCACAACTTTTTTTTCATGGCACAGATTCTACTAGAACTGAAAAAAAGAAACGAGTATACTTTGACTGCTTTATGTTGTGGTAGAAAACTTACTTGATACATGAAGTGCCGCATCCTCAAAGAATGGTCAGGTGCCCAAGTTGGAGGCATTGACCAAGGAAAAGCCAAGTGATATGCATGTAATGCATATTCATTCATAATGCATATTCATTCCTGTTGTAGCCAATGCAATGATCGTGGGCAGCAATCACTACATGACCTTTGACCGCACCTTCTACGACTTCAGCAGCAGTTGCAGCTTCCTCCTGGCCCACGACTTCATCGACGGCAACTTCACGGTGGTCGTGGATTACAACCGCGAGGGCCCCACTAGAACCAAGAGCATTGTGCTGTACATGAACTCCACCACAAGCTTTGAAATTCAAAGCGACTTCACGGTTAGACTAAAACAAAACAAATTGAGAATCAACATAGCACGTATACATGCGGAATCAATAAACTTTTGGAAACCTTGTTGTGGGAACTTCCAAACTTTCCAAAAGTAGGAAATTCAATGACTTTTTCAGGGGAATGTCAGAAATTTTTCTGACGCCATCTCATCACTGAATCAAATTTTCAGGCCTAAATCTAGTGTTGATCATTCGAAGGGAACCTTCGAAAAAATGGCTTCTGGCTCATTTTCCGGGGGGACATCAGGTCTAAGGTAACTGATAGGGGACCACCCTGTTAAAATAAAAATCTCAGGACGCTAATTTCAAAGGTGAGCAGTACTTTTTCATTGATTCTTTCAGGTGATGAAGGGCAAGCAGTTCCTGGAGCTCCCTGTGCAACATGGCCGCACCACCATCACCCGCGAGCTGAACAGCGTCCGCATCCACAACACCAACGGCATCACCATCACCTGCCAGGTGGCCTGGGACCTCTGCCGCGTCAACATCAGCGGCTGGTACTTTGGCAAGACGGCGGGCCTGTTTGGCACCTACAACTACGAGCCCCGCGACGATTTCACCAAGGCCAATGGCGACACGGCACGCCATATCGATGACTTCACCCGCAGCTGGAAGGTGGGCAGGCGCTGCTCGGCTGCCACCACTGATCAGCTGCCCGCATGTAACAGCGACCCCGAGCAGGAGGCCAACACCCTCTGCTCCGCCCACTTCTTGGACGGTACATCCAGCCTGACTCAGTGCCTTAATGTGGTAAGAAGGGTTTTTATGACATTATGTGTGTTTTCTCTCGTGATGCATCTCAAATCATTCTCAAGACCTAAGATTAAAGATGATGATTATATCATAAGATGACATGATCCTGTGATGATATATATAATAAGATCATGAAATATGACATTTTATTTGGTGGATTAAAGTGCCCTCCTTAATCTTTCAGTTGACAGATGTTATTCAAATATCATCCAATCCAATTATCAAATATAATAGGATGTTTTTATTCAATCAGACTAAAGGATTTTGGGGGGTTTTGGGGTTGTCTGAATGAGCTTGTGTGCAGAGTCAACTGTTACAGATTTCTTGGCCGACTGTTCGAAAATTAGTGAGAACTGGGTGCTTGATTCTGACAAATTTGGTGTCAAGGTTATTGCATGGCAGCAGCAGAAGAACTTCAAGAAGGCTGAAGGCAACCTAAATGTGATGCGTTATTCCAGTAATTTTGGATATCAGTGAAACATCCTGTCATAGATTCCTCAGACTGGTATTTCCTGGCTTGTTGCAAAGCCCCAGGGCATCGTCTAAATCTGGTTCTAATTTTGCCGGCTTCTTAGGTGGATCCCGCACCCTTCTATGACATGTGCATCAGCAAGGCGTGCCAGCTGTCTGCCGAGGAACGCAAGGAAGAGGCCTGCCGCTCTATCAAAGCCTACGTGGACGAGTGTAAGCGGTTGGGAGTGGGCATCAGCATGCCTGACATGTGCGGTAAGTGTCGGTCGGTTGGTTTTTAAAAAACTGAGGGGTCTTTCAAGAGGTTATAAAAGGGGTTGGAGTTGCTGTATTGGCCTCCCCAACGATCAGTCTGTGCATTTCAACTTGTGTAAATTGTAACACGAGAATTGTCGCTGATTGATTTAGCGCATGATTCATTTGGACCAATACTCATACTGTCTGAATCGACACATCAGCTAATTTTCAGCATAGCTTCAAACCACCAGGCATGCAACTTGGACTTGGGCAAAAAAACAAGAAAAATTCCAATGTATATAAGACTTTGTACAGTGCTTTGCATTTTTTAGTGGCATTAGTGTTATACTCAACTGCAATAATTAACGTTGTTTTTCCTGAATTTGGTCTTGCGTACTAAGAAGAGGTGAATTGAAGTCTGTCAGGCCTGACATTGCCTTTATACTTTGATGTTCTGTTCATCAGTGGTGTGCAACTCACCCGACGGTGAGTTCCAGCAGGGTGAAGCCAGGGAGCTAACGGAGGACATCCCAAGGTCTGCCGATGTCGTGGTGCTCGTGGAGGAGAAGCTCTGCAATCAGGACAGGCTGGACCATATCGCTGAGATAGTGGACGTCCTGGACACGGAGCTGAAGAACACTCGCCGTAAGTAGGGGAGAAAGCAAGGGCTGGAGCTAAGACGATCTAGAGCCTGTTGATTTGGGCATTTCACAAGACTCCGTGATTGGGCCGTCAGCGTTTACTCGCTACATCCAGCCGGTTTCAGATATCATTCAACATCATCATCTTCACTGCCACATTATGCCGATGAACCGCTTTACACAGCTTGGACTCTTCAATTCCTGGAGATTCCTAAAAAGCACTTGACAAAATTTTAGCCTGTTTATTGGATATCAAGCTCTGGACGTGTGCCAACAAACTACAGCTGACGGATGACAAAACTGAATCCCTCGGTGCCACTGCTCCTTGTTCTCTTTCGGACTTTTGTCAGATTGAGTTGAACTCCTCGCAGCTAAGATCTTGATGGGTTGCATTCACTCCCTCCCCCCATTCCCGGCTGTGAGATGGTATTTAAAAAAACGGCCGTCTAAGGGTTGAGCCGTCTTCTAGATTTGAAGTTTGATATTTCTTTTTTTTTTTTCATATCAGAGTTTTCTGACAACCGGTTTGGCCTGATGGGCTTCGGAGGAGAAGGGGTGTACAACCTCCCCCACGTCCACACCATCGACGGCCAGATCTTCAACGAGAAGCGGCCGCTGAGCATGCAGGGGCTGCCGGAGCTGCAGTTTGCAGAGGACGGCAGCAATGATACCTTTGCCGCCATCTTGGCCGCCGCCAACTACCCCTTCCGCGCCGGCGTGGCTAAGCACATCATCCTCCTGTCTTGCTCAAAGTGTCAGCGTCTCTACCACCTGGTGAGTTGACCCCTTTGTTTGGACCCAGGTTGGCCTCCCTTGACCTCAGCTGACATCTCATCTGACCTCCGCTCAAAGTCTGGTTCTTGTACTTGTCTGTCAGCCAACACAGGCTTTTCTGTTAGGAGGTTTAACAGTACCTGAAATAGAGTGATAAATCATCCCAGTTGCGTACTGGCAAAAGTTTTCTCCTTGGGTATTAAAAGCTAAGATACCAAATGTGCTCAGGGTGCACTGATCTTTCTATGATTAAGTCGTTGAAATGAGAATATTCATTAATCATGCGACTAAGCAATAAAATGAATGCTGAGTTAAACTTTTTTACTGGATTGAAGATTTGTTTTGAGTTATCGGTTCCTAGAGAAATTCACAGACATACACAATTGCATTTGAGAACTTCAATTTGAGAATGATTTGACAGAGAATTAGTGCCGGGGTCCAGTCCACCTCCATTGTGAAGACCAGTAATCAGCTGTAAAATTACAAGTCTGGTCCCACGTATCAGAGAACTGCATAGGGCTAGAGATCGGATGAGTTATGCAGGATGCGATATGGACTTCGACGGTACCAGACTCGACTTAAACACTGTAGCCAACCCAGAGAAATCCTTCCACTCACTCGGGCAACCCACTCGTAGTAGTTTACTCTAAAACCGTGCCCCGTGGCTTTGCGTGAACTCTTGCAGGACAAGGCCTACAAAGATGTGGCCAGGGCTGTCCTGAGACAGGGCATCCAGCTGAACCTGCTCATGGATGCCTCATTGGAGCTGGTACCAACTCGAGGCAAGAACACCTCGCCCAAGAACCAAGTCATCTACGGTAAGCCCATAAAAAACAAGGATCCTAGTCTGCTCTCACACCCTGTTCCTGATGGGAATGCATTGTGTTTCCATCAGGAACTTGCTACACCTGAGCTAGAGTGAAGTTGGGAAGATTTGGAATGAAAACTCCTGCAGGTAGTTTCAACTTCATTTAGTTAATGGATTTGTTGAACTCCCACTCCATTCCACAGGCATGGACAACCGCACGGTCTTCACCAACAAGGCCCTGAGCTCCGGCCGCCTGGTGGGCGACAAGTCCCTGCGCAAGCTGGTGAACGAGCCCATCAACCAGTGTGCCCTTCTGGCCTATGAGTCGGGCGGCGCCCTCTTCGACTCCTCCAAGATGGCCCAGAAGAAGTTTGCCGACGTCCTGACCCAGCGGATGGTGGAGGAGACCCAGCTGGAGCCTTGTCAGCTCTGCAGCTGCCGGGACAACGGCGACGGGGTGGGCCACGCCTTCTGTGAGTCCTGCCGCATAGCTGAGAAGCACCCCTGGCTCTTTGTAAGTAGATCAGGGGGGGGGAAGTTTTTTCTCCACATCTTAGCTTCATCTCCATCTTCGTCCTCGTCCTTCAGCTCCACAAATACCCTTCAAACAGTCACTGTCTAGACCAACTGGAAATTCTCCGACACTTTGCCTTTGTAAGATAGCTGGATGGTTCTGGTGCGGGAAGAGTGGCATTGTGCGTCAGGGTCTCAAATCAGGAAATGGAATTCATGAATTTGAAGCCTAAGAATGAGACATGATAAGGATGGAGAAAAACCCATAGCCACTTGTTTATTCAACAAAGGAGTTTCGTCATTCCACATGCCACAATATGATCAGAGCGCTGATAAGCTATACAAAACTGACAAAACGATTTCCCAATTTTGAACAGACAAGTGTTTCAAACCATTCATTCAAAAACTCTAACACAATTTTTATTTTTTTTTGGCAGGACGTAGAGCGCGTTGTTGCAGAGGCTCGATATTACGGCGAACTACACATGCAGTCGTTGGTGGATTACATGAACGGCCAATCTACAGAGAGTGTTGCGATGGAAAGCACATTGGTCAACAAAACCCCAAAGAAACAGCCGTAGAGAGAGAGTGAGAGAGAGGGATTGAAGATTAGATGAAAATACTGAGCTAACACGATGAGCAGGTCCCTCAGCAAAACCGAAAAAAAAAAATATTAACTAGTGAATCTGGAAGTCATCATTTTTTTACTAGATCTGTGTCACACGTCCTTTTTTCTACATTTTGGTTTTTTTTTAACAAGTTACATATGTAAAAGTAGACATGCGTAAAACAAAGAGAAAAAAATTCAAAATGTGATTGTGTCTGACAATATTCGTAATTAACCCAGAAATGTTTGGGAAAGATTCAGTATTAATTTGTTATTAATAATGACGTATGTGTTTTCTGCATTTCAATTGTTTATTGACTGATTGTACACACTTGATATTCTTATTACAAGTAGCTGATGTGTAGTGCTCGTATTTTTAGAACTTCCTTTTGTTTTTCTAAGCCTAGAGACTTCAGGCACCTCGCTTCAATCAGTTTACTGTTGAAAATATATATACCTTTGTCGTGATGCTGCCATGTTTGTCTTGTTCCCTGTAGACCCTATGGCAATAGTAATACAACTTCACATATTGATAAAAGGGAACAGACTTGTTTTCCTTCCGGCTTCATGTTTGGTTACATTGCTTTGAATGGTAGGAAACCAAGATGGCTGCACCATGATAGAGGTCTATGGACGAATTCACTACCTGCCGCTTCAGCCAAGACCATGTATCAGATATGACTGAAGTAAATTGGACCCAAGGAACTTTTGGAAAAGGCGAATTTTTGTCATGCTTAGATGTAAAAACAGGTTTTCTTTTGAGGCTACCATGTTGATCGAAGTTCCAACAGTATCTGAACAATGGTGGTTCGACATTGACATGAAAAACAAGAATTAGGTTTATTTAATGCCATTTGCTTAAAGATCTTGGGAGGGGGGGTCTTGTGGGAGTCTTTTTCACATTTACAGTATCTCCCACATAATCCATGTAGCTTGAGGAAGGTTCTACCTCTCTGGTAACAGAATTGGTCTGCAAGCATTTGTATAAAAATTGTTGGCGAATTTTTTACGTAGCCAATTTGGATATAAAGCATGAAGAATATAGTGGGTACCGGGCTCTAGGTGGTGTACGTTTTGCACAGTTCACAAAATCAATGAGATCAATTTAAGGGAAAAATGCTGCAATTACAATGCAAGTTAATTTTTTTTTTTAATCTGGCGTTTCCCCTGTTTGCTCGGAGGCGGGGTTGAAGTTGAAAGGATGAAGATTCAGCATTTCAGAACTTTCTCGCACAAATGACAGACTGGATAGCGCAAGTTATAGCTAGGTTCACAGACACACACAATTCAAATTGAGTTGAAAGTTTTAAACTGACCCTTTCTGTTTTTTACGGGATAAACCCCGCTCTCTGGCTCAAAAAATGTCTGAGAGGGATTGCAAGCTTGAGTACACCAAGATGTGCCTCACTTTTTTTTTAAATTTTGTATGATATTTGTGTGATTGTTATGTTTGATTGTCTAGATTTTCAAAAAAAGTGAGTTTACAAAAAATTTCCAGTCAGCCCTTGTGTTGGTGGTAATTTCTCCCATTATTGAAGAAAAAAAAAATCATTGATTTAAGATTGTTCTGTGGTTGATGTTTGCATTTGGAAAGTTCACACTTATGATCATGAATAAAAATACACTGCATTACTTATTAATATTGCTTGTGAATGGATCCCTATTACGTTTATTTAGTTTTGCAAGTACATTAAAAAAAAAACTGATATTTAAAATTTTACAGCAATAAAGTACAAAACATATCATCTTAAAGATAAAATTAATGTAACCCATAAATATTTGACTGTCACACTGAAGCTTTAAATACCAGAACCACATTTTTACCTCGTGCTATTTACTGTTATAACATTACGAACTGTCCATTGACTTCAGTGCAAGTATTTTCTAAACTCGGTTTAAAACTAGAAGTGCTTCACATGTCCCTTTGCAAGAAGGGGGGTTGAAGTTTGCAAGACAATGATTTAATAATTTTAAAAGGGCTGGTGGGTGGAATCTGCCCCTTCCCTCGACCTTTTCTCTAGTAAACACAGCAGTGCACTTTCCACAAGCTAGTCGAATCTTTAGGATTTTTTTTCATTAACTCTGCACAGCCATTTTGACACCAATTCTTTGAACACTGAAAATACCATTGAACATAATTGTGCAGGGCCAATTTTTCTGAGATGGGGGGGTCGGTCCAAAATGTATACTTTGCCACTGCCATGCTCGATGCATGTGGGCTGTCTCGTTTCTGCCCTTCAACTTCAAATGACCTCAATAACAAAACCATATGTCAGATTGAGTCGAAACTGTGCTATTGTACTGATGAGTGTTCTTACATTCTTGGAAAGGTTTAAAAAAACACGGCGGAAGTCGCAGCTGTCAGAGTGAGCTAACACTGACCACGAGGTGTGACAAGGCCAATCTGCCGGACTTAATTTTCAGATGTTACAACTTACAAGCAGCCCATCTTCTCACATCTTCACACAGAAACAAACAGAAACTAATTTAAACCAATGAGAATTGACCTCTGTTGACATCTGTTGCATGAACTACCTTAGCAACATGAAGACGTGGACAGATGTTAGTTAGACAGACGTGTTAGTTGAAGAAATTGGTTTTTACAACCTCCAGTACATAACACACAAACGTGTTGTGGAAATGAAGTACATTTCAGAGAAAGATTCTTGTAAGGGTTCATCACCAATTCACTTCATCTGTACACTAGTGGAATCCGGTTGGCAAGTGTGACGTTACTTCGGTTTAAACCCTGCCCACTGCACATCGAGTTACACGGAAACATGGAACCGGAAGTTAACGCCCAACTTCGGTGTTCATCCTGTTGGAGCCTGCAATCAGTGGGGTGTCAGCCTGTATGACGTTATCACTTATGAACCGGATACAGTTTCAGTTGGGAGAACACAAAACTGTCCTGGATATGCATACAGTATTTCTGTATCGGCACGTGAAATCAAAATTTATGTGCAACTGTAAAATTGTTCAAGGGTAATTCCAGAAATGAGGGGTCCAAAAGTGTGACATGTTTGTGTCCCTGTTACATCTGACCTTTGTTCACATGGAAATATCACCAGAATTGATTTCAAACTATTACTCTTTGCAGTGATGTAGTCGAGTACTTTTTGAGAACCAAGTTCTCTACATCGGCAGTTGATGGTACATGCATAAAGGTAAGATTACAAAGCAACACAATGACTTCAGTCCATCACTGTTTGATTAAAATTAACTTTTTAAGACAAAAGTACTCGGAAAGTACTCGGCCGAGTACTTTCCGAGTACTTTTCTCCTTAAAACTTAAATTTTACACAACTGGGAGTGTCTGAAGTCTAACATTTATTTTGTAATCTTACCTTTGCACATTTACTATCAAATGCCTGTGCACTCTGGCTTTATTCCCTCTTACCCAGTTCGGTATTTTGCGGAGAACATTGGTACTCGGAAAGTACTCGACTACAACACTGACTCTTTGTTTGGCGGGTAATTTGCATTTATTGGACAAGGGTTTATCCACTACGAACACAAGGCGAGGGTTCCCCTCATTTTCTCTGAATGACGCAATCTACATTCAAAATTCGCATCTTATTATGAACAGGAAAAAGCCCTTTTCAGCTTGTTATAGTTGACCTCTGAAGAAAACTGACACTGCGGTTGATTTAGATTCTTCCATATTTATTTGAACAGATAAAATCAGAGAAAACGTGTTTTCCTTGGAGTTGTTCTTTTATCAACTTAGACCTACCAAGTATGACATTTACACATATGGAAAATGCGGCATAAGGAATACGTAGCAAGTACATTTAAAATACTGTAACTATGGTAACAACATTCCGTCATACCTCCAATATTTACCAGTTTTCATACAGATCTGTTTTTCCTTAGTAAGCTCACTGGCACAATTTAAAACCAGTGTAAAAAGCAAGGGAATCCCACTGTTAGTTACGCCCTCTTTTTTTTTTGGCTAGTTCTGTGACGAATTTAGAACTGCAAGGAGTCCCACCTGTCTTTGACATAGACGGCAAGTCCTGGCTCACTTGACTTGATTTCATCAATATGTTGCTGCCGGATGTTATCGGTGTCAAAAATCCAAAGCTCTTTGAGGCCCTTGAGGGAATGGACGACCTCCATCAGTGCCTCAGGAGACACGGGGCTCCCGCCGCCTAGATCGAGGATCTTGAGCGACTTGAGGTTCTTCAGGTGCTTAAGCCCGACATCGGTGATGTTGCAGCAGGAGTGCAGCGTCAACTCCTCCAGTTTGACCAGGCTGCTGCCGATCCGGTAGAAGGCCGTGTCGCTGAGCTGCGTGCACTGCTGGAAGCGCAGCACCCGCAGCTCCGTCAGCTGCTGCACCAGGCAAGCGAAGCCCCGCTCCGTGTAGGTGCCCTCACTCTCGTCCACCACGCTGCTGCGGCATGACACCAGCTGCAGCGACTTGAGGGTCCGCAGGGTGGCCAGGTGGCCCAGGGTGTTGTTGGTGATGTGGGGGCAGAACACCTCCAGCGTCTCGATCTGGTAGAGCAGGCCCTGCGTCAAGGAGCAGTACCAGTTGGTGGCAAATTGGTAGGAGATCAGACGCAGCTCTAACAGCTGGGGGGGCAGGTGGGCCAGATCGGTGGTCTTGAGGTCCTTGCCCTTGAGAGAGAGCGCCCTCAGCTTGGGGCAGTTCTGGGAGAGGTGCTGCAGAATCTTGTTGCTCACATGATGAAGGACCAGCGTCTCCAGATTATCCATCAGGTAGGTCTGCACAAACAGGAGCACCTTGGCGAGACTTCGGTGTTTGATGGTCCCTATGATGCTCACATTCTTCCAGAGTGACTTGTCCTTTATAAGAGCATGCCATCTTCTGCAAACCCTGCAAGAGCAAGTTTGGAGGCACGAACCATCACATCAGTCGTTAAGTTCAGTTTTAAAAAGGTCCTACGCCCTCAATCATAAATGATGAGTAAAATACCCAAACATGGCTGGTTACTGTGGTTAGGTTCCTAGGCTGCCAGTCTTGCTGGTACTAGAGTCAGGTATTCAAGGACCAGACTTATGACTCTTATAGCTACAATGGAACACATGCATGCTCGTATTTACAACGTAACCCTTCCGCCATCCCTTTTCCATGGAACCTCTGACCCCCTCCCAAACCCTAACCTCCTCCCTTCCTCTCAGAGGATCCATTCTTTTTTTTTACCTTGCAGCTCGACACCTGCTCTTGACTGGCAGAATGGAGAAGATGGAAATGAGGCTTTCGTCGGGCAGGAAAGCGATGCCCGATTCAGAGTCAGATGGGTGTGTTGCCTTGGTCTTCAGTCTCGGGGAACGTCTCAGACCAGACATGGCAATCAATCATGGGGCTTCGCATCATATCCTCGCCGCGGCAACGGACAGAGCAGCAAACTTTGCCATACCTGAAATTTGTAATCCAAACAATGAACTTTCATGGTTATTGTTACTGTAGTTTGATGGAATTTCAGGCTATTCATGGTGAAAGATAGCGATAGGAGGAAAGGCTTACGAAAGTACCATGCGACGGAAGGAGTATACTCCCGGTTCTTTTCAGAACCACACATACTAATAAGAGCTATATTCCTTCGCATGGTGCTACTGCAAGCCTTTCCACCTATTGTTATCGTAGTTCTTCCCTTCTCCATGTGCACTGTGTACTGCATACCCCCAGAACCATGGGGTCTGACGTCCATTCCGTGGGAGTGGACGTCGGACCCCACAGTTCTGGGGCTATGTGCCGCAAACGTCGATCAACAAACTCAGAAGAGTGGAGTCTTCTGTACTGTCATGACTGTGATGTGTGAAAGAAGTAGGCTTGTTACATCCCAACTATAGCATCAGTTCCAAGGACAGTTGGGACCATCCAAACTATAGTTGGGCCAGCCCAACTTTTGCACACGGTTGGGCCAGCCCAACTATAGCACAGAATGACAGAAGCACGGCATGTGCCTAAGTCATTTTGTTTACATCATCAACTTATGCTTTTAAAGTTTTAGAAAAAGTTTTTAGGACTAGCCTATAGGCTATGCCGAGTAAACACCACAGTTTAGGCCTAGATGATTTGTCAGGAGTGAATTGCATAAATTTGGAGAAGGCTGAAAAGATTTTCTACAGACATAACAGAGATTGGCCACCAACAGCTGGGCCAGCCCAAACGCAGCACTATACAAGTATCGTTAGTTGGGACAGCTACGACAAAGGCTATAAGCCCTAAACTATACTTGGGACGTAACTAACACTCTTACTTAGACCATGGAGGAAAGAAAACAGACCGCAGCACCAGTTTTATACACGGGCCAGGCACCAAGGCCGAGCCTGACGTCATGGTCAACTATGTCAACGTGACTGTCTGACCATGATGCATACAAGAAATACATCACTCACATACAGAAATAAAAGGTAACAATTAGGCCTACCTCCTTTGTTTTCAGTGTCAGATTGTCTAGTGCAAAGCGACAGTGTTACTTTTGAGTAAAATCACGAAAATGGTCACAACACGTCTGAAGTGACTGAATGAAAATGTCAACAAAATTTATTTGGCGCCCCCAACGTTCAAATCTGAAGCTTTGCACTGGTATCCTGGTATGTTGTAATGGGCAAACCGGCACCAGCGAATTAAAATGCAACCTGGTCCAACATGGCATGATCATGGCATGGCATGAAAGAAAAGCGAATTTCAAATTTCATCAGTACAGAATGAATATTTAGGACAGAGGAAATTATCGACAAATTTCGTGGACGTTCACTTTCATAATGAATAGATCAAACATAAAAGAGGCAAATGAGCACCTTCAGAAACTGTACCAGCGGGTCCAGGACCTGGAGAGCACGGTGCAGGAGCAAGCGGAGGCGATGATTCGCAAGGACGAGGAAGCCGAGAAAGCGCTTCGTGAGCTCGGCAGAAGCAAGGACCGGGAGATCGCTGAGCTGCGGAAATCGTTGGAGTCCTCTGAGGTCCACGTCCAACAGCTCATGGCGTCCTGTCGGGATAAAGACGCTCAAATCCTAACTCTTAAGCAGAGGAGCAGGATTTTGGAGGAGGTGTGCCAGGAACTACCGTCCCTGGAGATCGTTGTGGGCGCCTTGAGGAAGACGGTCCCGCTGTTGCGAAGCCGACATGCTTCCGGACTCGGCCACGACGTGACGAACAGTAGCGAGGGAGGCCCAGTGAGCGCTCTGGAGGACCGGGACAGAGACCACGTGGCAGGGAAACTAGGGGAATTCCAGATCAACTCGGCAGCAAACATGCAGAATAACATTCCCAGGAACTTCTCGATCTCAGATGACGATGAGGGAAACTTGGCGTGAACAAAATTGTCATGATGGCAAAAAGATACCTCTAAAAATCCAAGAAATGTTTGGCTGACCCCACCCGCCCGAAAGGGAAAAATTAGATACACTCATCCAAAAGAAAGTTCTTCCAGAATTGCTCGACGGTCTGAAAACACTAAATTTGCAGATTCCGGCATTAAATTGATAAATTGATGGCAATAACATGGCCGATATTTTGTGAACTAGCCTGTGTAACTTGGGCCCAACGTACGTCCAGGCCATGACCATGAATGAAAGGCAGTATGTCATGTGCATGTAGTTTCCCTGCGACTTTAATCAGTTACGTATGTGTTTGTAAAACCTTGCCCGCTGAATCTATCTTAGGCAGGCAAGATATATTCAGAAACGAGTTGAGGTGATTTCTAACTGAAACGTTTCATTTCATCTCTCATTTCTTTTCCAGGTTTCTTTGTTGCAGCAAAACTCTAAAGTCACTCTTTACTATTTCTCCTGAGCTGGTTGGCCGTACAAAGTGGGCAACAGATTTGACAGCAGCCACATTGCTGTGTGGTTTGGCAGGTGTCCTGTCAATATAAATTGACAGGACACATAAAACCTTGTGTACAAATTCACTCAAATATTGCTTTCTATATTCATAAGTGGGCAACAGATTTGACAGCAGCCACATTGCTGTGTGGTTTGGCAGGTGTCCTGTCAATATAAATTGACAGGACACATAAAACCTTGTGTACAAATTCACTCAGATATTGCTTTCTATATTCATAAGTGGGCAACAGATTTGACAAAAGCCACATTGCTGTGTGGTTTGGCAGATGCACGTATTTTCCCAATACGTATCAGAAAATATCGATTGCACACCATTTGTTTAATTACAAAATATAAAGTCCGTGAGCAAAATTTTAAAAGCCAACTCGAGAAGTATGTTTATTAGCCAAGGTTTTTATAATTAGGTGGTTACAATTTTTTTTTTCTTCTGGGTGTGGGAGGGGTAGAATTTTTTCAAATCAGGTATTGGATTTTTGCACACCAAATTGGCAATATGGAAATGGGTACTTCCACGCCAATTGGGTACAAATGGGTACAGTTGGCTGCAGATACGGGAGTGAGACCCTGCTCATGTGCACAGGAAAGATGGACTGTCTGTAGGTTAGAAAATGCAGGGGTCATTGAAAATGGTAACGTACGTAACATGGACAGAATTTTCAATATAAACTGACAGGACACATAATACCACATAATGTACGAATTCACTCAGATATTGCTTTCTGTATTCATAACCCATTTAGGATTTTCAAGAACTAAAATAAGTGCAATTTTTACAAACACATGATGCAAAATTTGCTTGGAAAGTTCTCAGCAACAGTGGGGTGGGACGAAGAGAAACAAGGACAAATTGCTTGTGATATTACCCAGATTTATTTTCCAATCCTTTCTCACGTCTTTGCCCTTTTTGTGAGGAAAGACTCAAATGTGTATTGATTTTATAAATTAATTCAAGACTGAGTGTTCTTTGTAAACCTTAATTGTTGAAATGCTTGATCCTGTCAGGATCTGATCATGTCTAAATTATCGATGTGATAACCTGACGGACTCGGCGTATATATTCCAGGTAGTGGCTAGGAATACTCATTGCTGACTCAGTGAATTGACACTGGGGTGGGACCTGAGTGCACTCCTTCTGCATAAAAACCGCTTTGAGAGCATGTCAAATTATGGAATAATACAGAATGTTCCGACGAGGGAACTGCTTGTTCCAGTCGGGAACACGTGCTGCTCTTAAGGAGAACGGTCCATATTCCCAAATGGGATCAGTGGTCTATGCGCGTGCACGCTGGCTCATGAAGAGCGCATTTCAAAAGGGAATGCAGCAAAGTCCAACCAGGAATACCAGTTGCTACTGAAAGGAACACTCCAGCAGCGGGAACAAGAATGTTCAAACTTTTAAGACGTCCCCTGACAGAACTGCAGAACTTTTCACGAACTGCACCCCAGCACTGTGCAAGTATGCTCAGTGACTGTCAGTTTTCACAAGGTGAAATTTCTCAGAATGTGTCAAGTAATCCTTTTAAGTTCTATACCCTTCAAGTCACAGGAAGGAGTAAATTTGTGTGGAGTGCAGTTTAATTTGCAAAAACCAGAATCATTCCACTGTACGACAGTTTTTCCAGTGTACACCCCCCCCCCGTGTCACTTTGTCAAAGCAACTTATTTTGCATTAGCACTAGTGTTTCAGTTCTTGGTATCGGTGGCATTTACATATCGTAAATATGACACAAAAAGAACCTGTTTGGAATGTTGTTTTTGCAGCTATAACTGACATTCCTTTTCCAATACATGTACTGACATTCAACAATCTTACTCGGTCTTGCCAAATTTTGGAAATTCAGGATTTGTACAGCCTGGATTGAAAAAATTCGCTTAATGCAATTATGACAAAGTAAATTAAACAGTCCACAATTATTGCACTGAAGTTAATCATTCAGATTGTCTACAGCTATTTCCTTGAAGAAAAGTGAGGTAGGCTCAATCAATTTTAATATTAAATGATATAAATAATTGTAGTTTAATCATGGATCAGGACAATTTTTCACATACATGTATATAAAAAAAGGGACGGCCTTTGAAATCCAGCAATAAAACTATTTATTTTCAGTTTTTACAAAGTAATGTTCACTCAAAATATTTCCTTTCATTTTACACCAATGTATCGCTGATCATGTTGCAAGAGAGCCGCAATGGAGCATCGTGATACGAAAATCTGTATCATGCATGTTGGCTGTGAATGAACGGACATCAAGCTCCAACTATTCAAGTAACAGTAGGCTGAATTTTTTGGCAACATGTCTTGAAAAATGTGAAAATATTTCATCCCTTGATTTCGTCCCTCCACAGTGGATGCTGAGAACAAGTAATTACCTACAACACTGCTGCAATCTGAAAACATGAGAACGCAATGCACATTTACAACTTGTGGACAGTTTCTGAACACATTTACAAAGAATGATTTAATGTACACAATATCAGACAGCCGCCATGATTTCAACAACTCAAGTTGACGGTCCGTATCATAACGTGTATTGTATGCTGACCCCAACATTGTAATGTGTTGTATTGTTTACGTTAGTTACAGTCACACCGCTCACCCTGTCCACCTTAATTTTAGATCTGATTTTCTTTTACCTGTACACAGCAGTACCTGAAATTTCATTGCATGATTCCATTACTGAAATTTAATCATTTCTGGCTGACCTCTGGCTATATCTGAATCTATTCTTAGTCTTAGTGCATATATGTCTGCTCATTACAGTAATAGACATAGCCCTAGCACTCTAAGTCCATTTTGGACACGGCTTACGTCCTTCTTGTGGGTTCAACTATGCACCTAATATAATTTTAGACAGTACAAAAATGAGGGGGGGGGTTAGATGTTAAACTGAAATCTTGGAAATTAAATTGCATATGATTCCAATTCCTGAACTATGGAATTATGGCACTTCAGGTGACACTATTCTGAACGCAGCGAAAACATCTTGAGGGCAACATATCCGAGGAAATACAACTATTTCTGGCATAATCTCACCAAAACTGAATCAATGTAGCATTTGAGTTGTCAACAAATGTTCACCCAATGTACAAATCCGTCAAAATGCACAGATATATTATAAGTGGGTGAGTCTACAATCCACAGTGATAGAAACATAAACTGTACCGAGTAATTCATGACAAGTGATCAATGGCCCACCAAAAAAATTGACAGGTTGTGTAATGAGTGTTAATGTTAGGGGGTCTAGTGATGTATCCAGGTGGGGGGGGAACTCCTCCCCTCCCCAACAATTTATAGATTTTTTAAAGGAAATGACAGCCATTTTAGAAATGATATTTCAACCTGACCTGGGGCAGGAGGTAGGATTCTTTTACAGGTGACAAAAATTGGACAGTAGCTACTGCAAAAAAATTTCCATTTTGTACCCTCCCCACCCAAGACCCAGATGTGGCACTGGAAGGGTCCATTACCAGTGGATCTAGAACATTTGTATGACCTCTGTCCATTCGTCCCGATTCCATCGGCCGTTCGGTCGGACATTTGGAGGGCTGGTCTTCCAGTCCCAAGTGGTCACTTTCTGGTTCCATTCTTGGCCATAGTTGGCTTCGATGTATTGCCTGGTGTTGCATGGGACCCTCACCTTCAGTCCGAGCAGCTCTGTCCAGCAGAGCGTGAACTTGGGGAAGATGTATCTAGGAACAGAGACCCCACAAACACTTTTTCAAATCACTTGCGGACGGTCTTGTTTTAGGCCGTGCAACCGTAATCTCATATTTTGCAACACTCGGGGGGGTCCACAGAGTAATATTTGCCACCACAAAAGGCTGTGCACAAAGGCAAAGCTCAATTTTAACACACTACCTGCCACCGCAGACTTCTTAGACTTCTGGTGTATATACACCACCAAACAATGGGTGATCAGCATGCTAAAACGTCAGCCAGAAGTGAGCCCATCTGAGCACGCTTGAGGTTTTAACCCATAAGCCATACCTGTGTACGTACACATTGAACCAGATTGTTTGTACACGTCCTCGGGTTACTTGACTGGTCCACTGAACCATTCACGCAACAAGCAATCATTTACCACAGTGAAAAAGTAGGCCTAATCCGGAACCAAGTTGGTTCCTACGCCCCACTAGAAGTCACATCCAGCTCCAACCAACCAAGCCCTTCAAAACATGTTTTGAAACTGGTTATGAGTCATTTTCACCCCAATAACCCCGCCCCCATTCTTTGACATTATTACAACCATTTAACAAATCACGGGGCAAGCATGTGCATGCTCATTAGGATTGTTATGTAATTAAATGTGTTTGTAACACAGATGGCCAAAATCAACACTTATGAGCACAACGGACACTGCTGAAGCTGGTGACAGGCCACAACATTTGATTGGGAATAACACAAGGATTTTGCTATTGGCTTTTTGAGTTCGTAACCAGTTTTTGAAGATCTACCTTTTTTAAAATTTAGCGAAAACGGTGCAAGAGTTTATTTTTGAATCATTTTCACAAATTTCCATGTATCACAGACAAATAAAATCTGTAATTTCGAACATATGAAATAGCGAGTAGCAGATAAGAGATGCTCACAAATAGCCAAGATTTCTGTTTCATGTGGTCCCCTTTGAGATCATTTGATTAATTGAATTTTGGGGGGAGGGGTGTGTAATCTTCCCCATGCATTTCTTACACTTAAGCAATGCACTCCTTAAATACAAAGAGAAACAAACCACAAAAGAAGCCCTTCACGAACTATAACTCTAATTACCATGTGGATCACATGCCCGGACACGTGCATGCCACATGCTCGTTAGAATGAAAGTTCAATTAGATTTGTAAGCAACCCAAAACAGTAACCGTAATAAGCATCACAGGAAATGCCACAGCTGTTCTCTGAAGGCTCAGACGAAGATCGTCTTTTCCCTCTTTTGATTTTTTTTTTAGGGTTGGGAAAGGGGGCTGCATCTCCACGTGCTCAAAAGGAGCAAACTTCCAGCCCGACATTCTTACTTGAATTTGTTTCCTGTGCGTACTTCCGTGCCGCCGTTCCACATGTGGTCTCTTTCGTCGTAGAAGAAAAAGATGTCCAGCTTGATGCTGTCGTCCATGAATGACAATTCAAAACTGTCAGATATCTGCCGCGAACACAAACAAAACGATCATTTTGTGCATTTATCGACACAAGAATGTGCCAGGAAAGTCATCAATCATCAGCAGGCCAAATTTTCTCACCAGCAAGGAAGCTTGAGACGATGCAAAAAATATCACTGTATATGGAGTATATATTTTGCTGTGCACCAGTCATACATTATTTGTTATATCTGTCCATCATTGCAGTGACAACTTCTAAGTACTACACTTGACTACTGATCTGGGTGAACATGGGGTACAGTAATTAGCACGTGGTGTTTACAATGCCATGCACCAGGTTTTGTTGCTATGTAATCCCTTTGTTCTTTAAAATCGAATGATACATTAAATTGCAGGCTATTTCTCACTTTTTTTTTCCTGATTCACAGCTCTGGAGGATTTTTAAAGGAAACTTAAGTCCAACACTGCAGTGTGTCTAACTTGTGTCTATCTTGTGACGATGTTGCCACAGCCGTCGGATTCATCTGAGCAAGCACCTCCACACTCACATCACAGATTTTCAGAAATGGCTATTTTGAGTGGGTTTTTTTGAAAGGCCTTGAAAATCATTTTGAGAAGTAAATCAATTTATATACACAAAATGATTCTGACTACAAAAGAAACATTGGAACACACGCTTCCTTGCAATTTTTTTACCGATTTGCAACCACGTGAAGTTTTGTTCAAAATCTCAAATGTCTCACCCTCCCAAACTGGTGTTTGAGAGTGAGCCCTCTAGAGTCCAACTCCTTTATAACGTGGCTCTTGTAGTCCTTTATCCATATGCCAAAATCCACATCTTGGCTGTGTGCAATTATGTCACACTCACGGAACCACCCTGGGTTTGAAAAAAAAAAACAAGATGGAACCGAGATCTCAGAATGGGAACCCCTACATCGGGAAAATGCAAGTTAATTGGGCACAAATGGATGTTTGTAAGGTGTTTCTGGTGATCAAACAACCAAGAGCCCTAATGAGTTGCTTAATGAATACCGGCAGTAGGCCATAGACCACAACACGACCCTGCCCTGTCCAATAGGGGATCTACATGCCCATCTGCCTAGGGGCCAATTTCATAGAGCTGCTTAAGCACAAAATCTGCTTTCAGCACGAAAAACCTTGCTTCAAAAAACAAAGATTACCAGCTCAAACTCTACGTGATGGTCATGCTAACCAAAAGACAGCTAAGTACCATTCCAAAACAATATACATCACATGGAGTCTTGGCTAGTTACCTGATTTATCAAGCAAGGTTTTCTTGCGCTTAAGTAAACTTTGTGCTTCAGCAGTTCTATGAAATTGGGCCCAGGGCAGTCTTAGACTAAACACAGAGTACGCAGCAGTTGCTATAATTATGGGCCCAGGGCTTCAGCTGGCAAATATCAACTAACAGTAGCCAAGGGTACAGCTAAATTTACATCATTGGACCATTTACTTTTCATAATGCTGTGCTAAGTACATTTCTTCCCGACGAGTTGCTCGGGATTATAGCCAAATTTTGTAAATATTCATCTTTGGCGACTACAGCCACTGACTGCTACACTGATATTTAACCTCATCCGTGAGTTAGCCGCTTCAAATTGTTTTGAAGACTCTGATAAAACAGAATTTGTTTGATACATAAAAGAAAACTGTAATCTAGAAAGTGGATATAAAGTTATTGCTTGTTATGGGAAAGCAGGAGCATATCCTGAAATTACCACAAGAAATTCTCTATTTGGAGAAATACCACAAATATGTTTTTTCTTACAAGGATAGGAGGGTGTTGGTTATGGAGGACGGAGGAAAATTCCGTGACACCCACAAACTCAGAAAACATACGAAATAAAGAAAAATGCAAAACAAAACAAATGCCGAAAGCCCCAAACCACCAAAAGCAGCCAAACTAAAATCAAGAATACAGCAACAGAAACAAAATACAGAGAAGACAGAGAGACCATGAAGTAATTTTTACTGTAGCCTGGCTAGCTGGACGGTCAGGTTGCCCCCAAGCCATCAAAGATCACAGATAAACCGATCAGCGGGGATGATACACCGGCCAATCACCTAAGCATGTGCCACTGCTCAGCCAGAATCGTATCCCCAACTCGTCCAGCACTTGCTTGCCCTTCTCCAAGAGATCTCTGGCTGCCTGGCGGAAAGCCTGTGCCTCCGGGCTCTCGTCTCGTCCGTAGGCCGCCCGGAAGACCCTCACTTGCCCGTAGTTGCACTCAATGTGTCGGGAGAAGGGGATCTGATCCAAGAAGCGGTCTATGTGCTTCGGGACGAGAAGGTTCAGTCTGTCGGCTTGTGTGGTTGTAAACTCCATTCTGTGGAATTAAAAATTGGGGGGGGGAATAAATAAAACCCAGAAGTGATTTAGTAACTTTACAAAGGCTTTTTGGATGATTTAGAGCAAACAGGTTCAATTAGCATCACAAAACGAACACTGTTCGAATACTTATTTTTTTGACTCAATTTAATCAGTAACACATAAACAATATACAAACAAAGATAGAAAACTCTCTATGTAACAAAGACTCTGTCGGAAAAAAGACAGACATCAGGGAGATACAACTCATATCTATCTTCAGTCTGCTTGAAAATAGCAGTGTTGTTGTTTTGGGCTTCTATAAATATTCAGTGGATTATTGGGCTGATGGCACAACAAGATTTGAGGATTACCTCTGAGACACAAATCTGTAGTCTCAAAATGCAAAGATTGAACTTTGTAGTGGCAATTCTGCTATAGTAAACGAAATCAATCAAATGATGAAAGAAACGCAGAGGCTCCATTTCCATTTAAAACAGGAATACCCCACTGGAAGTATAATGCCATATTGGTCAGCACTGCCGTCTCTCTGACACTGGTATCAGCAATTGGTTTTTTGTTAATTTTGTCAGGAAGGGTCAGCTTTTTTATTTCTGCAATCAACTCACTTATCATAAGCCCCCGCATAGGTCCCGCCAAACTTTAGTTTCCTGAGGTCGACATTTTCAAAGCATGACAATGGTGGCCACATCCGTCCAGGCCGCGTTGGGTCGAGTTGGACCGCCCCGTGCCACAGATAGCTGTTGCTTCGCTCATAGAAGACCACCAGGTGGATGAATTGGCCCGAATAATCAAACAGATAGTGCAGGGGAATCTCTGGTGTGTCCCGATGGTCCATCGGGAGGTGACGGGGATCTTTGCCGTACAGTATTATCCATTTCATCTTGAGTATCTCCTCCAAGAACGAAAAGAATTCCTGAACAGAGCGTATTAATGGGTACTTATAACTGTCATCGGGAATTAACAAAAATCAAACTCTGAATCAAAACGTGGAATCAAGGACAGCTCCAGAACCAAATTGTTTCAGTGGCAGTCCCAAATATCTTTTGGGGGGACAGTAAATTTGGAAATTTTATTACGTACCCTTTCTGGGGCGTGAGGATAACTTTGGGGACTTTTTAAAAGCTTTTGAAAGGAGGGGAAATGAAAAGGACCAAAAATTTTCCTCTCACTGTTTTAAACAAAAATTGGGCTCTTTTTGGGGGAGGGAGGGTGGCCACCATCTAATCTACCCTAGTGTGGAATAGATAAGATACCATCTGTGGTTCCTAATTTTACTTTTGAGTCAGAGGTCTTTCAGAGCATTTCGTCAGGACCCTCACTATTGTTTTGGGGTGGGTAAGGGCTGGCTCTTGGTAATAAAGCAGAGGAGGTTTATAAGTTACAAGCACAGAGAAGCTTACTTTTGATATCAAGCGTGAATCCAGAATCCCAAATGTTGTTACGTTGCGCGGGCCACACAAGTATTTACATTGCCCTGGGTATATTTTGTTCATTTCCGCTGTCCGCAGGAGCGAGATGTTTGTCAGACATTCAGGCTCAATCAAAAACACGGGAACACTGAACTTTGCTGAGGCAGAGGAGAAAACCTTTGTTGCTCTCTGAGATGAGAAGAAGAAAGCACAAAAAGAGAAAGTGAGATACTCTAGTGGCGAATGAACGCATCCAGGTTGTCCCTGCGCTCCTTGCTACATAGGGTCCCTCTAATTACATCAAAATGCAGTAAAATGCAACAGTGGTTCTTATGGAATTGTGCCTTGCACTGGATAAACTGCAGTGTTTTCTCGAGAACAACAAAATACGACAGCCATCATACAGGTAGCTTCAGGATACAACAGCAGGTGTGCTAATTTATCACCAATGAGACATTCATAAACAGTGCATGCCGTTTTTGTCCATGAACACATTCAGCTATTTAAGGCAGAGGCCCTTACAATCTCAATAACAAAAGCTGAGGAATAGGTGCTGTTGAATTGCCGAACTATATTACATAATTGTATGTTCATCATATTGTCTTATTGTGAATTGTAATTTTGCTGTCAATTTTATCCTTACTGTTGTCTCTTTTATTGTACACCAAATTGTTTTAGTATCTGGACTTTATACATGTTATATTTGTTCATGTGTTTTTAATTTAACAAAAATAAACAAGAATAAAAATGACACAAATCCGGACTGTAATCAGAGATCCTTTGTTGGTTCACTAACACCAGAGCCCACTTCATGGATAGAGTGAACCAGTCTTAGGATCACATGGATTGAGATCCAGATCGTGATCAGTGATCCGCCACTGGTTCACTGACACCACGGCCCATCTAATGGATAGCGTGAACCAACTTTTGGATCAATTATTCAATCATTGAGAACAAGATCCATGTAAAACAGTCAGGCTCTTTCAAGTATTTTAAAGTTTAAAATAGCAACAATACAACACTTACATATGGAGAGATTTTTCTTGGATGTTTGTGGGCTTGTCCTCCCTACCAACAAAATGTGCAAATCAAATCAAACTAAAGAATTGATATCTTGACAAAAGAAAACAAACATGCCTTCAGAAATGACCTAATACATGCTTGGATAAAATTATATCTTAGGAGGCCGATAATGTAATGGTCATTCACAGTTGTCAAGGCTATGTTTTACTACTAACAAGCCCTACTTGGTATGTCAAAGTCATTTTTTTTCTTCTTTTACTTTCTTATTTTCTAGATTGGATCATATTTACTTTCTGTCTTTCTTTCTTTCTTTTTTTCACCTAATACCCCTTAAGGATTTTTCGAGGGAAATACAGTCCGAGATCCATTCAATATAAACTGGGCAGCAAAAGAAACTTGCCACTTCTGTCAAAGGCCACACATAAAAACTCACTCCATAGAAATAAACAATTTTTGTACACAGGTATGCTGCAATACCCTTACTAATCACATGCCCAAAAGCAAGTGATTATCTTTATAACAAAGAAGAAATTGACATGCACAGCAACTTGGTTACTACGTAGTTGCCAGGTCCCTAATTTTGCCACCTATTGTCAAGGCTGATTGGTTTTCACACTAAGTGGCAGAATAAACGGGGTTCATTACCATTAGCACTTTCTTCCTATAATAAGGAAACAAAGTCCACTTTCTCAAACTAACTAACATTCTTTACCTTAAGGAGCCATTATTCAATCCTGATAGGCCTAGTTTTTATAGGTAAATTTTGACAATATTTAAGCAAGAAAACTTAAAATTTCTAACCCGAGTTTGGCAAAAGACAACCACTCACTCAATGACGCCATTTTGTTTTTCGTCTGGTTACCCGACTCAGGCATTTTGGATTCATCAAAACAAATCTCCATCCAGGTCAAGGAACCAGATTACATTTGCTTATTTGTCGTTCAAAGCTCTTCAGGGCGGTCATGTACGCTACCGTTTTACCCAAAAATTTCTCTAAAAACCAAAAGCCCTGTTCTCTTTTCTTTCTGATATGAAACAGGACATCAGGTACAACTTGTTTAGAAAAGTTATTTCGAAAAAGTAGAATTTGTTACCTTATATGAACAGGGTGCTGAAGGTAATGAACCCCAAATTAGAGACCATACTGGTTACTGTCATCAGGTCATGGACAGTAGCCACTGCGTTTATTTAAATTGGTGTTAATATGTGTGGACATGGTTGTTTTCTCAGTACGTTTTCTGTTCCTGACTGACTTGAAATGTGAGGTGATGATGATAAATATCATCTCCTCTGTGTTAGCTGGTTAGTGTTACTTACCCATACGCTGCTCAAGCTCAATGAATGCCCTGCCCATCGAAGCATGCTAAAAAGGCAAACCTGTGTAGCGACAAACAGTGCTCCAAAAACAACGAGTCCGATCAAAACACGACGTCGGCTGATGTACACGTGTGACATGACTGCATAATTCTTTCAGGTAGTTTGAATAAACCAGTAGCAAAAATTAACAGTTATTGACGGCAAACACCTTCTGACTCGACAAGTTAGGGTAACGTTAGATCTAGTAAAAATTCGAGTGAAACGTTCGCGTTCTTCCATACGACGGCAATGGGCGCTGCCATCTTTAATAGTCAGGCTTCCATCCAATATATTCCTCAAATTGCATTGGAGGCGTTCGGAGTGCAGGCTTTGCCTCCCCCCCCCAAAAAAAATTGCGCCCTCAGAATTCGGAAAAAGATGCAAACGTCTCAGTGCAGTTTTCAGTGTCAGCTTCCAGTAAACTTCACTCCTACTGACTTTACCCATAACCACTCTGGGATCCCAGGGGTAGATGCAGGGGGAATGGGACATAAATCAATCATAATCTCACTCTTAGGGGATGGGCTGTAGGATCGTCCTCCGATTTTGTCACTTTACTGTAAATTTTCAAGAAAGAAAAGGGAGGGGAGGAAACAAGAAAAGAAAAGGACAAGAACCAATACTAAAGTAAACTGATCCTGCGAAATATTTTTAGTACAACTGATGGAAAGTGAGCTGTGTATGGTAAACTGCGAACACTAATGACTATGTAATACATTATGCATAACGCCCCTATTATTATTAAAATCCTCCCCCGATTTAAGTTTCCTCTGTTGGTCGGTTCGGGAAATTCGTCCTCACACCATCATCCTGTACTGTAGTGACTTGAATCTAAACCCTCTCTGAGCACCCAAATGTCTAGTAACATTGTCAATTCGTTCATGACTAAGTGCATGCAGATGACTGACTCTGTTTCAGCTGTTGAGCTAAACTTTGGATCTCACCTAAAACATTAGCAGGAGAGATCTGTGACAGCAGGAGAATTATTGTGTTTGTCTGTAATTGCAATGTTGCTCACAACAAGGATCATAAGGCAAACAAGAGTACTAGTCGAGCTTAAATCTACGAATGAAACATCCCGTGCAAGGTCCATTTATAGGAAAGGCATCTTACCCGCTATTTTTCATTAATTAATGAATTAGTTTAATAAGGCTATTATGATCATAACCTTTAGATCAAACGAATAACTATAGCCAGGTTGAAAATAAATTAAAGCGGTTACTATGGACATGTATCGGCTAAATTATAAAGTTGGCAACTGATCATTTCAACATAAAACTGGTATGTGTAGGAATATATGTACATTTAGTTTAAACCTTACTGAGAATGGAAAATCCTGTGCAAAGTCCACTTCCAAACGGTGTTATTTGCCACTTGACCATCGAGAGCGTTGGCTAAATTTCGCCCCCACATTTTCCCCGATATGCCGTTGCCATGCATTTTTGTTCGGGCTGAGTCTGTAGAGGTCGAGTTACAGGAAAAAAGACACTTTTACTTATTTCTTCTGAATAGACATACATTTCTAGCGAAATGCCAGTTTTTGCGATACCAACTGGACAAAAAATGTCAACTTTATTTTTGTTTTCGCTAAAATCACTGCACGCGGACCGACACGTGAGAGGCCCTGAAAACTGTCGGAGCAACAGTTGCGACCCTCTGTCGGATGGAATTTAATAACGGCAAACTAATTAGGTTGATTGGGCCATTCTTAAACGTGAAACGCGCGAGAAGTTCCTGATCATTCCTGAATCAGTGGCGTAAATCTGTCCTGTAAATTAGGGGATGGGGATGGGTAAAGGGGGGGGGGTGACGTGCCCGGCCAGGGACATTTGGAAAGCGTGGAGGGGGGCGCGACACAGGGGGCGATGTTCATTATAAAGATGGATATCTGTAATGTATATCAAATTCATGCAGAATCTTACATGAGAATGGCATACTAATTGATTTTAAAAATTATTTTCCCTTTTTAGTGATATTGCAAACAGTTTAATCGTTGGGAAATCCAAAAATTCTTTACAGTCCGCTGTAATTTTTCCTCATCATCAGAAAGTGAAGGATGACTCAATTGCCCATTTCCCACCTCGAAAATTGGGGTACATGTATATACTCCTGTCCCCGGGGGTTTACGCCCATGTCAACTGGAGTGGGTGGGTGGGTGGGTGGTTGGATGGTACTCCACGTGAAGCCGCTTCGTGAATGCACGGGATGCGTTCACGGGGCGTTTACAAATGACTGTCACGCTGAACGTTTGTGCGAGATATTCTTAATTATGCCCCACTCGGCTCTAAGACTGCATTTGAAGAAACACCATTCAAAAATAGTTTATTTTGATAGAAATATAGACAACGTCAGATTTATCCACGTTCACAAAAATATAATACAATTTTTAAAGTGCACTAGTGTTAACGGTGCCGAAACAGGAAATTTAAGTTTGGGATCGTCTCACACACAAAATAAAATCCGCGATATAATGTACATGTATGAGGATGCAATCGTTGCCGTTTATCACAAGATATATTCAGTTTACTCCACGTGAAGCCGCTTCGTGAATGCACGGGATGCGTTCACGGGGCGTTTACAAATGACTGTCACGCTGAACGTTTGTGCGAGATATTCTTAATTATGCCCCACTCGGCTCTAAGACTGCATTTGAAGAAACACCATTCAAAAATAGTTTATTTTGATAGAAATATAGACAACGTCAGATTTATCCACGTTCACAAAAATATAATACAATTTTTAAAGTGCACTAGTGTTAACGGTGCCGAAACAGGAAATTTAAGTTTGGGATCGTCTCACACACAAAATAAAATCCGCGATATAATGTACATGTATGAGGATGCAATCGTCGCCTTTTATCACAAGATATATTCAGTTTAATCTGAAGTTCTTCTTTAAAACATTAATTTGTCAAGAATCTTTATAGGGGCGCCCTTTCTACCTCTCTCTTTCTCTCTCTGAAATTTGGCGAATCCAAGGGCGTAGTTCCCCTCCAAAAAGACGTATAAATTTCTTTTAAAGCATCGAAAGGTGATTTTTTAAAATTATTATTATTTATTTCCCATCCTCCCAATGCTTGTACAAATATATACATTTATCTTCATCCTTTAGAAACACAATAAAAGGTCACAGAAAAAATTCCCTAGGTTTGTCTCCCCCCCCCAAAAAAAATTGTTTCTGGATCTGATGAAAATATCAGATATTATCATGCGTCTGAAAATAATGCACAACAGAGATCTAATACTGTTAAAATACTTTTGCCTTTGAGAAAGATTCTGCGAGGATCGAAACGTCAGGCCCTTCATCTTTCGTTACTTTTAAAGTGAGATTTATCAACGTCGGTGGACATTCTTCCGACAAAATATATGTACTTATCAGCGTTGTTGTAGCACGGTATAGTTGATACCTGGCATGAATTATGGAGGGTACAAGTGGTCATCTGCCAAAACTCAGATTCGACACTTTTGTGAAAATCTTTTTTTTTTTATTTTTCAGCTTTGAAAAGCGAACCGAAATTTATTATTTGATTACTTATCGTGGAGTATAGTGTCTCATTGGAAAGATCAAAATAAGTGCAATCCCTGAAAATTCTTGATTTAAATTGAAAATCTATGTTTGGAGCTGCTACACGCCCAAAGCACGGACAATCTGCCATGAGCAGAGCATCCCCTCACCGGTTGAAAAACGCCGTGTTGGTGGGAAGTTTTTATTTTGCTGCGCCCTCTCTTGGTCCAGTTTGGGGCTCATACGACTCAAAAGTAATCCCTTTTCGTCCTCCATACTGTTGTGCATTGAACAATCACACGAATTAGGTGTTAAACCTCACCCACAGGCGCGAGCAGTGATTCAAAGAATGGTTAGGGCGAGGTCTAAAGACGACTATAGATCGATGTCTGCAGGCAATTGCGTCCAACCAAATGTGCAAGTGTATTACACTTGCACTCAGATGTCGAACCGTTCAGCAAAATGTGATCGTCTCTTAAAGTTCGCCCTCGATTGGATCTCTTGCTCTCGTTGCGCCCGTGGTCTCTTCCATCTCCCTAAATAGTTAGTTCATGTCAATTTTTACTGAATTGACCTAAGAAAGGCTAAAATAGCAATGCAACCGAGTACCCTCTGGGGGTGGGTCCAAAGGTATAGAGGTTGTCCAAGCACCCGTCGCTCAAGTTGGTCGAACTACACCTAGCTATAGTATTCTCTCGAACTTGACTGCATTTTCTTCTTTTGGTCAGAAACGAGACTGTCGGTCGACAGCTATCGGCTGACTCCATTAGAAACATTATTTTTTTAAAAAAATGGCTGGCTCACCAAGGAGTGCCGACACGGAAATCAGTTTTCGTCAGTTCTCAACTCAGTGAACTCCAAAAAGACAGTCATGTACTGTTTTGTAAGTCAGTTACAAGTGGCTTTTGTGCGTGTGCATTTACTGCTACTAAAAAAAAGCTTGTTTTTATCAACTGCTTCGCGTTGTCATAGATGTTATCGCTCAACTGGTTCGACCCGTTTGTTACACATGTGGGCCAACAAACAAAAATTGAAAGTGCATCAGTGAGAATTGTTAGTCTTCACTCAACCATCGAACCCAACGTTTCACTCTTCGGTGTTTCCGACATCAGGAGAAAGGACCGAGAGTATTGTATGACACTCAACAGGGGCGGGCAACCAGTTGTAAAGAACGCTCAGGTGCTTTGAGGGGTGAAATTTTATCGTCGAATGTTTGATATTTCGCGCTCCATACCAAGTTCAGCGTGATGGGTTGTCATGCAAGGAGAGTGAGCAACGGCACCCACAACTATACGGATAACAGTTCCGTGCTGGAATTATCATGTCTCTACAATACGCCACTGGATGTCCATGTACTGGCCAAACCACGCGTGAACATTAGGCCAAATGGGTAATTTTGTCCCGATGCATTCTCGGCACGCTTCGTTATACCTGAGCTTCAGCATAAAGTATCGAGCCGCGCTTCTCAAAATGGAAATCTTCTGGCAGTGATGAGGCGTTCGAATTGAAGCCCTCAATGGATGACGCGGACGCCAAGACGTTGGGAAGGTGAACAAGTGGTAGAGTGTAACTCACTGTTGCCCGCGCCTCTTCCGTGGGCCGCCTGGACGGACCGGGCATGTCTTCGTCCAGGTGACAAGGATAATCTATCTCTTCATTGATGACCATCCCAAGGGGGTTACTTTTATCTGGCGCTGTAGGGTCACTCAGTTTCCCTGTAATCACGAACAGGCGTTTATTGTTGACCGCGCGAGTTGGCGAGGGAGAAACGAGGAACTTGGAAAAAGGGTTGGAGAACGCGAGTCGCGAGCGGTGGGCGGCCGCTGCTGCCGCTATTACGGGCAGCGACTCGTCACGGTGGGTGCTGATGGTGGTGTTGATGTTGATCGAGATGTTGTAGCATTGGCAGCCACAGCAGCAACACAGCTCCTGCAGCTCGCTCTTGAATTTCTGGTTGAAGATGGTGTAGATGATTGGGTTGAACACGGCCGACGACTTGGCGACGAAAACAGGCACAGCGGAGACGACCAGCGGCAGAGCGGAGGCGTCAGCGGCGAACGCCCAGAAAGAAATGACCGCGTAAGGGGTCCAGGCGATCATGTAGGCCACCGTGGCGGCAAAGGATGACTGGGTGTCAATGAAAAAAAGATGACTATGAACTATGAACTGACAAATTAACGCCATATGACAAAATCTCGCTAGTAACTGGTTGTCGGCTAATGGCTTCATCGTAAAACCATTCCTCCAAAATGTCGGAAATAATACTGGTACATTTTCACGCCAACGAATCAATACAGGCGATTCAAAATAGTGCGCCTGCAAGAGTTTGCAACGCGTTGACTAATCACAATACACGAAATCTGTCGACCCAGTGCGCGCTTGGAAAGGGTCGACACATTTTGCGCACCGTGATTGGTCAACGTGTTGCAAACTCTTGGAGGCGCACTATTGTGAATCGCCCGTACCGATTGTTATTTTTGTACAGGAAAATCCCTCACCACTACGTGGGTCCCAGAACACTTCATCATTTCATGTTTTCATCGTGCCCTAGCGGTATTTCCCTTGTGTTTTGGTCATGGGTGTGAAATAGTGAACATAAATGTCACTCGAATTCGCACTGGACTCTGAAAGCCAACAACGAATTGTACTTTTTCAAATGGCATAAAATGCAGGCAGTGCTCTCGGGGAGAAAGGACGGCATGTCGAGCTTCACTCCATTTTGTTGGATGAATACGCCTAGCTATAGCTTGTCAACTCTTTTCAACATATTCTGAAGACAGGTTCTTTCGAAACTGTGAATAATGATTCCAAATTTTGCTATGAGTATTGTTTAAACCATCAACGTTTACTGTCCTCCCTGCATCACTTTAAAGGGTATCATCATTATGGATATAAGCTGGGGAGGAAACAGAGGACCTAATCTCATGAATATGTATTGGGGGGAGGTACTTTTACGTGTGTATACCTTGATTAAACGCACCTCTGTCCAGAAGTGCGTAAAATGAGTCTTGTGCTGTCTCAGGATCTTTTTGCGATGGGTGCAAATGGTTTTAGAAATGGCGCCGTAGCAACCGATAAGTCCCACCACGGGTATGGAGAAGCAGAAAAGGAATACGCAAACGATGTAAGCCTGGTCACTGGGCAACCGGCTCGCCCAATCAACGGTGCAGGATGTGTGGAACCGCTCCGGGACGTATCTTAAATGACCAATCAAAAACGTAAATCATAGCTAAATAGCCCAGTGAAATGTCCTTCGCGGAAAGTCTCATTAAAAGCTGTTTGTGGATTCGCTATTACAGGTAGATCATCAGAGGTAAGACAAAAAAATACCCGATTAATCGCGGTCAGAGCTCACACTTTCCCTTGGCTCTGCCCAATCTTTTTTTTCACATGCAGCGATTTTTTCCCAGTAAATTGGTGATTTAATCCCCTTTCATCTCTCTCTCTCTCTTTTTTACATATCTTTCGCTTATTACCCCTGTTTTTCCCCATTTTATTTTTCTTTTATTTTCCGAGGGAGCGCCCCATATCCCCCCTTACCCCCTTCCTCGCCACGCACATGGCGTAGGGGCTGTTTCATTCCCCTTACATTCTGCTCGACTCTTTAGGTTTGTGGATGAGCAGGAAAGGAAGAGTGCTGGGCCGGGAACCCTAAAATCCCAGAAGAGTCCTGTCTGGGTAAACTGTTGATTCATTGCTATTCAACTTCAGGATTCCATGTTCCTGAATCCTTAAAAAAGTATCGAAGTGCGAAAACTATACAGTACGATGAAAATATTTCGAAATGCATCGCCATCATCGAGCCTGCATGACATTAAGCGGCAGCACAGGTTGGCAAAAGAAAAATCAATGTATTTTTTGTGAGTAAAGTTGAGAATTCAATTTCGAATTGAACTCAATTATAATCTGAATGCGTATGGAAAAACACAATCAACTTATACATTGCCTTTCACACTGCGTTTCCGTCCCTATATATTTTACTACTTTTAATTACGTAAGAATGGCTGCAGCGCGAAGTAGACGGAAGGAGTATTATCTTAAACTCTCAACCTCATCCAGTGAAAGTCTTCACACAAAAAAGCATCCGATGAATTGCGGTGAGAGCTCACACTTTCACTTGCCTCTGAGTTGGGTATAAACGCTTCCATTTTGCTTGGCCAACTGGGGAGCATCAATATTTTTCCTTGAACTAACAATGGAAGCCTAAGGTATTATTGTGTACAATCGAAAAAGAAAATGCCCTGGACTTGGTAAAGGTAGTCTGGAGGAGACACTAAGAACGATCTCCGTGGTTATTAAGCTTTCGCTAGGTTTAAAAAAAAAACCGCCATGCTTACCTATTCCATCCAACAAGCGGGGGAAATGTCCAGAGGAATGAATACGCCCATATCGCCGTTAGTATCTTCGGCATGTGCTTAGCGAAAACTCTGTCATCTGAAAAGATTTGCGTATCCAGGTTTCAGAAAATGAAATCGACTAACCGACTGACAAGACCCATGTTGAGAACGACTGATGGAGCGATGTATGTACCTCAAATTCCGACCCAAAAAATGCACGACTATGACCAGATGTTTTGAAAGATCATTCGAAACCACCGGAGATTTGAAAAGCGGAACTGAGGGCAAAACCATCCGACACTAAGGGGCGCCACACTAACAGTTACGTTTAGGTACAAAATTTGGCCAGCAATGTAACAGTGGTTTTGCTGACGAGAAAGCATTAATGCCAGCAAAAACCTCAAATGAGTGGGACGGAGTGGCCTATCCAGCGGGAGGCAGGGAGGCTACTTATCCCCCTGAAGGAGTTTTTTTTAAATTGATTTTATCTATTACATATTAGCACCAAAACCCTAAGAAAACAACAGCACGAAATAAAAGCAAGGATGTCAGGATTATGAGTGAGGCTTTTGATATTTTTATCTCCCCCAACATCATGTTGAATAACACCGAAGCCGCATTCGCTTTTGAATTTACCCCCCTCTCACAACAGCTGGATAGTCCACTGGCGGGACAACTCGAATTTGAACTAGTGCCAAAGGGCTGGCTTAAGCTGGTGAAGATGTCAGAGACAACAAAGAGCAAAATGAAAGAAACAAGGCTAAAATGAGTTCACATGAAGAAAAATCGTAAGAGCTGTGGGGTGTTACAATGGATAGAGCCTGAAGGTTGACCCCTGATGGCGCGCTTCTGGAACCCTTGGATAGGAAAAGTAACGGGTAAAGATTTTAGAATTTGTAATTTTTTTTCGTTCGGTTTCTTCTTAAAAAATTCAACTTGGAAAAAGGGCTTTGAAAAATATTTGCTGGTACATCAATCTACAGAAAATGAAAAATTACCTGATCTAAAAGGAAAATATCATGCCAAATATTGACCTATCACCTCCGAAAATCTAAAATACATCAAGAACAGTGCAATGCAGCAGTCTGGTGCGCAGGTGAACATTTACGGTTTGAAATTTTATGGTACTCTATGGGTAAAAGCCGAAGTAAAAACAGATCAAAATATTTACACATTTTGATAATTTATAAGGTAATAAACATAAAGCAATGTTCTACTTTTATGAAAGATTCTAATATTTTATCTAACCTTTGCTGACAACACCTGCGCAATGTCAACTTAACGGAATCAGGAACCCATCGACTGCAGGTAGGTAAATCTTTGCAAGGTTGTACAATCTCGTTTTCAAGAAAGCACGGCAAGTGAAAACAAACGTCCATGAACAAGGAGACCTAGAAACGACATCGTCTGACGTGAAAGGTCGTTAATAATATTCGTTTTTTACCCATCTCCAGGTGGCTTTTCCAAAATATTACTTGAGGAAGACAAAGGTAAAATTCCAACATGAATGTTTCATGGGGTTATTTAAGTAAGGAATAATTTTACCAAAAATGATCGAACGTGATAGGACGGCCCAACGTAAAATCCACATAGGCAGACCGCGCGAGGGTTCCGGAAGATCGCTGCGGGGCCTTTTACTTTCAGGTTCTATTATCATGTAGAGTGTGTGGATTTAAACAGCCTGTGTTTGTTTTGTAGAGTTTGTTTCCTACACAGTTTCACCCCGTCAGATTTGTTTGCAAGATTCCATGCAGTTTGAAAATAGGGAAAGTTTGAATTTTAGATATGGTTTTCAAAATCTACTATAAAATTAGCGTGAGAAAGTGGGAGAGAGACGGAGTTGAAAATAATTTACATTTCTAGGAGCTCAGTCATCATTACAAAATCATTCTCTGTGATGTATCTCCCGCTTCCCCGCAAGGGATTCCTCGAATGGGTTTCATTGGGCTGGACTGGGTTGGGCTGGTTTGGGCTGGGTTTTACTTGGTTCGGTTGGGTTTAGTTGGATTGGGTTGGGTTGCGTTAGGCTGGATTGGGTTGGGTTGCGTTAGGCTGGATTTGGTTGTGCTGCAGTGCGTTGAATTCAGTTGGGCCGGGTTGAGGGTGGGGTCTACCCCCCCCCGAGACACACACAAAAAGGGAGAAAACAAGGGAAACGGGGAAAATAATAATTAAAAAAACTAAACTAAGTGCACCAATACCATTGTGAACAATGGATGGCATGTAGAATGTTTCATCATCATTTCTGCTTGTCCGCAAAATGAAACAGTAAAAAAAAACCTCTCCAACCCAACGCCCCCCCCACACAATTTTCTGGATCTTCCCCTGAGCTGGTTGGACTGGGCTTGGCTGGGTGCGTTGGATTGGGCTGAGTTGAGTCGAGTCGGGTTGAGTTGGGGCTGAGTTAGGTTTATTTGATTGGGTTGCCAGTGGGTCGGGTTCACTGAAAAATCCTTGGGTTAAATTTTAACCCAAGGGACAGTAACTAGTGGAACTCTTGCTTTATCCCTTTTTCTGAGGATTAGATTTTTATAGTTCATTTTTCACCAACAAAGTGGGTTAATATTACTAAATTTTGTGGTTAAAAGAACGAAATTAATTTAAATCGTCAAAATTAGGTTGACACAATCCTTATTTTGGGTTATTGCAATTTTCACAATCTCTTGGGTTAAAATTTAACCCAGGCACTTTCACTGTGTTGGATTTGCTTGGCCTAATGTCATGACAACGCAAACTCTGAGACTAAAGGGGCTGGCATATTCAATACACAAAGCTCTCACCAAGGTGTTTCCAACAGAGTTTCAAATAACGGCAAATGGCTAAAGCTAGCAGCGTCATCAGTGCAGAAACGTTGAAAAAGAACCCACAGAAACCATACCACTCGCAGCCACTGTCTCCAAATGACCACTGTGATAAGAAAAAGGGAAAACAGGAAATTTTTAAAAAATGAGTAGTTTTCTACAAATGACGAAGTGGTGAAACACCGAGGCATAGTTCAGAAAAAAAATCACGGAGGGAAGGGGCCAATATACACCCCGAGGCGTCTACCGTGACCCTAGTAACACCTGCGTTGTCAGAAGTCGGTCATCTTGAGCAAAACAAATACAAATGTTGATGATAATTATAGGTCTATTTTAGGTTACCAATGTGGTAAAATTTCTTAAAATAATAGTCGTCTCTATAGTGAGGTCTTGCTCCAAATACCTTTGCAAGACCATCGAAATGAGTGTGATCCAGTGAATAATTCTCGTTTCACCTTTTTTCAATCCTCGACAAAAAATCCTGACTTCGTTGTATGGGATTTTTTCCACACTGCACGACCACTTCAACTAATTAGAGAATCAGGTGTGCAGTCCAGACTAACTTAAAAGACAAATTTAAATTTAAAAACAACATCAGGACAGACAACTACGTTGACATGAATTTAACACGATCATTTCAAAATATACGTTGTATGCAAACTATGCCTACCCCACACACTTCCATTTTAAATGTATTTACACTCGTTCAAAAGACATTAATTCATCTCACAAGAATTGGTATTTTTATCAAACAGATTACCTTGCTGGCAAACCCCGACACTGCTGCTAGGGGATAGCCAATCAGGCAGACGCTAAGATCTGACACCGCCAGGTTGATCGTCAGTAGATCGAGGGGTTTCAAGTTCTTGCGTTTGCGCATGGAGAGGACCAAGACAGCGCCGTTGCCAACAAAAGAAACTGCCGCTGTTGAATTGTTCGATAAATAAGGTACTTAGGCTCAGTCAGTTTATCAAGTGATGAAACAATTACAACACTGTCAGGGGGGCCCAATGATTGGTATAAACTTGATAATTTTGATGGGAGGGGTAGTAACCTCGTTAGCAAAGTATTTAATCGATCATTTCAGATCGAACATAAAGAGTTGAGGAATCACGACCTCAAATAAAATCTATAAAGTAAGTAAACAGTCGCATTTTGTCTGTCAACGTCATCGATTCTGGCCCCAGTTCTCGTACGCCGGTCAAAGTCCGGTTTCCAAACTGTAAAACTCTTCGAGACCTCCGGACAAAAAGTTCTCCAGGTTCGGAAAATGTCGAAAGATTTCCGCACCCGTTTTTGTTGATTTTTCCGGCATCACTGTTGATACTCGAGAGGGTATGACGTGTCTAAAAGGCCTTTTCGATCTGACTTTCCACGATTTTTATCAGCGTATTTTACATACATTACATACACGTTTCCTGCTCAAATTTTGATAATGTCCAAGGGCAGTCGCGCACTGCATCTAAAACAGATAAGTATCCCTGATTTGCATCATAATTTATTCTAAACCGTGACGGATACCTGTGCTGATTACCGCACTGTGACGGTATTGCTAAATTCTTAGAGATGTCAGGGATTGCAGGGGCAAAGAATCTGCCTTGAGCAGAAGCACCCCCTCATCGGTTGAAGGGGCCACGTTTAGGTGAGTTCATTTTTTGTCGGAAGCGGCACGCGACCATAACTAGATCAGTAACAGTAACGCGTGCATTTTGGTCGAGTTTGGGCAGCCTGTTCCGTGACACGGGTTTAGTGTTCTTGCGCTCGAACGGCCAGAATTTGACGACCAAAGAACACTCTTCTCAGAACAGGATCACACACCACCTCCTCGTCATGATTTTACACAAACACATGCACGGAAAAACTCGTGAGATTTGATTTTTGAACAGCCGCAAAAAGTATCGATATGGCTTACAAAGCCGAAGACAACGAAACGTTTTGCAAAATTAACATTAATAGTTGTCCATGACAGAAATAATTTTTTTCAATGGAAAAGAAGTTAGCCCAGTTATCCGACATTAACTCTCGAAGAATGCACAAGGACGACGCCATGTTGCATGTTGCTTGCCACAGATAACGACTAGCGATAATCGGTTGTACGTTTCCAGCGTTCGAGCGGCCGACCCATGAAAAACAAATCGAGCTGCTGAACAAAACAAGAACAAGCCGCCCGAACTCAGCCTTAGAGTCATTTCACAATCCAGGGAAGTGCAGTAAATCCTCCGTTTCTAGGAAATTGCGTCCTCTCTTGATCCCGCTCGAGGTTAGGTTAAATTTATCACGCCAGCTGTTTCGCGTTGCTGACGGTGTGGCACTTGCACACACGTACAGGTTGCCCTTCGTGACCGGGCGTAAATCCCGTGGAATGGGAAAGTATCAAACTCCCTTCATACTATGTAGGTGGACCATACGATCATTACCCACTTATTTATAAGAATCAAAAATGCGGATTTTGAGATAATTTTAATCTTTCCAACCACCAAACTTTGTTAAATAACACGGAAAAACGGAGACCTAAAGAACATTCGTTTTTATTGCATTGTTTGTTTCCACAAGGTTAAGACATGTTTTCGAGCCTATACATGAGATGTAAATATCTTTTTTATCATTGGCCGCCCCCCCCCAAAAAAACGCCCCCTTTATAATGCCATAGGGCATTGGGGCAAGAATCTAGGACTCATCACGGACGGGCAATTTCAGTATTTGATCATTCCCATACTATACTCTCACCCCACTCTCCGGCACAGATTTAAGCCCTTTCTTTAGCGTCCAAACCCCGTAGCCAACAAAAACGCATCAACACGACACCGCAGTGGCACATCTTGCTGGCGCCGATGGGCAAGGTATCACTATTATTTTGACGGCTGGATATCAAGTCTAGCTGCGTACACGGCAAGACGACAGTGCTAAGCCGCAAGTAAGCTTCAGTCTGCGTAGAAGAAATATTTATTCATGGAAACTAAATCCACCTCCGGTGAATCTTTGATCCGATTTTCAGGTTTTAAAGTCTTGCAAGAACTGTGCCGTTTTCTTCTTGCGGTTCTTTAAAGCTGGGGTTATGTTTGGAAAAAATCGTTCAAAGGAATTTAGATCTTAAATACACCAGTTATAAAACTCACCATGGGCTAAGGGGCAGATCAAAAAAGAGGGAAAAAAGCTGGGGGATTCCCAACCGAGCATTTACGCGTGCTTGGGTTATGAGCGCCGATCTTGACAGAGAGAAGGTGCTATTTTCCCAGCAACAGAGGTTCCTTCGGTGAGAACCATTTATCTCCATTGAACAGACTTACGTAATGGAGACAAATGCTAGAGTGGTTCCCGTCCCATACGTAGTCTCCAGACTATATTTAGCATCCAAATTGACAGGGATAATCGCACACGTTAAATCACATAGCTACCGGTCCCCATAATAATGACGGGGACCAGTCTAGATCAATGCTATACCAAGAAAATGAACACTCCCCACCAGTATGTCATTTATGTCATTTTTCAACGATGAGGGGGTGCTTCTGCTCAAGGCTTTTAGAGGTCTTTAGCTATTCCATAAGAAATTTCCCCCAAGTATTAAACTCAGTGATAGATATAACTGAGACGAAGGCAAAGACAACGTCAGAGCATGGTTGGGAGACAAGTTAAAATGCTAACGATATTCGAGCGACGAATCACGGGTCCTCTACAGTAAACCGAATTGGAACTAGACCCTGGATTATCACTGCTTACCAAGAGACCTTTTCATTTTAGAAGACAAAACGAGCCATGTTTCATAGGGAAATGTAGAAGTGGCCTATTCGCTAATTGGTCGGGAGTGCTGTCGTCATGAGAAACTGCTGCCAAGCTTTGTCGATGGAAGGTATCAATTTCATAATACCATTGACGTTCGTTGGTGCCGCTTGCAATAACTCTGAACGCTCATTATTGTGAGGACCGCCTGAAGCCTGCTTAAGGTAGATCTGCAGGTTATGCGGTGGGGTTGTTTTCATCCCTACCGTATCAAAAAAGTGATGGCAAGAAGCCGTCAGCCACGAAATAGAGTCTGACGTATAGGTTTCTGGTGCTCCTTTTAGATTCAGAACACACACAGTCAACATGATCAAAGTTTGCAAAAGCGGAGATAAGTACACAAAAATTACAAAAACATTTTGAGGAACCCTTTTGAATTTGCGATTCACATGGGGGAATTCTATACACAGAGAAACAGCAATGCACGCCCCAAATTTGCAAATACTTAAAGACAGTGTACGAAAATCGACGAAAAGGTTGTGCTTGGGAAAGTTCGGCCGGAGTTTTGTTTGTTTGTTTGTTATTTAGTTTTTTAAATTTTACCAAGGTGGCTACCGATCTCTCAATAAAGTCGGGATATTTTGGTCTGAAAACCCAAATTAATCAACATTGCACTACTCTCGGTTCCACTATTGTCATTGCGACAATGTGCGGTTGAAGTTGCAAAGACGCCGAAGTGGCTATGTAAAGCCCAGAAGTTTAAACCAAAACACGACGCAAGAATCTTTTGCCCTTGGCTGAGTGAAATTCTACACCTGCCGACGGGAATTCAAAGCTCCAGGTGCTTCGACCGAAACAAATGCAACGATTAGCATTTCATAGTTGGATTCCGGCGCCACTCTACACCCGAACATCACGTATAAACATGAGCTCGAGAAATTTCGGACTCTTTTTGGAATCGTGTTGACCGTGAAGTATCATGATTAGCGACGAAACAGATTATCGAAGACGCATGACACTGATCGCCGTTTCAAAGAGAGTAATTAAATAGACCACATCAACTACCTCCGTAATGCATTAAAATTAATTTTCTTCGGGGGGGGCGCTGTTCAAGAAAACACGTTCACTGAAACGATGTTGAATACTCACTTATCATTGTGATCCAGATGCCAGATGCGATTCCAGCAACAGGCGACACTAAGGATGCAAACCCGTCCCCTTCCATGGCTCTCAATAACAGCAAATGTTCAGTTCAGCCACTGAGTGGGCAAGACCCTCGCCGTATTGTGGCCACACACGGCCATCTGCGTGCTAGATGCTCGTTATGCCGTCACCGATCGTTTCATCGTATCCCTCTCCATATTAATGAACTGTATTGTGGGCAAAGGTTTCTTGAAAACGTACAGCCTGCATTATTTGGTGAGGGATGAGGATTGGAGAAACCTGTCGTCATGATGTCGAGGAATTTCGTACTTGGACTGTTGCAAAACTGGCGGTTTTTGATGTAACTAACGCTCTGTTATTTGGAAGTGTCCCTGATGACTGTTGTTAACGAGCATTGCTCTGTTTCTATACGTTAGTATCTCCACATCGGATCTTTTTGTAAAACTTGATGAATGCTGCACTTTCTGTTGTTGCTGTTTTTGTACAAGTTATTTATGTCTTTGTTGTTGCTGTTGTTTAACTTGAAAGCCTTGGTGACAAGTCGATAATTCCGTAGGTTTTGTTCTTAAAGGGCACATGAAATGTATTTTATATTAGTTTGAATGGAAGAGGACATGTTTAAAAAAGATTTCCTGTCAGTAAAAGTTATCGCTTTAATTATTAAGCATGAGAACAAAATTACAAAGAAAAGCACCTCATTAGCCTTATTAGCATAGAAAATTTGCATAATTGTGACGTAGATTTGAGAACCCACATCGGCCAGTGGCGCCGGCGCTAGCACTGTGTGTATTGTATACCAGTGCAGTTAACGCGATTTCGAGATCACCAAAAGTTTGCTACAATCCTAGTCAATTTGTAGAGAATGCCAACCATGTGTGTTACTGCAGGTTGTGGCAACACAAGTGATGTATTGCCATCTGACTCTGTGGAATATCGACTTCCCGAGTTGTTGTCATGCTCCATATGCGAAAGCTTCAGTTGGGACGACCGAGCCCATTGCTCCCTCCTAGATATTGTGTGTATAATGCAGATACCGCTTCGCCTCCCGCATTCGCATGTATTCCCGATCTACACGCCATACCATATACTGTATGCATCGCAAGTTCATTATTATGTACGTAGGCGCAGGCCTGTACGTAAGTGAACGCATGCCACCTGTAAGGATATTTTTCATGCCGCGCCGTGAAGGAAGTTGTATGCGATACTCTGGGGTTCTGACGGACGCAATGGTGCCGACTATTTGTGGGTTCTGAAACGTGCGTCACGAACATCGCCGCCATTTGTTACAAGTGAAACATGAATTTTAGGGGGCAATTTGAAAAACAGCAATTAGCCATATAATTAAAGGAACTTTATTCCCTTTTTTCGTCAGTTGTGATGTGACTGACATAATAAAGCACAAGTTAAAGCAGAAACCAACAGTTAGTCCAGGGAGGTCCAAATAGGCCCTTTAATCTTTGTGACAAGTATGCAATGTGGATCGAATGTCGAAAACCGAGACAGTGATATTTCTACATCCTCAACCAGCTCCGTTGAAATGACGGATGTTCCTTCCCTTCGAAAAAAAAATCATCCAAAGCCATGATCATAGTCTTCAATCCAGTTGATATTCCCCAAGGTGATATGAAAAAATAAAAATCGCGCCTGGGAGGGAGATTTCGCTTCGATTACACTTATCGCGCAGTGCTGTATACGATGTCGCTGATTTGTGTTGCGTGTACGCGCAACAAGTAAGAGAAACCACAAGGCTACTCACCTTTTGCCTACAAATGGAATGGGCCGCCAAAGTTTGCAGAAATATCACTTTTGGTTGGTTTTTGATTGTACCTCAAATTCATTCAAAATGGATATTTGTCCAATTAGTTAGGTCCAAGTTTCGTTTAGCATTTATTAGTATGTGTGTTGTATAAGCTGGTATTCTGATAGCTGCGAGGGATTTTAAGACTTTTTGATCTTTTACATTTGTACCGACGGCCAATTATAGTTTTACCAGCCACTTGTAGGAAAAACACGACTGTGACGTCAGACGAGCAGGTCCTATATAATCCAGGATTCGGAGCGCATGAGTGTCGAGTGGAGCATATAATTTTTGCTTCAAAATGGCGTCGGCAGACATAACATACAGACTCGCTTCCAACAAGAGGAAGAACGACCGTATCAGTTTCATTTATACCTATCCAAAGGCTACAACCCTGTGGGACTGTCCCCAAACGATCAGACGGCGAGTGCAAAACCAACAGCTCTGGCGAAACCATGGTGATAGCGCCCTCTTGAATTCCTCATAGCCCTGCACGAGGAAAAAGTAAGCGCAGCGGATGACTTCTGTTGAATCGAGGCCGTGTCCGAATTATTTGGCTATGGCCTGTTCCCATATAGAGTTGTGTGTAATTTTAAGCCATAGCCAAGTAATTCGGACACGGCCTCACTGTCAGCTACTCGATTCTCCGCTGAATCCACCCGGAAAATTTATACTGCCGAGATAAGTGAGACCGTGACACAGGCTCTTTACTGAGGGATTGGCAAAAATTAATGCTCACAGAGTCGTGCGAAAACGTCATCGTAAAAATGCAATCAGCATAAATATGGGAAGAGGTAATGAGATTAAACTGATAATGTAAATTATGAGCGATGACATCGAGCCATGTTTGTAAACTTTCTGTTGATGATGTACCTCGTAGGACTAAAAACGTAACTTGATATCGTTTATATAAAAGTACTTAAAGTGACTTAAATCCATATTCATGATAATAAAGAATACGGTCGATTCACAATAATGCACCTCCAAGAGTTTGCAACGCGTTGACCAATCACATTGCGCGAAATCTATTGACCCTTTCCATACGCGCACTGGGTCGACAGATTTCGCGCATTGCGATTAGTCAATTCGTTGCACTCTTGGGGGCGCACTGTTGTGCGTATTGCTCCTCGAGGTGTCTTTTGGAGAAAGGGGTAACTGCGGTACCAAGTATGATACGAGATTTGTATAGTTACGCAAAATGTAATGAGCAGTAAGAAGGAATAATTATGCCGAAAACCAGGCCAAGGCATACATTTCAACATCTTACCTGTCAGAATAGGATATGTGTGATTTATGCGTATTTGGTCTGCTATATAGTGATCGGCATCTTAGCCCGTCAGCTCTGTTCTTCAAAGCAAAGCACGTATTTATTGGCGCATGTTTTCTTCGCGATTGTTCAGGGTTCCACTATACAAGGTTTGTGTATGTGTCAAGCGCACATATACCGCACAGGGTGAACTTCAAAGATGCACGCATTCACGAAAAAAAAATGAAAACGGTACATCATCATAACTGTACACGTACCTCAGGGTAGTCTCGTAGCACTCACATGCAGGTGTCCAGGTGACTGTCCAAACGATGGAGCCCTTATCCCGTTCTTCTTTGTCTATCGCTTTGGTTCTCGCCGTGGAAACGACATTTTTGGTACAATGACGATAAACTATCGCGGTTTTCGCACCATATTTACGGTCCTCTTCGCCTTGCTCCTTCTTCAGGAAGGAGTGTGAATCAAGCACTTGTTGCGGAGAAGTGGGTGTACTTTTTATTTGACGTACATGTATATACGAAGCTGTGGCCGTTTCGTTTGAAATTGAACCACACCTTGGCTGTAGTCAAGTGTTTTCTACGCGCATATTAGTGGACGAGCGACGGAGAGACTGACAAAAGAGTCATCATCACCAAAGATGGTGGCGAAGAGATCGCATAAGAGGGTGGTATTATGTAGAAGATAATTACCCGATGCTGATGATTGGCTTGTTCGGGGTTCTGTGTACGTCATGGACGTTCTAGCTGAAGTTGAGCAGATTCATGTGTTGAGAACAAGATCGAAATGTTTGCCAGTGGCGCACTCGAATATACGTGCCATATGCCGACAACGAACGTATTTATAGCCGTGGCTCTGTATAGGCCGGGGGGGCAAAAGTCATGCACCCTCGGGGGTGTAAATGTAAAGAGAATCTAACTTTGCCTTGAAACCATGACCAACGAGAGTGGGAAGAAAAAAAGAAGTCTGTACTCAGTAAACGAAGAACAGGAGTCATATTACGTATCCGCAGTTCCCAGGGATTTTAAACCGTTCAGTTTATCATTACTTATGATATAGCACCTTAAGGATTTCAAAGTTGCTCTCTGTTATACGCCCTATTCGTAACCATGTATCCGAATATTAAATGAAGATCTGCGCCTGCTGTAATACAGATTTCCAACCACCCGAAAACTTTAGGCATTTGTTTTTCGAGGAACACCCTATAAAATATTGATGGCTGTATACAAGATCAGAGTTCCAGAGAAGAGAGAAGGTGGCAGGACTGCTGCCACTTTTAGAAAGTTTCAAAAATATGTTTGGGCTTTTTGTTTTCGCGAAGACAGCCAATGGACGACGTAGTGAAGTCAACAAGTTCACACCACATTGTATAATATGTATTTGGAAGAAGGAAATTGTGAGGATTTTCTCCTAATATGTAATAAACCTCAACAGCCAATGTCGAAACGTTGTCAGCATTCCTTCACCACGTTTAATTACTTTTTCCACCGCCCGAATATAAAATTTCGTTATTTTTCAACATGACGCCTTTCTTCAAGCTATCTGACCAGAATTAACAATATGTACACGCCGTTTTTCTCTGTAACTCTTAACAGAAAATTGACAAAAGCTTCTCTATTATGCTGTTTGCTTCAGGTATATAGTACTTTCACGGATATTCCTATTTTTCTTGAAAATTTGCACGCCCGACAGCATAATAGTTTGATTTGTGTCTTTGTAAAGCAGTTCCAGCATACAAAAGTGACGACTTCAGAAATTTCTTCATGTTAGGAAAAAAAGAATGTGTGGGACGACTGCTGCGGTACCAACAGTGCACCAATCAGACAACAGGACAGATTGTTCCGGTGTTTTTGTAATTACATTGTATTCGTTTTATTTGCCACATCATTGTGCGTATATTTTGCCCACAACTATAATCCATCCTATAAGAGGAACAGTTTCTGCTGAGAGTCGAACAGTGTGTTAAGTTCCTCATCCCCTTCAAGTGTATTTTAATTTCGTGTTTGCAGTTCTCCTGGACCTCTTTGAATGTAGAGGTAAATCCTCAGTGATGGAACCGCATCCGCCATAAAAGACAAGTTGGGTCTACATACCAGCTCAAAAAAAAATTCATCTACCCTTTTTTTGGGGAAAGGAATTGTTAATGTAGAGAACCGAAAATGTAGAAACACGGGAGAGTAAGTTATGAGGGTTGCTGGCCTATGTGACACCATGGCTACACAGAGCTTACAATGCCCATGTGGTTGAAGGGCGCGTAAGCAGCAGTGTGGCGCACCCACATACACAGTCTAGTTCCGGCTTGAGGGGCGTGACTTATTTGCACTCACCCCCCAAACTGGTTCTGCCCTGACAGTGACCCCCTTGTCTTTTCACTTTGGCTTGTAACTCCTAACCCGAGTCCTATATTTGTCGTTACTGATAGTGGTAGGGAGTATACACACACACTTTTTTCATAGACTGTTTATTCGATTACTTCATTATAATGACCAAGCAAAACTTTTCAGAATTTTTTCAGTCTGATGCCTGAACGCGAACCACGTGAAAATGGATTTCATATTGAAAGGGTGCCCATCCACAGTGCTATCACTTGACCTTTGATTTGATTGCGATCCCTTCTGCTCGAAGATGGCGCCGGCGTTGAGCAAGCTTCTTTCCAGCAAGGTTTCTGCCGGAGTCGTTGCCGGTGCCTTCTTAGTTCACATGCTTCAGAGGAATCGTAAAAAGAAACAAATACGCCGAGTACAAAGGTATGATGTTAACCTGTTTATGTCGTGATGATTGAACGCTTTAACCATAGAGGAAGAAATAGACCTTCCCCCAAGTTAAACATATGCATGTAGGCATAGGGCCTAGGCCCCGGGCGTTAGCCCACGTTGGATGGATATGGATGGACGTCGTCTACATCTATTGCATCATGATTGCATTGCGACTATTAACGTCCGGGGTATAAGAAGTCCTCCTAGTACAGTTACAATGCGAAATTTTTTCAGTGGTTTTTCTCACATTTTTACCCGGCGAAGACAGCTCTAAACATGTTAAATGTCGTTCATATTGTACTAGGCCTACTTCAAGTACTTGTAGTTTGTGCCCCCCTATCCCGAATTCCATAAATACTGTGTTGAAGTTTCTAGCCTAAAATACTCCTGCAGACAATGTAGGCCCTACATGTATTTTGCAAGACATTTTATGAAACTCCATGCTTTCCTAGTTCTACTGAGTGGAGCGTTGTTTTCCTCTTTTTGGATTTTGGACGGGATCGTCATACTACGCTCCACGCCTGTACATAGAGAAGAGTTGAAACGGTTCTCAAAAATTCCAAATACTCACCAAAAATACCTTTATCACAACCTACTGGCTTCCGTAAATGCCAACGTCAAACGGTTGGGGTTTCAGTGATTTTTCTGACTTCAAAATCTGTCAAAATCCGACCTTTTTCACTCGACACATGCACAGCACTTAAATTTTTTGCCCCCTCCTCTCATTCAAATACGGGCGTGTAGAGTTTTCTGGCGCAATTTGTCAATGGACGGGCGTGGCCCAAAAATTTGTCCCCATTTAGAGGGACATTCTCTCTTTCTGGGGACTGATTTTGTTCTTGAATAAAAGGACTTCTCCAAACACAGGGACAGTCTATGAATTGTGATGTGAGCCTCTATTGTGTGCTGTGCTGGTTAGGGCAGCTGATGCGCCGTCTATCAATCTTGTGCATACTGCGTCACCGGGTCCCTATGCATACCATGCCCAGTGAGTCGACTCGCAACGTAACACGACACACGCAAATCTGCCCAAGCACATGATCTGCTATTTCTGTTCAATGTAGCGATGTCACACATAAATTTGTTTTAGGAGAGAAGCTAATTTCATTGCGAATCTCATGAAGTGATGTGTTTTTTATTTTTATGTTCCATGTTCTAGTTAGCACTAATTAAGTATGCACATGTCATGTAAATAACCTGCCGCGCCATACCTGTTGTAGTTCGAACGTAAGTTTCACTATTTTGAAAATTTTGCTTACATTGTGCAAGTATGGTGCACTGAAGTGTGATTCGCACAACTGTTTTGAAATAAAGTCATATGAAATATGCAAATAAATACTCATTAGTATGTGAATAAATGCAATTGTTCATGATCTATTCCTCAATCTAGTTTTGTTTGCTTCTTTGTAAACCTCCCCTCCCCCCACATAATAAATGGTATAGTCCATTCACTTATTTAAGTTTGTACGAGTATCAGCAACTTCCATTTGTTATATGGATACATTAATATGAGGGGTAACTTTTAAAAAGTTAATTTCAATAAATAGTTAATAATAAAAATGGACTAAAATAGTATTTTGGGGTAAGCGCATATATGGCAATTTAATTGAAAATCAATTTGTTCAGATTGTTATCATGAGCATGGCATATTCTATGCATTACTAAAATCAAAAGATGTAGATTTCTTGGCAATCAACACCTCTCTAAAAATATCTTAATCGGTCCAAGTCGCTCCACTCTACATGGTAACTGCTTATTTTATCACCACAAAAATGCATCAAACAAAACAAATCTACCCCCAGTTACCTCCCGAAACTTACAGTTTTGCACCAAAAATTGAAAATATTTACATTTTTCTGGCATACGGTAAGCGATGGTTGTGATATCCGGCGATTTTTTAGGCATAGGAAATCTCTTGTGAAATGCAACTAGAGTGAAAATAGGCCTCTGTCATCTTGCATTCAACTTACATCCCATAATAATTCCATGAAATCTCACTAGAGATTGTTTTTCAAACAAACTGACGATATAACGTGAGACCCCTAAAATTCAAAATGGCGCCGTTCAGTTTCAATGATCCGTATTAAACAAGGTAACTTAATCACTATTTTAGGGCATGCAAAATTTGTTGTGATTAAAAAATATGCATACAGATGCTTGAAACAGATATTAATTATACCATATGTGTCAAAAAGAATCAGATTTTGGTTCAGATGAGGGAGATTTGAACAGATTTACGGGGGACATTTTACAGGATAGCAGCGCATAAAAATGGCTGATGTGTGACATCGCTATTAAATGCCCCAAACTCCATCATGTACATGCCTTGAACAGTCAAGTTGTCTTAATGAATGACTTGGTAAACGGTCAGGTTGCCCCATCGGTCCAGTAGTCTCAATGGTCAAGTTGTTCCGGGTCGAATTGATGATTGGTCAAGTTGTCCGACATCCGTTGGACAGTGCTAGGCCCACTGCATGCATTGTAGACGTACTTAGTCAAGGCTAGGAGTACAGTGTAAATCGCCTTTTTTTGGACATGGCCTTGTGAAACATTTGATCGGGCAATAGTTTTAAAATGCTCTTTGTGTTGTGTGTACATGTACTTTTAGCTCACATGACTCATAGCGTTACCCCGATCAAATCTTCAGACATGTCAGAGTTTCACCCTGCAAACATGTCATGGCAAACAGACCTGAAACTGTTTAATGCTTTCCCTAAGGAATTCGTTGGGAATCGAATATCTGTAATGCTTGGTGGTCTTGTTCACAGTGTATTCATTTGGGAAGAAAAGTAGAATTTATCCCATTCAAGTTGGAAACACTCCTGACTTACCTGATGAGCTTCGACATCTTTTGCATAAGTTTTTTGTTCGCTACATTCGATGCCAATGGTAATAGAAATGATTAATTTTTGACCAGCTAGCCTGGTGAGGTGTGCTTAACATTCAGACCAAAATTACACATTCCATAGTCTACATTTGGCCCTTTTTTTAAGTCTGGGTAAGTCTGGGAAATTGCCAAGTGCTAACAGTAAATAGAAGGAAAACCTTGGACAAAGATTCCCGGGAAACCCCACAGAATGAGGTTGGGAATGGGAACCCAATCCACATGCCGACCTGGATGGGATTTGAACCTCAGGTCGCAGAGATGGAAGGCAAGGAAAGTACCACCATGCTGGCCTGACTCTCCGTTATGCCCGTGTTCAGCCATATGTACTTAAATGCTTGTCAAAATCTTCAGGGACCAATTTCATAGAGCTGCTTAAGCACAAAATTTGCTTCAGTGCAAAAAACCTTGCTTGAAAAACAAAGGTCACCTGCTCAAAATCTGTGTGATTGTCATGCTAACCAAAAGACAGGTGAATACCATTCCAAACCAATATACATCACATGGAGGTTTGGCTGGTAACCTGATTTGTCAAGCAAGGTTTTTCACGCTGAAGCAAATTTTGTGCTTAAGCAGCTCTATGAAATTGGCCCCAAGCCTTTCTAATCTTATGAATAACAAATGCATCTGCATGTAGTTTTCGCTTTTTTTTTTTACTGACTTTCACTTTTTTTATTTCATTTTCTTTTCAGTGTGGCTGATTTGCCAGCATCTGTAGATGTAAGTATACTGGTTAATTCTTCAAAAGGAGCTGTAATGCTTTATTTTATCCCGCCTTTTTAAGGGAACATAACCTCTGAGGGGCGACTCGGTATCAAGTACATCTACATCTCATTCCTGTGAGTTTAAAGGCTCATTTGCCCTCACATTTTACAAAATGTTCCTTACTCCCCGTAGTGCTTGCTCGTACATACCAAAATGCCGTCACATTTAGTTGTAAACTAATTATGTTGACTGAAAACATGTTTACCAAGGTGACCTGTAAACATCTCTGGGTTTTTAAGAATGTTCCTGAATCCTCCAAAATCAGTCCCTGTGAGGGAATCCAATGATCCATCCTGTGTGCCCTTGAAACTCAAATGAATGACAGTAAAGGTTCCATCCAGTGTGACTTTTGTTTTTTAATGCAGTTATTAACCATTTGTCTTTGTGCTCCATCTACCGGTAACCAGAGTTTCAATATTCATTGTGCCATTTAAAGGGCATTTTGTCACTTTTTTGTTTTTGGATGTTTAATGAAAATTTCCATACAATTTGAATGGATTTATAAGCAAAAGTGTGATGTCATCCACGAGAGAGAACTCAGGGTTACGGTATTTCTGCATTAAAATATATAAGGAATTTCGATATTTTGCTGTTGTAAGTTTTGTTAACTCAGGGGATATGCTGTTGCTTCAGTTCATGAGGGTAGGTCAGTCAGCAAAGTTCTCTCTCGAATATTCTCAGTGAGCAAATTTGAGGTTCACTGTTTGAATAGAAGCCTCTCCCGTGAACAGTGTCTTCCTTGAACAACATCAAAACATCACTGCCCGCAGGAAAAAAGCTTGGGAGAGTGCGCTCTTCATGTTGACATATTCTTTACATAAAGAGGATTAGAAAGGACCTCAAAAAGCATTTTTTTCCCCAAGGAAAATCACATTGTGGACCCTTTCTGGGATGACCTATGCATGGAAATTGATAGTGGCCGGTTGGCGCCTCCCTAATCCTTTCCAGAGGCTTTCAAGCCCCCCCTCGTTGGGCTTGAATGGGTTCGTGAGGATTATTCATTTGTGGCCTTGCATGTTAGTAATCAAGTCGATGGGAGGTTTGAATGTCAGACGCGGCACTGGTCGCTAATTGTTGTAGGTGCACTGTCAGTGAGTTGAGCAGGATTGTTCCTTCCCCCCCCCCCAAAAAATATCGAATATCAGATTCTCCCGTTTCTGCCCCCTCCCATTTCTGTAACCAAATGCCACGCTGCCTTTGTACATGCATACTGTGTTTCCATTTCCCGACAGTAATATTCCACCACAAGCTGCTCCTATTCATGGGACTATAGCTTTTGAACTGGAAATGCAGACCTTTTTATACAAAACTTAGATTCAAGGTACATGTACTCTTAGTTATGGAATATGTATTATCCCATCAAGAAGAACTGAGCCAAATCTTTTGAGTCAACAGCCGTTGCTGCCTCAACAGAACGATCCATCATGGTGTTTGTCAAGTTAGAATATGCACTGTAAAATTTCTGGAGATTGTCAGTCTGTTTAAAAGTGACGACGGTTGTGTATCTTTTGGACTTATTTAATCAGAAAGCGGGGATATTTTTCTTCAAGATTTCCCCGGGGGGAAAAGCTTTGGATTAGGTCAACAACGTGGTGAATTTTCTTATATGTAACAACTGCAACTTGAAACACTTTTGGAATTTTTTTTATGAATTGTATTAAACAATGCTCTTTATAAAAATATTTAAGGAAACTGACTACATGATAAAGATGAGCAAAGAAACTGACTGGAGGGGGATTCAAACCCGCTACCTCTAGGCCGCCATTCAAAACGTTTCTGAGAAAGGGTCTTTCATTACACTACAGTGAGTCACTGGTATCACTGACATTCAGGACACCAGGGCAGCAAAATATGGGCCTTAACAATTCCGGCAGTTTTGGGGGCACGGATCCACACAACATTGACAAGAGCCAATTGTACAGTAACGTTTACGCTGCAAATGAAGTACACAACTGGACTGTGTTGAAACAATTAGACTGGCTAATTCTGTAACAGTCACAGACAGTCAAGAATTCCTTCCACTTCTCCCTCTACTGCACATCGACATATCATACACCACTCAACTGATTTTGACTGATAGGACAACAGCGTCAATCAAGAATGCATCTTTGCAAGGGAGGGGTAACAGGTTACATGTTTGGTAACTAAATGAAACTTTATGATCAGTATGCCTACAATTAATAGTACCCAGAATTCCTTTTTAAAAAACTAACACTTGCCAATATTGTTTCAAGTGCAAATTAAAATCATTTTCCACCTGCCTTTTTACACGCTTAATTATGCAGGTTGTCATTTCAAACACATTTTACGTATGTTTTTCAGTACGGCTTGGGGCATACCGGATTCATGTACATGTACTTGCAGCAAATGCAATTTGTTGAACGTATCAAGTCACACATGTCTTGGGAGAAGTGTAGCCCCAAGTGACAGGGGGAGAAGTTTTTCTCATGCATTTCAAAGATAAGAATCGGAGAGTATGTGAATTTCCCTTGGGACATCTTAATGTAGTTGGACAAGCATTCAAAGGTTGCATGTACAGTATATTTCATTATAATGCCTACGACAATGCCTAATGTATGAATGTTAAAAAGAGCAAAACGAAGTCTTTTTTCTGCAAGGTGAAAGTCCTTTGGACTGGTTAGAAACTTAGCATGCATGATACTTGAATTTAAGACAGTCCTCAGCTTGTAGTTTCGCCGTAGCAGCTGCATGGGCTTGTAGTCCTGTCAACCAATGAGAAAGCTTAGCATTTGGAAAGTGAAATAATTGGGCAAAGGATGGAGTACGTGGTTTGACCGTCTCAGAGAAGTGGGCCGGATCCATCCCTTCCCCACCCCCCTTACAAAAATCTCATTACCACTGAAATGGAGATGGTAGTTTTGGTGGTTTTTAACGGGCAACCATCAATCGTTTATTCATCTTTTTCCCTGTAATTTCTCTTCCCGCAGGAACAGCCCATTGTTAAGAAGAGCCAGAAAGATCGTGCTGCGGTCGATCTTGTTTTCTTCAAGTAAGTTTCTTCCTCATTTTAGTTTGTTCCGGGGAGAGAATGGCTGTCCAGATTTGCAAAGTAAATTTTACTGGACGTACACGTAACACACTGCTTCTATAGAGCACTAAGTGCAAATCAAGTTCATTCACCTGATGTATGACACGCATACTCAAATGTTCTTCTTTTAGCTAGACTCAGCACTCAGTCTCGCTGCGCGACTGTCATAGTTTTTCCCAGTAGCACATTTTCGTCATTTTAGTTTTTTACCTCTCCAGACCCCGCTCGTCTAGCATCATTTCACGTCACAAAAAATCTGTGTTGGAATTATCCTTTTTTAATTTTTATTCTGACAAGCTGGTTGGAGCAGATAATGAACGTGAGACAATACACCAGCTTCTTGAGAATGTAGTGGAGTCCCCTACATGGCACACTTCAGTGTTTCCCTTGCCTTTCCTCTTGCGGTGTTGCCAAACTTCTTTGATGAAAACCTTCCCATTCAGTGATGGTGCTAGTGCCTTCATGCTGCCGAATCTCTGTGAACTATTTCAGTGGCATTAGATTCAGTCCGAAATTGAAAAATGGTGCCGACCTGAAATTGGACACGAATTCAGCTGAATGTTCCTAAATTTCATGCTCCTGAATTAATCTCAGAAAATCCAACTTTAACATTTAAGAATTTCTTTCAAGTTAATACATTCTAATAAATCATTCATAAATACCTTAGATAGTCTCCCTATTCGACAAAGTGCAACTTGACCGTGTATTAACATTTGATAATGCCCGCTTAAATGTGATAATGCCAGCTGTGTAGAAAACGCCATGGCACCTAGACACGAGGCAGTTTACTCCGCCCCTATTAGTCAAGAGTCTACTGGCGATGCAGCATGCAGAACGCGATACATGCGCGCCAAGTCCATATATATGTGGATATTCCTCTGAACAATTTGCACAAAGAATTTACCACAAAAATGGATGGTGGTGTTCAGGAAAAGGAAAGTAAAACTCCAGACCAAAATCATTGGAAGACTATCATATGTTGACTTCTTTTGACTCTGACGGATGCAGGAGAATGAACGCTGATAATGCCCTCGTCTGTTCCTTGGGCATTAGTCACATCCGTTCTCCTGACCGCTCAAGAGCATATTTATTCCCTTACTTATTTACTTCCACTCGCGTACCCAGCTACAAGTTTGTAAGGAAATCTTTTTTCTTATTTTGAAGAGTATTTTTGAAAAAAGTTCACTGTGTACTCGGAAAAACGGGCCAAAAAAGAATTTGGTAAACAAACTCAAAATAGATGAATGGGAATGTTGAGACCTTGATGAACTTTCACTCGTTGAGATGTTTGAGGAGAAGATATTGCTCTCACAAAGCACTTGAGGCAAAAACCCAAAGTGTGCCACTTTAGGGGCCGTGCCATGTTAGGGGCTGCGCCATGTTAGGGTACCAAAATCAAAGCAATTTGAAGCACTAAGCTCAGTGTGCATAGTCAGTGGCTTGGAATCCCCCATGCACGGTATACGCAATTGACTGACGACTGCCAACCCCCCTTCCCAAGCATTGTTTGTAATCCTTCTGTAATAAGATGCATACCGTACCCGTGCAGACGGGTAGCGTGGATCCTTTAATATTTGCGCCATTAATTCAGGGTTGAGCTGTCGTGCGCGACAGGAAATGCTCAGATATTGAGTGAAAAACAGATGGCGAGAGAAAGCAATACTCTTTCCTTATTCGGTGCTACTGCATTAAATAACATCAGCTTTCATTAGTCTTGCTATCGTCTGATGCACTTTACATTTGGACTGTGCTGACGAGCTGATTGCATCTTCCATTGTCGTCTGCGTAGAAAGTGCTCGTTCAGCATGGTGGAAAAAATGCCCGAGGTGATGTCTAATTCTCATGGAGCTCTAGTGTCATTATCTTTGTTGTTTAGGTTTTTTTTAGCAATTTATTTATAGATTCAGTCTTTGATTCAGTCCACCGGGCTTGAGAAGAATGACGTTGGGAACAGTGCCTGAAACAGTATTGTGTAAACTTTCCTTTCTCGCACCTCTAATTTTTTAAAGGCGTCTGCTCCAAGTCCTCAAGGTTCTCATCCCAGGATGGTTTTCGGCAGAAGTAAGTGACATGCCTGTGGCTGATCTGTGTAGGGTCACTTGCTCTCTCTTTCCACTTGCAGGGTTCCCACAGTCACGGTAAAGCCCCTGAAATTTGAGGAAAAAACATAAGGTGTCCTTGAATCCTGTTTTCGCAGGGAAAAAAAAGCTGTGGAAAAGTCACGAATATCAAGATCAGGCAAGGGTTGTTTCTTGGTACTTTGCTTTGCTTTTCCAAACGAAGTATTATGAATTATTTTTAGTTATTATTCATTGCAAATGTAACTGTTTTTTGTAGGCTGCAGCTCACAAGTAACACAGAGTGTTTCACTTCACCACGATCCATGATTTATCTGGCATAGCCTTTTATTCATTGGCAGGTTGGTTATCTTGCCCTGGTGGCATTTGCCCTGATGGCTCGGACCTACTGCGATGTCTGGATGATCCAGAACGGAACAGCCATCGAAAGGTACAGAGACGGATTTTTCTCGTTAATTTTGTGCTGCGGATACTTTAGGCGTCACTTTTGGCCCTGGGGACTTCCTGTGGGTACATTGGGCAGAGGGGGACGGAAGTATAAACAGAAAGCTTTACATTGCACAGTGTACGTGTGTGGAAATAATGAGCAGTGAGATTATGATGGGAATGAGGCTGGTTGATTGCAATGGGTTTTGTGAAGACACACTGACAGGAAAGGACAGCAATTAATTATCCTTGCCAAGGTGATACACCTGACACACAAGAGCCATCTGGTGGCCGTATATACACAAAGCCATCAGTGTGTTGCATTATGTCATCATTAATAAGTGCAAAAAAGACGGTGGATGTTTCTTTAACGTGCATTATAACACACTTCTTCTCGGTTCTTTATCCTGGTTGGCTGAAATATGGTTACTTATCACTTATATAGGCTAGTACTTGAATTGGGTGTCGGCGTGACTCGACACGCACCTAGACGTTGCGCTTGTGCATCAATTTCAGAGACGAGTGCCCGGTCAGGCACTAGTCTTGAAAATGTTTGACTGGTTATTGCCCCCTCTGGAGGTTGTCCTGAATTGAAACAGTTCAGACCCTGGAAGATTTTTTTTCTTAGTCGTATACAGCGACTCAGAAGTAGACTGCCTCTATGAAAACTAAAATGAACCTTCAATTTTTTGGCAATTTTTGAAGTGCTGTTGAAAAGTTAAATTAAAACAGTTAAAACCCTGAAGTGTGTTATAAAACACATATGAACTGGCCAAATTCGCTGGCCAAATTTTCAGCTTTTTTGTTTTGGATTTCAGCTTTTAATCTCACCAGCTGTGTACAAAAGTGCAGGACATGTCTTTTTTCAGCTGTTTTCAGCTATTTTTATCTTTGGTCAATCTCATCCTGTGCGATGCCAAAATAGGTACCCTCTTCTGGTCACAGTCCCTCGGGGACATAGAGATATAGACATGCACTACTGACCTCAGTGCTAGTCCGTATGTGTATATTACAGCATTTCACCACCCACATTAATCCATGATGTACTCTCCGCGTGCTAATACATGTAGGTACATGTACATGTATATATATATGCACTCCTTAATTGAGTGGTATCCCAGGGAATGAGCTTCCGTAAACTAAAATTGGTCGTTGAAGATATGTTCACTTGAAATCGTTTTTAACTTTTCAATTTAGTTTGCATTAGAAAAAAATATGCCAGCCTTTTGTTTGATGTCGATTTTGTAGCTTGATGAACATGGGAAAAATTTGTTTTTTAGTTTTTTTATTTAGTTTGCATTAGGAAGAATATACCAGCCTTTTTGTTTGATGTCGGTTTGGTTTTTTTTTAGTTTGATGAACGTGGGCGTTGAGTGGGTGACAGGCAGTGCTGTGCAGTGCAACCAAAACGGTCACGTTTGCGCCTACAAAATCGACCTGATGCTTAATTGATTTTTTCTAGGAGCCAGTGGCTTCTCATTTCGTTTTTCTCCATACACAGCACTCTGGACAGGTTGACATTTCTTATTGGTAGACACACTTTCATCCAGCAAGATTGTTTTTTTTAATGCCCTGTACCTCAGATAGCTTTGGGCAACATGCGACTTATTTTTTGTTGGGTTCAGTTTGTCATTTCAGGAAGAATGTGATATCCTCATTTCTCTTTGTACTAGATTTTCCTCAGTGACTTCAGACATTTCAAATGTGTTGAAAAGTGGATTTCACTCTTAGAAACACTGCAAATATTGTTTTAAAAAAATTTTTCCTGTATTCCCATACCTTTGTACACAATAAATATTATGGAAGTGAATGCTGCGTGGCTTCTGCAGTTTCAACCACAGGACAGCGGCGCTTTGGATGAAATGATTTCACATTGTTGGCCCTTGCCCAACGTCAGGTTTTCTTGCATTGTGTTACATTGCCTAGTGTTACCGTGTGCATTGTTACCTGTCTATACTGTGATTTAACTTCGGTTAATTGGGATGCCAGAATAAGTTACGTAAACCATCCCAACTAAACATGGCAAGAGACCTGTGGCAAAAGACTGTTGCATAACGTGGTGAAGGAATACGGTTTGTGTGGTTGATTTGTTCACATTTTCGGACTGAAAATGAATAATCAGCTCCTGTGTTTCATGAACAAAAAGGCAATATGCTTGGTTATTCCGTGGTAATACAGGCGTGAATCTCTCCATGTTTTTGTTTTCCGATCCTTCAATTTGGTGTTTGTTGTTTTTTTTTGCAACAGTTCAATAATTGGTCGGGACATCAACCTTTTCAAGAAGTACCTTCTCAACTTCATCTATGCTATGCCTGCAGTGAGTCACCACTTTAACCCTTACCCTACATAATACTACAAATCACTACTTTTTGTAAAATGTACTCAGCCCTGCCGCTTGTAAGAGGACATGACCGTATTGTTCTCTGAAGCCATAAAATACAATAGAAAAGACAATGTACCTTACAGTGCAGATTCCAAAAATTGTACTTGAGAAAGCAGAGTTTCAAGTTCGTAATTTAATTGTGAAATTTTTAATTGGTCACAGGAAGTGGTAAGGAAAGGTTCCTTGTTAAGGAAGTGACGGAAATCTGTGGGTTGGGTATTGGGCCAAAAAACATTGTGGCATTATTTTAAATTTATTCATCTGTTCACTGTATTTGTCTTTTGACTTTACAAGACAGTAGCAGTAGAAATCAAACAAACAAAAATTCAGTTTGAAAGTCAAAAAGGTGAAGTCTGAAAATGGGGCTCAAAATCAGGGGGAGGGTTCCCGCACACGGCTCAGTTTCAATGACGTTAGTAAATCTCCAAGATTTTTATTTTGAATTTGGAAAAGAATAATTATTGTTTTGTTCATTTATACCGTAAAAGTTCAGATCAAAGAAAATTATTTTCTGCATGCTTTCCCAATGGTTCCCTGCGTCTTTGGGGAAACTCCGGTAAACTTTTACTCCGGTCTCTATTAAAAGGGTAAAGAAAAGAGACAATATGATTGAACAAGAATTCACTTTGTGAGCAGTTTGGGCTTAAATCATCACCAAAGTGCTACTGGAAAAACATGTTCCATGTCAGAGAACCCACCATGTAAGGGGGGCGTCAGTAACAAATAGTCCCTTGCCACGTCTGCACATGATGTTGCTTGCTGTGCTCGTAATGTTGATATTTCTTGTCTTTCTACAAAGACCTTCGTTGACTTTGATTAGATTGTAGAATTTTGAATAGAAAAATTACTGGCAAGGTAACAGTCGACCGTTTTTTTTTCCTCCGTTTCAGATTTCTCTCATCAACAACCTGCTGAAGGTAAAAAAAATTGACATCTTTGGTCTGACCTGTTTGCACTGCTTCTTTTGATCGTCCTTCAGAGCCCATTTTCTCCTGTATCAATCCTGAGTGCCCGTTAAGTGCCTCATTTTTATTGAGTCCAAATGTCTATCAGCGCTTATTTCCTGAGGTCATAATGGTCCCATTACCAACGATGGAAGCTTTTAGCTGGAGGAAAAAGTTTAATATGTGAAGAAAGCTCCAATTATGGATTTCTTGCCAATTTCAGAACAGAAAATAGTCTTGAAATTTGATAAATAAGCCTTGATTGATTTGCGCAAAATAAGCAGGAGTGGAACGGTTTGCACTAGATGCAGACAAAATGTCCCAGGTATCCACCTGTAACTGAGAATAAAAACGAATCTGAAATGGAGCATGCAAATGTTTGTTCATTCTTTTTGCAGTACGGTCTAAACGAGGTCAAACTTCGGTTCAGAACACGGCTGACCTCCCATCTGTACGAGCAGTATCTGATGTAAGCCTCTGACCCGAAGCAGCCCAGGCCCCAAACCCAACCAACGCCAACCTAGAGCCGCTCCTACCCCATTCCCAGCCTCAACCCAACCGAGCCTGTGACATGACCGGTCATGAGTATAAACAGGGTGATCAACGACACTGTCACAGTGTCACAGTTCATTTGAATAGCTTGTGAATTGGCTCAAGACTGAATGCCTTGTGATGGGCTTGCAGGGACTTTTAACAGACTTGACGACAACACTTGTGTTGTGTCCGGTGGTAACTTCTCCAATCAATCCACAACACACGTTTGCTAATGTTTTGCAGGAAGAATTTACAGTCAATGCTCTCTGCGTTTCCGTTCAAAGCTCCCTTAAAATAGATGCCTCCCCTGTACTATAGGGATCATTTTCCTTCAAACTGAGAAAACCAAAATGGAAATCTAAGTGAAGAGATAACGTGGAGATCAAAATCTGAGAACTGTCCAAACAGTGAAATTTTTCTTGCCCCGGGCCATTTACAGGGGATTCACGTACTACAAGATGAGTAACCTTGACAACCGCATCGCTAATGCTGACCAGCTCCTCACCCAGGACGTGGAGAGGTTCTGCAACAGTGTAGCGGATCTCTACTCCAATCTCAGCAAGGTTTGACCTTAGGAAACAATCCAGCCGGGGCCAGATTCATGGAACCAACAGAGCAGAATTTATTCGCCAAGCAAACTTGATGTGCTGAGCGAAAAATCTACTGGGAAACAGCTGAAAGAAATACCCAGTTGCATGGCAATTTTGGCTGGTATCCAGTGTCTGGGGACCAATTAATTCTATTCTGAACGGCTCCATGAAATGGGCCCCTCAGAAGATGGTGACAGAAGAGGGTTATCAGGGGAGGTATAGATTTTTTTTAAAACAAGTTATATGTTCTCACACGTTACCAGCCTTTAGCAGGGGGCTCTCTCCTTCACAGAAAATGAATTGAACAGACTGATCGTACTCCTCAATGTAAGCCAAAGAACATCCTGAAATTACCAAAAGCACATGGACTGTAAGGTCAAAAGGTGGAATCCACTGAATATGTCAGATGTTCTAAGTGAAGAACCGCCGTCCCTTTCACCCTCTCGTCCACTGCCATTTCAGAGATTTTTTTACAGCAGGTGCTGTCCTTTTTTAAGTATTCATTTACAGGGATGGAAAGCATGTTGTATTGCATTTGCAAGCATGAGTTGTTATTTTGCATTCAACTCACTTTACTAAACAATTATTACTTCTGCAGAAATATTCCTTTCCGTTACTTTTGGCAAGTACAAATACTTGCACCAGTTGCCCAATATTTCAGCTCGTGAAGGTTTGAATGGTTCGAAAGATATGATAAAATACAATTATTTTTCCGGATTGTACGTCCCATGCAGCCTGTGTTAGACATTCTTATCTACATCCGTGAGTTGGCAGCGTCTATTGGACCCCAGGGCCCTGCGTACATGATTGGTTACTTACTCTTCTCTGGACTCGTACTTACAAGGTGAGTGCTTAATTAACCTGAGGGGCTCTAGACAAGGGAATTGGACAGTGTGTGAGTTTAACATCAGCCATTTTTGCCCTTCGCTAATGCATAGCACACTATATAACACTATATTTAGTACTGTCTGAGGGCCTGTGAAAAATTCACAAGCTTACGTGGGACTTGGACCCACAACCTCCCGCTTACTAGTGCAGGTGTCTTACCACTTGACACCTAGCTCGTTAAAATGAGGACCAACGTATTATTCGTGCATGTTTTCCTTGTGCTCTGATTTTGAGATTGCATCATTTTCTTTAGCTTGAAAAGCACAATCACAAAAAAGATGAATGTTGTGTGCAGGCGTGGCATACATAGTGTGGACCTTGGACCTCTGCACAAAAGAAGTCCACATAATGTAGGGTGCGATGACGTAGTGTGGACTCGTACACGTCCACACAATGTTTCCCCCTCTGAAAAACAGTTTCAGAGGAATTTTGGGGTCAAGGTTATCTGTGGCAAAATGAAAAGAAACAGTCCAGGAAATCATCTACAAAAATCCAGCTCGAAGGAGTTATCTTAGTTTGAGAAAAAGGAGCACTTTCCACAAGTTTCCTTAACCACAGGGGAACAAAGTCTGCCAAGTTCTCTAAGTAAACTCCAGTTGTCCTGAATTCAGTGTAATTTTTCATGCGAGCTATTTGACATTTTCCTTGCCGGGGCAAACTCTGTTCCAGGCTACGTCGACCTGTGGGCAGAATGACGGTCGAAGAACAACGCCTGGAGGGGGAATTCCGCTACGTCAACTCTCGTCTGATCACAAACAGTGAAGAGGTGGCCTTCTATCAAGGCAACAAGAGGGAACGTCTGAACATCTACCATGCCTTCAACAAACTGGTTTGTCCCTCGCACATGGAAACTTGGACATTTTACATTCAAATCGCCTCAGAAAATGAAATTAAAAGATAGACAAGTAATGTGCTGTCCTTGAAATAAGGAGGCTCTAAAATTCGACATTCAAGAATTTCTGGCATATTCCTTCCAAGCTTAACTTCAACTGTTTATTGTAATGTCAGTATTTCTGAGATAGATGTTTCATAAAATTCACCACCGTGATATTTCTTCCCCTCTTGTCCCTTCAGGTAAGCCACTTGAGGAATTTCATCTTCTTCCGTTTCTCCATGGGATTTGTGGACAACATCATCGCCAAGTGTGAGTAGAACCGGCGACATGGTCCTTGAGATCCAGATGGAACATAATTAAAGGAACCAGGAAATAGAAATATTTTTATAGATTTTACTAAAAACCCTTGAAATTGCATCTTTGGGTTTCAATTAAACTTATTTTAAATTTGTGTTTTGCAATTTTAACCCATATTTTGATGCTTTATTGGTTTTTATGCTAATACATAATTGCATATTCATAAGTAGAACTATGATGTCATCCAGGGCACTGAATCTCAATGTTGCACTGATTTGTGCACAGAAAATTTCTAGATTTTATTAACCACTGCTATGGCAGATTTCATTTTCTTTGGCAATTTATTGGTTTGAAAGTATGTGGCAATAATCCAGGAAAAATCCTTATCACAGAAATGTTCCCAGATAGCAAATTTGGGGTCCACAATTTGAACATGAAAACATGCAACCTGAACCATGTCTTCCTTGATTTACATCAAAGCAAAAGCGCCCTCACTTGTCCAGAAATGCTTGGTTAATTTTTAATGTTTGAAAAAGTGCACCGTTCAGTTCATGAAACTCAAAAAAGATGTCAAACAGTCTTCATACATGGAAGAAGAGTACAGATACACTAAAAGTGATTCTAAGAAAAATTCATTTCCTGTATCCTTTAAACTTCCAACTTGGCTTTGATAGCTGGGTTTGATTCCGGAGTAAAAAATCGCTCTCTTGTTCACGCAAGGTGCCTACCATGCGGTTTTTGGTGTAATACTTGTAATATCTAGTAGTTGAAATGTGTGTTGATCACTCTTCTCGCTTTAGACTTTGCTACAGTGGTAGGCTACCTCGTGGTCAGCCGCCCTTTCCTCAACTTGAACCATGCCCCCTTCAAGGGCAAGAGTCATTCATTCATGATGCAGGTCAGTCACGTGGATTGTTTTCCAGTTGTGTCATCTAACAAGACCGCAGGTTCTCTAACTCAAAAACCAGAAAAAAACTGTACAGAGAGCACAAAGCAGTGTTCAGTATTTGAGGCGGAAGGATAATCTTGGAGTGTGGGTTTTCTGGAAGGAATTGAAAAACTAGTCCACATTTTGGCACGGATGAGATTCGAACCCGGGTCACTGTGCCAAAACGGCATCTTCTAGCTTTTCAGTGACATCAAATTCCAATCCTTGACTTTAAGGAGGAGTGTCAGGGCCAGGCGCGAGAGAGCAAAAGCTTACACACCCATTGCAAACCTACAGGCAGTTACATCCACATGGTGCATGAGACTGGAACCTTGAACCTGTCCAAAATATGCCTTGTAGCTCTTTTGGCTTTCCATGCGCCAGGTTTTTTTTTTATTTTTCGGTTTCATGTGCTGCATATTTGTATAGTGATTGTTTTACTGCGGTATTTTTTGCATTTTTATTCCTTGTATGTTTAAGGTATTTTCTCTGCGCTTTATCCTAGTTTTGTAAGCATTTTCTCTTCCTGTGTTTTGGGCTTTTTCCAACTGTCATATACTGTTAGCCATTGTGCACCTCTTATGAGAGATCAGTCTCGCAGTTAACTTTAGAGCCCACAGTCTGATAAAGTGGGAGACTTTGAGGTGCTAATGGCAGCAGACGTAGTGGCCCATTTTTGCAACATCGCACATGCTCAGAATGACACAGGCATGCTTAGAACAACGCTCGTGTACTCAGAACTGGGAAAACGGACCAGTGTGTTTGCTGCCACCAAGCGTCTCAAAGTCCCCAGGAGAATGAATTGTTGGGGGGGGGCCAAGATGTATTTTTTTTTAAGTGAATATTAAGAGCTAGCCCAGGATGTCAATAAATTGGTCTTTATTTCGATGATTCATCCACCATTAATGTCGCAGACGTACTACAAGGCTGGCTACATGATATTACGCATGTCGCAAGCTATTGGGCGCATTGTCCTAGCGGGCCGTGAAATGACCCGGCTAGCTGGGTAAGTCAATCCCCTCCCTTAAGCCATTGCAACCTCCCCTTGGAAAGGAAATGGAACCTTCCGGCCACCATTCCACTAAGATGGAGGGTGGAAGCTTCCATTTTGTTTTGTCAGGGGTAGCTTTTGTGTTTCAAGGTGCCCACATGCTCATCAGCCAAACTCCAAGCCAGTCATTTGCATAGCTGGTGAAATGTCACAAACCGTCTGGGGTTGCAAGCATTTCAAATTTGTGTCGCCGTCAGATTTTTGAGTTCCCCTATTGCTTTGTCCAACAATCAGGAGTATTACCAGGCGGGTCGCATGCTGCTCCGTATGGCCGAGGCCGTTGGCCGCATTGTCCTGGCTGGTCGAGAAATGACTCGATTGGCAGGGTGAGTCAGCATTTCTCACATGTTTTCTCATCACTCAAAAAAACATGCTTTTCACAATTAACCTTCCTCCATCATTCGTTTTAAGACACTGTGAAAGACTTTGAAAAAAAAAAACACCCAACAGATGCTTCTGTGAGCTAGAAGTCTTCACTTAAACATTTCCTACTTTGAGTTTGATGGGTGATGATGGGTTGGTCAGTTGGTTGATGGTCTGGCCGAGCAGTAGTTATTGGATGGTGAGATTATTGTTTATTGTATGTGTCGCCTCATTTTCACCGGTTATTGATAGTGCTCATTTTCAAAAAATTTTATTCGTGGCTGATCTGCATTTCTGAAACAGACTTGACTTAGCATACTTGACTGTTATTGTCTGTACTCTAAATTTACTGATTTTTCAATTTTTTGTTTGCTTTCTGACCTGTGTCTGAGCTGGACGTCCAGTTATGTTATCTCTCTGTTCAATTGAAGCACTCATTTCAACACAGCCTTTGTACCCAATGCTCAGTTCTTACTACAACACTCCTTCATCTGGGGTATCCTGTGGGACTGAGACAAGCAATCAACTGTTTGACTTACTGCAGTCTTGTGAAAGTTTTAGGGAGGGAAATCTGAAGACAAATCCAGCATGGTCTGCAAAAGGTCTTTCGATTGTCACCAGCTAATTGTTTTCATTGTGACCGTTTCTTTCTGTTTTTCTGTCAAAGTTTGTTTGTGTCTTTATTTTCTGGCTGCTGGCAGGTTCACCCAGCGAGTAACAGAGCTGATGACCGTTCTGAAGGAGCTGAACATGGGCCGCTATGAACGGACGATGGTGCGAGAGGGCAAAGGTCAGGAACCGTTCCTGATGACGTGACCTTTTGGGATGTCACTGCTGTAAAAGTGGGAACTGGGGAGCTGTGCTTCCACGCACAAATATTTGGATGTGTGCCTCTGTGCTGTCGTAGCCTGTTCTCATTTTAGGCTCTTTTGCAAGTATGTGTTAAGGTTCTGTCAATGTTTCAGATGTCAGTGTACACCCTGAGAACGTCAGCGTCGCAATGACAGTCCTAGTAGAATGTAGCGGATCTCCGAAAAATGTTTCTTTGGTCTTTGGCTGGGTCTGCCAGTGGAACATTGATGTACATTGTGTAGGATTCTTTGCAAGGCCCTCGACTCAACGGTGGCTCTGATGACCGTTGACTCCTTTTGTTAGGCTGGGTCACACATTCTGTAATCATTAGCTGGAGCGGCAACGAATCTTGCTCGTTATCCATCATGGATCACTATGCATGGAAGTGACGTGGGCCGTTGTTTTTCCATTTTCTCAGCAGACTCTGACAGTGAGGATGACCGAGAGCCACTGGTACCCGGCAGCGGTAAACTGGTCCTGCAGGATCATATCATTGAGTGAGTCCTTTGCAAAGTACCGGTTTGGTGGTTTTAAGGTGGCTAAATGTTTTACATAACGTAACATTACAAAATTTCTTCCCAACATTTTAACTAAATAGAAATTGCCTCTCCTTTTCAGATTTGACCAAATTTGACAGTTTTGCTATTTTGTTTTGTATTCAGGAAAAGTTGAAAGCAAAAATGTTTGCATATTTTGCCTTAAAATGCATTTTTTAACCCTGAAACCCACCTAGAGATTTTCTCCAGTGTCACCACAATCTTATTTTTTCTTGCTGATCCTTCAGGAGTAATTCCAGCAACGTCTTAATCAATTCACATTATTTTCAACAAAACTGGACGTGCCTTTCTCGCTTACTACTCGTTTTCCGAGACTGGTTACCTGAAACTGTCAACCTTTTTCCCATTGGCATGTGCTCAGTACATGTGGCCAACGTACCTTAGGACTTGAAGCTGTAAATGACCCTATCAAAACACCCTATGCTAGATCGAATTGAAACTTCCCATCTGAGATGGTCCACCCCCCAACCCCCAACCCCAACACCTATTGGGGTGAATGCATTATGAAGCTGACTTCCCCTTTACTGATTCTGTCCAATCAGGTTCAAGCAGGTTCCTCTGGTCACCCCCAATGGGGACGTCCTGGTCCGGGAGATGACCTTTGAGGTCAAGTCTGGGATGAACGTCCTGGTGTGCGGCCCCAATGGCTGTGGCAAGAGCTCCCTGTTCCGGATACTGGGAGAGGTATTGAAATTGTCTTTTAAACAAGTCCTCGTGTCAGGATGTGTGTGTTTAGCATGGGGCTCCATGCACATGTCCCCCCTTTCCCCAGTAATTAAAAGAGAGGCTGGGCCGACTGTGTGGTGCTGCCTTCCTCAATCATTGCTCCCGAGTTAAAATGGCTTTGGAAAGACAGAGAACAGAAAAATTTCTTGGATCAAGAAAGCAGAAACTTTCTGTGAAGGTTAATTCAATTCAACGACGGTATTAAGCATTACCACAAATTATCCCCCCTAATGTTTTTCATCATTTCGTCACAAATGACACCTTCTTTCGTCCTTGTCTTCTTGTCAGCTGTGGCCATTGTTTGGAGGCACTCTGATCAAACCAGATGCCAAGAAGCTCTTCTATGTCCCTCAGGTATGTTTATTTCTATTTTTTCTCTTCAAGAGCGGCAGACGACTCTCCTGGGCCCCCTACTGAGAGATAAGCGAGGGCCCACTGATATTTGTGGCATAATTAGGTTTCTTAAGTTCTAATGCCATTTTGCATTTTGTCTTGATATTGACAGCGACTCTTCAAGAGCAGTAGACGACTCTCCTGGGCCCCCTACTGAGAGATAAGCGAGGGCCCACTGATATTTATGGCATAATTAGGTTTCTTAAGTTCTAATGCCATTTTGCATTTTGTCTTGATATTGACAGCGACCTTACATGACCCTTGGCACGCTGAGAGACCAGATCATATATCCGGACAGCAAAGAGGATATGATCAGGAAAGGCATCTCCGATAAGGACCTGGAACATTCCATGGCACAGGTTGGCTCACTGTCTCTCTCTCTGTTCAGAGGTACTAAGCTTGTTTGGATGTAGTTGCAAGGCATGCATCCAACAGCAGCTCAGTTGAAAAAAAATTGCACTAATAGCAAACTTGGTACTCCAGAGCTTTGCATGGTACTGATTTGAAGATGCTGGTAGCAGGTGCAATGTTTTGGACTGGTGACTAAGTTACCAGACAAGCAGGTGCAATTTCTTGGACGGGTGATTAAGTTGCCAGACAAGCAGGTGCAATTTCTTGGACGGGTCCTGCACTGCATACCTGAGCATTTATATCGAAGAGATCTCCTTTCCATTTCAAGGTCGACTTAGTAAGCATGTTGTTTTGTGCTTTATAGAGGCCCATTTGTGAGTGTTTATATTTGATGCTGCGCAGCCACAAAATTGGCACAGAGCTGGAGCCTCACGAATGAACTAGTCTCTATTTAAGCATTTGGAAACATTGTCTCGGTCCCGCTCAAATTGCATCCCAAATCTTCACGAACTGTGGAGTCCTTGTGCAAAAGATGAATGCTTTCCTCCTTTGGTGGTCTGCAGGTTCAGCTCAGCAACATTTTAGAGCGGGAAGGAGGTTGGGACGCCGTGCAGGACTGGATGGACGTACTCAGCGGAGGAGAAAAGCAGAGAGTGGCTGTAAGTCCTCAACAGTTCGGGGCTTGTATGTTTGTTTTGTGCTTGCTGACCTGGGTTTTTCCCTGGTCGTGTTGTTTTACAAGTCTCTTGCTACAAGATAGTTAACCCTAACCCCCTGGGGGTATGTAAAATCATATTGAAACTGGAGGACTGTTAGGGTTAAGGAAAGATGTTGAAAAGTGGAAAACATTTCTTGCCAACTAAGCATCAAAGGAGTTTCCCATGGCTTGTTCAAAATCCATACCTCTCGTTGTTTTCTCTCAACAGTCCCCCCCCCGGTAAACTTATATAATCTGTTCAATGATATGCATGGAAAGAGTCAGTCAAATTTCCAGCGAAAATGTCTTGGATATGTCAAACGAACGAACTGTCGTTGCTTTGAAAAGTTGGTATTTTAGGCTGAAAATAATGCCGCACCCAAATACTTGTGATATTCTTTTTTTTTTTCATTTGTAGATGGCTCGTTTGTTCTACCATAAGCCTCAGTTTGCTATCTTAGACGAGTGCACCAGTGCCGTCAGTGTGGATGTTGAAGGATTCATCTATTCACATGCCAGAGAGGTGAATTAAAATGCTGTCCGTCAATTTATCAGGGAAAAGTGTCAGAAACAAGTTCTTGTGGGCCTGAATAAAGCCTATGACCAATTTCGAGACTAAGTTCTGATAGCTCAATCAGATTTTAGGGGTGTAACACCCCTCTCTTCCATTTATAGTTTAGCCAGTGAAAAGTTGTATTGCTGTCAGCAAAAGAGGCCATCTTGAAGATGGCCTCGCATTTTCTTCCTCAATGAACAGTGCCCTCTGTAGTTGAATAAGTGCCAGCGCCAGCCCCTCTTTTCTACTTGTCACTTTTTGTGGGCTTCTTTGGCAAATTTTGGGTCGTATTACCCTCCCACAAATTAGTCGATCAGTGCCCTTGCTGAAAAGATAAATCAATTGAAAGGTGGGACTAAACTTGAGTTTTTCTTTCATTTAATATAGGTTGGCATCACACTTTTCACTGTCTCTCATAGGAAGTCACTGTGGAAACATCATGAGGTCAGTAGAAAAAAGTGCCTCAACCTTCTTTTGAAGAGTTTTCTTTTCTTTTTTGAAGGAAAATTTGTTCGTGGAATGCCACATCTTCACTTGAAGATTACGCATTAGTTTGTGATGAAATTGACGGGGCCAATTTCATAGAGCTGCTTAAAGCACAACATTTGTTTAAGCGCGAGAAAACCTTGCTTGATAAATGAGGTAACCTGCCAAAACTCCATGTGATGTATATTGTTTTGGAATTGTATTTAGCTGTCTTTTGGTTAGCATGACAATCAGATAGACTTTGAGCTGGTAACCTTTGTTTTTTAAGCAAGGTTTTTTTTTTTGCGCTTAAGCAGATTTTGCGCTAATAAGCAGCTCCATGAAATTGGCCCTGGGTGGCAGTAGGAAGTTAAATTCTGGTGGAAAAATTGACCCCAGTCAACTGGTTATTGACTTAGTTTGCAAATTATGTGAGGGGGGTAATTTTCAAGGACCTGACTTAGAAGTTTTCAGAAATGCTGAAGACAAAATAAAAGTCTGCCGCACACCTTTCCAACTTGACTGGTTTACTTGGTCAACTCATCTGACAGTAGTGTCCAGTTATTGCTTGATGGCTACTATGGCTATTGCTGCCTTGGCAGCATTGCCAGACAAGATGTTCACAAGATGTTTTTCCCGTCCCCCCCCAGTATTACTTGATGTTTGACGGACGCGGTTCCTATGAGTACAAGCCCATCGACAAGGAAACCATTGAGTTTGGGTCCTAAAAGCCGAGCTGGAACCTCAGTTGGAAAACAGCCATATTGGCGTCTGCTGAGATGGAGACTCACGGTCCAGAAACTTGGCGGACTTATGTCTGATGACAGACAGGAATTGAGGCAGAAACTCGTCCGGCAAGTGTAAAATCCATGGTGGTTAATTTGTGCCATGTGTGAGTGAAATTTCATTGAAATGTTTAAGTATGAAACAGAGTGACATTTTGGCTGGACACGAGGTATGTGCTCTGCCAAGGGCGCAGTCCAGCAAGGACTGCTTGTCAACCACGGGTCAATTTTGCTTGGTACCCAGGATACATCTTGTGCACAGGTTACCAAAGAATATTGACCAGTGGTCAACAAATAGGAACTTCTCAAACTTGTCCAAATGTACAGGGGTGAAATTGGTGTAATGAACAGATGACTACTAGAATAAAGTAATCAACAGATATATGGACAACCTTGGCTAAATTATGATTGTTAAATGTTAGTTGGCAAAGGTGGAACAAGAGCCAAATTTGGGGGGTGGTGTAGAATTTTTTGTGGTGGGGTTTATATTTACATAAACCCATTTACGTTCTTTTTATGGGAGAGGGCAAATTGTAGGGCTTCTGACGCACTTTGGGAAGGAAAGTCCCTCAAAATCACTTTTTGCCTGTAATCTATAACAGGTTTGCCCATACACCAAAGTATATAATCACACTATTCTCAGTGTGGTCCGATAGTTGTGAACAAACCATGTGCTTTCACGGGTTGGAGTCAAACCCATGACATCCAGCTTACTAGAGCAGACATCATCACCACTGGACCCCCCGAGTCTGCCGGAATCGGGTGGCTGGCTCAAATCCAATGCAGCAGCATGAAGCACATCAGTCCATGTTAATTTAGCTTTTTGTCGGGGATGTTCATTGTATTCCAGATTCTTTGCCCTGACTCCGACATATACATGTATATGCCAAGAAAAAAAAATCGCTAGCGTGCTCAGTATGCAGGAAGTCATGGGTTGGATTCCCAAGAAATATGAAGGAACTTTTCTGGAACTGCAATGCATGGGGGGGGGGAATCTGGAAAGAGGGGTACTTTCTAAACGCTCAGTATTTGCAGGTATTGATTACAATACCCGAGAATCAGTGCAAAGAGGTTTGGAAAATTGGGCCAGTTTTGGAAGTTTGCAGAAAAAGGAGGAATTTTTCCCAGTTTTGTTATGGCAGGGAGTTAGCAGTCCTTTAAGATCTCTCAAAGTGGTTGATATCTTTTGGTTTTGAGAACTGAATTAAGCAGGTCTATGAAGAAAATCTTGGGTGTGAATTTTGTTGGTCATGGGGTAATAACGGCAAAAATTAGAATGTTAATGAAAACATGTTAATTTGTTAGGTTGTAGATTTTACAACATCGTTTTATTTAGAGTGTTTTATTTATGTTTTATAAGGCCAATAACACATGTAGGGATATTGTTGTGATTGTAAAATACATGTACATAGGTGGTACAATGTAAGGGGGAAAAAATCAGATATTGAAAAAAAAAAATGAATTTCTCTGTTTGATAAATGACATTCAGGTAGTTTTAAGCAAAATTGCTTTCTTGAAGAATCCTCCCAGATACTTTCAAAACCCACTATGGATTTTGGGAGGGATAGACCTCTATCGTGGGGCAGCCATCTTGCATTGAAACCAATTTTAGGCTGAAAGGAGAGTCTGTTCCCTTTTATCAGTATGTGAAGTTGTATTAATATTGCCAATGCATCTACAAGGAACAAGACAAAAATGGCAGTCTCATGACATGGGTCTATCAACATGCCCCTAGTACTAGCACTGATTTCTGGAAATTTAAAATTGATGCCCTAGTAGTAATTAAGCAACTGAAATAAATGAAGTGGAATACAGGTAGACAGCACATCCAATTCCAATTTACCACTACACTGAAAAATGTCTTGTATGATCAAATGATGTATTCTCCGTCTCATAAAAATTTGCTTTTAATTAAAGATGTCCAAATGACAGCATCTTGTGCCCTGGTGGGCGTGCTCTCTCTCAGAAATAAACCAACAAATACATTTTCCTGACTTGTCATTCTACCAAAGAATTACTTAATGGTATCGCCGACATTGCTCGTCTGCATAAACAGCAACCAGTGTATGGACAGGAGTGTGTTGATTATTCGATATTACAGCATTTTGTAAATTTACTCCAAAATTATAATTGGAAATGGTCGAAATAAAGTTTTACCGGAGATCTTATGTTTTGTACATGAATGTGTCTTTTTAATAAAGTTCTGATGGCAAATGCTCATCAAAATCAAACCATGTACAAAAGTGTTCCAGCAAGCAAATATTAAAGCCAAATAGCTAAATTCCCATTTTAGCAGAAAAATATATTCAGTGGAAGATTTCATACTTCCTCGGGACTGCAGCCAAACTTTGTAAATATTTGTCATTTTTGTCACAATGTGACCAACACCTAGAACTTGGACGAACAATGTTAACCTTTGTCAGTACAAGTAGAGGGAGAACCCTCCTTCATGCACATCTATTCAGGATATCCGATGTGCTCATTTCTTGTCGCACATTTCGAGGGGAGGAGAGATACACTTTGTATTTTATTTTTACAGGCAATGTTGGCTGGTCTCTAGTCGCTAGTCAATTGCAAGGACTTCATCCACGTTCTTTGATAGCCATTCAACATGGTGAGAGCCAATTTTGACAAAAAACTATGTTTACACCATGTATTTCATTCATATTGGGGGATATTCCAAACTATAAGGCAGAATAACATTAACCACTTGCCTCTGGAGTTTCCGGAACCAGGCACCTTGGCTTTGAATGCATAGCCGGGGTAACCAAAATCAGACAAAAGTGCTGGGCTTTGTAACAAAAGACAGTACTTGGAACAAAAGACCAAGCTGCTGGGATTTGCCATCATTTTTCAGTTGGTATTAGTGGAGGTTATCCGTCATTATTTTGAAACGGTATACCACTGTTTGTGGCATTCAGTGCCAGCAAATTATCAGCGGGGACAAAAGCGCTCCAGGGATGAGCGATGCAGTACTGCTGCTTGCTAATCAGGCCACATTTGAAAAAACGCCACTGGCATTCAGCGATGCACAGGGCCAATTTTGGGAACAAAGGAAATTACGTAACGCTGCACAATCTGGGCTCTCTACTGGGCGGCGGGCCTGGCTGCAATATTGGGGCATCAATGGAGGTTGCCTTACAGATTAGAGTATCCACCAGACAGTCATTCATGTGGGTGTAAAGGTCTAGTAAATGAAGTTACGAATTTTTGAAGAAATTTGAAATAGGGAAATCTTGAAAATTGGGAACTCGTCCCACAAATTCAAATTAAACCCGGCAGCAAGTGGTTAATGTGAGCAAATGAATCATCAATCAATACATACACAAGAAAGTCTGTCTGAAGCCACTATGGCCCACCAGACCAGTGCTTATCTCCAGTTTCTTGTCTTGGGATGAAATGACAGAGAATATCCCCCCCTGGAGTGGGTGCCAGTCTATTGCAGGCTACTCCACGTATTACCACTGCCCATGTATACAAAGTGGTGAGAGAGAGGCAAGCAGGTGTCGAGTGGCTCACCTTAACTCCACAACTAGCGGTCATCAGCTGGATTTGAACCCAAGAGCCCCTGGTCACAAGTCATGAACCCAAAGCCACCCTCATACAGACGCGCTTTATTTACAATTCAACCGTATTTACTCAGCGCCCTGCTTACCGTAGTCACTAAAAAACACATATATTACACGGTCAAATGGAGCACGCTGGAAATGACAGTGCTCCGATATTAAGGGGTCACCATTGATATTTTCACTGTACACGTACCCCACTTTACCTTCTTACCCACTACAAAATAATCTACAGGTAGAAAGCCAATAACAAGATGGTCAATGCTGTGTCGTCAGATCTTTCTGCTACCACATTCCAAACTGTCCAAGTGGGCCAGAGCTCTACACTTGTGGACCCTTACCCTTCTTGTTTCTATTCCTTCGTCCATTGTTGCGTGCAGTCGATTTACGCATGAACAGTCAAGACAGCGCGAATACACAAAAATGCCGCTACGAACCAAATAATCTGAAAAAAACACACCAAACCCAATAATGGATCAATGACCTAGTTATGCATGTGCTCATGATGAAGTGGCTTGTGTGTGTAGCTTGTTTGAACGAATCAATCCGCAATTAGACGTAAGGCCAGCCTTAACATATAGCCTCACCGCTCCAAAAGGCAATAAAGAAATTCCAAATGTTTTGACCCCATCAAATGGTTCTGCAGTGTTGTATCTGAGTCCATTACCAATCCCTGCAAGTCCCGTAAGTTCGTCCCAAGTCCATCACAAGTCATTCAGTCTTAAGCCAATTCACAAGCCATTCAAATGAACTGTGACAAAAGCATTCTTGTTCACCTGTTACTTATGACTGGCCAAGTGAAAGGACTTGTGATTGGACTTGTGAAAGGACTTGCGATGGACTTGACTCCAACACTTTGACTTGGGCCCCCAATGAATTGGGTTCTGGATCTGCAACTACAGAAAGTCAGTTCATGGTGCTAGTGAAGATTTTCTCAAAAGCCAGTAGTGAGGGATTACCGTTGGATACAAAGTCACTACTGCATTCAAGGTCTCTGTGTATTGCACCTCTGTTGATGAATTCTGTCTTCTCCCAGAATAAAAAAAAATCCACAATTATCCACAAAGATTGTGCTGATTAAAAGTTCAATTTGAGCAAAGACAGGAAGAACTTAATCAACTTACAGTAACATCATGAGCATGACACAGATGTTCCACAGGCCAATAAAAATGCGGAAGAATTTCAAATTTTGCAGGAACTGCCGGATTTGGTCCCCTGAAAGGATGAAGCATGTCAAAGAAAAATCTCCACCACGAGTTAACAATGCAAAGAAGAATTTCAAAACCCCCCCAATGAAATATAAGGCTAAGTCCAAACTACTCGGCTGAGGCTTAAAACTGTGCAACAGTCTATGGTTGAGGCAGTAGCCACTACCCACAAGAGTCGTGTGCAATACACTTAACATTGTGCTATTGGTCAATTTTGCAGCACAATCTCTCCATCCTTCTGCCATTGACTGATCACATTTTGCTTCCTAATTCACAACTGTGGATGCGTGCTTTGAAAGGGGGGGGAGTGAATTACACATTCATCACTCAACTAGTTAGCGTTTCCGTGTATTATTCAGAGATTGACACTGACGCACATCTCGTTCACATGCCAAACGTTCAGTTGTGTTGGATAACTGCTCCGATTTTTTGGTTCTGCAGAGGAACGCTTAAAATGTTTTTTCCTATGGCGACATTTTCCTTGCCTGACATACCTGTTGTCGGTTCAGAGGCATCACCTTCCCCGAATCCTTGGGTCTCGTTCTGTTTTTTCTTGCTGAAAAAAATTGGAGAAATTGAATACAAAATCTGTAACAACATTTTTCAAAGTGATCATTGCAATTTACAGCAGTCGGGACGGGTTGATTTCAAAGCCTACTTCTACTAGTGACCTGGGTTCGATTCCAACTACGGTCACAGTGTGGGAGAACACTGTTATGTCAATAAATTGGATGCCTGATATCAATGACAAACCATGTCCATTTATGGGCAGGGCTAGGACCCCCCCCTTCACTACTCTACTTCACTTGGAGCTCTTTAGATGATCATGATTTCGTGCAATTTTGCGATGAATCCATGGCTAGTTGCTACTTTAACCTCGATTCTATGGTGCAACTATGATAAAGCTGTGCTGGGGTTTCCCATCAGCCCGATCATGAGGCTGACATGGAAGACAGTTTCATCCAGGACATTTCTGTTGTCTCTAACTTTGCCTTCAGTGGCTTCATCTCTAAAACCCAGCACCATTAAGTGTCCATGCAGGTATTCAACACCGAAACCCCATAAAAAGACCCGCATTAGTTTCTTTGCATAACAGTGGAGCTGCTGTTCTTGCAGTAGAGAAGAGACACATAGACCGTACTCATTTGCCAATCTGAAAGGGGAGGGTAACAGGGGCAATGCCACCCTCCGGAAGCAAATCTTTTGGGGGGGGACCTTTTCTCAGCCCTGGGAAAAGTCATAACAGGTAACATAAAGGAATTCCATACTTTGGAGACTCCCAAAAATTCTGCCTAGGAAAGCCAAATTTCGTTCTTAATCTCATGAAATTCAGTTCACAGGGAATAAAATTTTGCTGTTCCTTTTTCAACCAGTGCAGTGGCAACCTTTCTATTTCCTTAGAATGGATGATTGATTTTAAACCCAGACTTGATTTATCAATTCCTTTGCATTTTTGACACACAACTGTACATTTCTCCCATCAGTCACTGAATAAACACTCACAAATTGAAGTTTAAAACAGCACCGGCATTGACCAGCAATGTTCTGTAAGAAAAACAAAACGACAACAATCATACAATTAGTTTTTAATTGTATTAATCAGGTAACTGAACACAGATTTACAGTAAGAAAGTCAGTCACATTTGTTGCTGTAGTGAGCCTTTTGGGATGGCACGGACATTTTGGAGTTTTGCAAAATGGCGGGTAGCAACCGATGAAAACAACTGCAATGATTGCACGTGTACGTATTGATCAAAGAAATTATTGTGTAATCCGATCCTTTGACTGGCTGGTGCATGTGTACGTCACCATGGTCGCTGTTTTTATCAGTTACTACGTGCCATTTTACGAGAGTGACGGATGTCCCTGCAGTATTCAAATATCATCATTTTGTTTTACTGTATAGCCTCAGAATGTCCTACTTGCTATTCACACGATTTTGAGCTGATTCCACCATAGGGGGATTGTGAATTGGGACCCCCGCAGTTTTGGTCATATTAACCGCTTCATGCCGGGGNTTCACGAACCTGGCTCAGTGCACTGCTGACCTCTTTTCAATAGGGGCCAGATTAGCGTGCAGCGGTGCTGTGTGGCTCATCGCTGCGGTGGTGGAGCGCTTTTGTCCCCGGTGGTAATCTGCTCGCTCTCAATGCTCCAAACCCTGGCATAGGGTTTCAAAACAAGGCTGGATTATCACCACTTTTGAGAGTGAAAAATGCCGGTAATGCCCAGCAGCCTGGGCTTTTGTTCGGAGTACGGTCTCTTGTTACAGGGCCCTGTTTCCTTTGTCCGAGTTCGGAGACCCCGGCCACCCATATAAACCATACGTCTCTGATCCCGGAGTCCCCAGCAGGAAGTGGTTAATCTGTGCAAAACTGGCCATTCCCCCTAAAAAAAAAACAAAGGCAACGCTGTCTGAACTGCCCCGACTCTGTTTTTTGGAAATTTCAAACTGTAAATTGTGAGAAAATGTGACTTTCTTACTGATAAAGTTTTAGCTTTGCATATTTGACTCCATCATCACGAGTCATATATTAAAACATCCCCGTTTCCCCTCATAATTTCCCTCAAAACTCAAAATCCTGCCCTCTTTTCACAACATCAACGATACAGTTAATATTGAACATGACGTCACAGTCATCTACCTAGGCATGCTAGGGGGATCCAAAAGTTAAAATGTAGGTCTCTCGTCTGTTATAGGAACGGGGTCCCCAAATTCACAATCCCCCACCATCGATTCCTTGGTCTATGACTCCACTAATGGCAGAAGTGGGGGGGGGGATCCCACCATGCACAGCAGGCTCGTGTCATAAAACTAGGCTATGGGCTATACTCAACGACATTAAAACCACCTTACCCGAACAATATTAAGTCGGATATCATGTTTCTACATGCAATTGGACAACTAGGCCTATCTCTCTGAAAATGTTTCTTTTCTATCCATCCGATCCGTGAGGTCCAAGTCTCGAGCCCAGCTTTAACTTCAAGTTCAACGTCTGTCGAGTGGTTATACGTGTACACGTTCTGATGACAGCTATTCTTGTGAATTAGGACGCCCTCTACTGTTACGTTAAAAACGACGGCACTGTGGCAAATGTTTGGCAAAACTGTGGTTGGCCATGAGTACAAAGCCAACAGAATAATTCGCAAAGTTTTGAAAGGTATCACGCTAATATGAAAGCATTAGATAAAATAAGTATTTCTACTAAATAAAAAAGAATTCCGTTGGAGCAAAATGCATTTTGAAATAAAAGTTGTTGTCAACTATTAGGTGAACGTTCTGTATGAAGAATGGTGTATTCAGATGAATAATCCTGACAGATTTGGTGGATGTAAGTTCAAAGTAAAGTCGACGATCAAACAACCTCTTCATTTCCTACCAAAACAGCAAGGGGAAAAGACAAAAACTTTCCTTTTTGATATTGATCAGGGGCTTTATGAAACTTCAAATGAGGACGGATCCAGAACAAACATTTTGGGAAGGCCAAGATGTTTTTCGAGTGGCAAAAAGTTTGGCAATTTCGTTCAGTACGTTTTGTCGCCTTCCCTTGGATGAGACTAAATTTGGGGAGCTTTTTACACACTGAAAGTAGGAAGGGAGGGAAATGACATGATCCAACGAAATCGCCTTTCTCTGATTGGATTTCAAAAACAAAACCCAAAATGGCGGATGCGCGCCGCATGACCACCGTTGATGACCATCCTAGGCCTAGATCTTCCAATGAGGAGCAGTGCGCATGGATGGAATCTTTCCCACAACATTCATCGACGGGTGTTGATATAATGACCTGACGAAAAATCACGGACAGAAAAAAAGCCAAACCCAGAAAACAATACTATTCAAAAATTTCCAACCAACAGAGCTTCAAACAGGATTTCTTTCACTTTGTCGATTTTTTTCTTTGCAACCGTGACCCAAAGTGTGGTTGGGGAAAAATCCCACTGTTACCCTGGGGGATGTTGTATAGAATTGTTGTAAACAATACCTTGAAAAGAAACAAAAGCAAACTGCATAAATTACAAAGCAAACAATGACTGAACAAAACGCAAAATCACATCCTCTATGATAAGGCGCACTATGTCCTTATACGAACGAAAACTTCCGGACATCCCGCACAAGTTTATTGCATGTTTAATTCAGTGCATACATGTTATAACATGTATTTCATTCCAATCAGAACCCCCCCTTGTCGCCGAATGACATGACAGGAGAAAAACATACGAAAAGTCAATCTGTATATAGACGAAAAACCAAGACATGTATTTGTATCTTTTTGGCTCAGCAGACCAGTTTTTGCTTGAATTTTACTTGAATTGAGACCACGGTGTCTCCTGCACATCTAAAAAGGGCCAAATTGGATGTGGATGGATGCGTTAAAATCTATGACATCATTTTACACCACCGTTCAAAATAGAAGTAGGAAATTGACAACACGCGTATAGATTTAGGGGGCACGTTCCTCAAATGTTAATACACACTTCTGAAAAAGGTCAAATTCTATTTTCTGGCCTCGGGAGAACTTCTGACCTTTGAAGCGACGATTGAACTTACATTTAAAGGATGTTGGGCGAGCACAGACTATCTGTCTCAACCAGATAAACCGAGAGAAAGTGAACAGGCCCCAAGTGTCTTTCAGAAAGGGCAAGGAAGGTTTCAGACATCAGAGGACTGTGCCAATCGTCTTATCTTTGTGGGGACCTATAAGCACAAAAGGTTTAATTTATACAGCGTGGTAGACCTCAGGACTAAGTCGGCTAGTGTGGTCCACAAAGCCGCTTCACTGAGATGCATATTTGGTTAGCGGTTATTCGATGCAAAACTGGGGAGGAGTCGAGTACTCATTGGCGCACTATGCCATCAGCGCTCATTACACGTACGTTAGAGCATGCGCAGCCTGCAACCGTGTCAAGCGTGGGCGCACTTTTTATCATTGAGCCAAGACTAAACGAACACTGCTGGCTCGTCCAAGAATTCACCTAATATTTTCGTTTCTTTGGGGGAGGTTTTCAAGTTAACATGCAAAAATTGGAAGTGGGAACAGCAAAAGCCTTGCTAAGCATGTTTTAAACTATAACACAATTTGAAGGTTGCCCTAATTTGTCAGACGAAACGGAACGATATGAAGGGTTGCCCCACGGCCTTTTAAGAAACGTCAACAAAAATCCAACCTATCTATCAGGAGTCTTCACAGTGGAAGAATAAGTAATTTCTCCAGTTGTCCATTACTGTACGAAAACAAATAGGGGTATGCCCTTCAGTACAGACCATTGTCTTTAATTTTTACCTACAACTAGTATGGGTGGCTAGAATTTGTAGAAATATCACCATGTGGTTGGGGTTCGATTGTACCTCGTATTCGGTCAAAATAGTCCGCATACGTTTCGCTCATTCGTTTTTCGATTTGAAAACGATTATCAAACAACCATAAACAAATCGTTTTCCGTGTTTCAGAATTTAATTCTGCGCAGCACTTTTAGTGTATAGTTTAATGAAAACATGTAAGATAACAACTTCAACTGGGAAGGTATTCTGGTCAAGCTGTAATTTCTTAATTTCTCAAATAGAAGGGCCTTTCAGTATCTTTCTATACTTCCATCGTAATGAAACATAACTTTTATTAAACGAAACGATAAGCACTACCAGGAATACCTTTATACTGTTGTCTTTCTTTTATAAACAGTCATTAAACTCCCGAAGTTGGTTTTGGAACATAAAAAGGAAATTGTCAGCGACTGAAATTGTGGAATCATAGACAGAAGACCATCTACAGTTTAATGTTTCGATTCCATGAATGAAAAAGATTAAGGGTGATAAAACTCACTCGTTTGGTTTTCAGATAAAGGAATATTATTAAAGGAAATATACCAGACAAACACTGTGATAACTTGGAATAATCACAAACACTGTGATAACTTGGAATAATCACAAACACTGTGATAACTTGGAATAATCACAACATTCCTTTTATTTTGTAAGACGTTCGTGTCGGTAACATGAAATGCAGGTTCGATGCAGAAGTATAAATTTGGCTTAACATATTTTGGGAATGCCAAGGACTTTGAGACAGTTGACAAAAGAAATTCAAGAATGCGAGGAAGAAAGAAAAATCCAGAATCGCCGGAACATAAGTATGTTTGCTGATTGCCATGGAGTAAACGGGAGCAGCGTGTTTACTCGTAACACGGATGTATCTCCATAGGCAACGTGAGGTAGTACCGACATGGGAAATGGGCATAACTTAGATTAAGTGCTGAATATTCACATATGGACACCTTAAATAGGGGCCGTGCACCAAGACAAAAGCTCAAAAGAGCTTGCGACTACAGTTTTTAGAGAAAGGTTTAAAAAACCTGTATCAAAGCGTAAATATTATTTTGACTGTCATTGACCATTATTGTTTGATGTAAATTATTTGAACGTAGTTTAATTGTGGATAATGTGAAAAAGTAGTGATCATGTGGGACGGTTATCAACGTGTCAGAACCTCGTCGCATATTCGGCACTCGGCCAGTAAAAAAAGAAGAAAATCCTGCTATGCCCTGATGTAATATCCTCTAAAGATGAGACGAGAAACAAGTATAACAAAATTGAACCCCCCCCAAAAAAGTAGTTGCAATCTTGTTTTGATTTCACTTCTGAAGGCATTTGCCAATTCCACCCAAACTTGCTAAACTAATCCTACAGTCGATCATTCAAATATCATTCAAAATAAAATAATACTCTCCATGAGTGACTTAATTAATCACCATAAGACGACATTTTGAGAAAAGAGTCCGAACTTCACCTTTATTAGAATTCCTTTCGAGCGGATGACGACGAGCTTTCGCCATGTGTGTATTGGTTACGTCCAATGACGGTGCTCGCACATTAGTCACATAATTACCATATTCAAAAGGGGCGGTGCTAAAAAGTTCAGCTTATTTTTCCCAAAGACTACATAATAGCACTTGGAAGTCACTCCTTTCCACATGGAATCAGAGCGATTACTCATAATTACAGCTGTCTCGTGAAGTCATTCTCTCCACAGACGTACATTTTGTGCCAGTATTTTACAGAGACAAGTTTCGATACGAGCGAAATTGGATGGTTTCACCAGTTTGTATATAGATAAATATCCGCAAGTACGAGGAGAGCGAGAATGTTTACTTACGTCTTCAGTGTAAGTTTACTGATACTCGGCGCAGTTCAGAGCCAAGAGATCCCGAAACAGAATGGTCAGACTCCCCAGGTTGCTGCTCAAGAGCCCGTTGTCCAACAGACCATAACGGAATGCACCAACTACCGACTCACTCTCGGTAGATATACCAACTATTTCTACACCTGCTGCGGAAAGTGGAAGACCGACAATCCAGTGGCTGGAACCGAGGTAACAACATTCTTCTTAGATCTAAATTTCCCATGCGTTACATTTTGACGCTGTGGATTTGAACCCCTATCCTTCATGAGTGAATACTGGTGAAGGATCTCTACTGTTCATGCCAAGTTATCAAGCGCATCTCGGCGAGGTTTCTGTTTTCTTCCCTGTTGAGGCCTGCAAAATTTGAAACAACCAATTTACTCACAATGTTATAGTGTCCTATTACAGACACCTGTCCTGGAAAATGAAACCACCAATTTAGTTGATGTTAATATAGTCAGACAAGGAGGATCTATCTTCTTACTCGGCACAATTTTATACAAGAAAATTAATGTGCATGTAATTTCAAATCACATGTACTTTTACTTACATTAAGACTCTGTCAAATCCAAGTAGCCAACTTTCCTTCAAAACAATATCAAGAAACTTTCAGTATTTCATATCCTAAACTTCACCAGATAGATCAGATTTAAAACTTAACATACAGGAAAAAATTGCATTTGGTAGCGGTGTGTGGGACATGTGGAGTTCTTAAAAGGTTCCCTGTCACTATTTCTCTTGAAGGAATTTGTGGAAAACTGGGACTGTAACCCGAACCGAGTGTACAGCAAAGAGAACGAAACGAAATTCAGCTGTAACGGCGAGAGCGGACAGGCTGCGGCACGAGGAATGTAAGTGTGGAGAAATCTTTAAGCATTAAAAAAATAACAACAACAACAACAACAAACGAAAAGAGTTATCTGGTAGCTTTCGAACAAGGTGGCCCCCTGTCCATTTAGGCAAAGACTTTCTATTTTGTTCCAAATCTCCAATTTATCCAAAGTGTATTGGTCGATGAAATCACTGATTTTTAAGAGAATGACTACACTAACATATATATATATATAGATTCTGTTACTAAAAACTGTCAAATAATCCGATGGCAACAAGCCATTAGTCAACTGCTTTTATTTGAAATACCTAATTAAAACCACTGCATACTTCTTGTTCGTTCGCGCATATCTGGTATTAAAACTATTGTTTCCAACTTCACTTGGCCCCATAAAGAATACGGTAGTTAATAATTAAAGATTCTGAACTTAGCTAAGCATGTCGCGAAAGTTACAGCTGTGTGTTGCAAAATGTACAGCTACTTGTGTCCAGTGATGGCAAACACAGGACACGGTATTCTGCGATGTCCCTGAAGACAATGACCATATTCTCGTCAGGAAGCCCCCCCCCTGCTGTACAGAACAGATGAACATTTAAGACTGTGGCTTTTCGTCTCCCGACCTGCTGCTTACATTGCGCTTAATGAATTAGTTCCCTCTGTCAAAATGCTAAGTCAAAAACACTCGACACGGTTCAAAGTTGCAGTTGACAGACTGAGCATACACGACATGTATATCACACACGTTTAACCTCTCGAGTGGGTGAGTTGACCGGTTATGCGGTGCCGTCATGTGACGGAGTACAGGTTGGCAGGGAAACGAGCGATGACAGCACAGTTTGTCATCATTGCCATTCAATTGTTTTATCGTCTTCATTTTTTTTAGGGATGGGTCGTGAGCTTTCGAGTGAGACACGTACTGAACGAAAATAATTCCAAAAGTAATGCTTGACTTCCTCGAATATCAAATTGTAAACGCACAGCGTCCATCCACAAAACAAAACTATGGTAAACCCTAATTCGCGGTCACTCATTTAGAATAGCACAGACATGTCATAAACTTGCATGGAAATAGTTTTCACAAGAAACTTTAACTGTAGTTACGATCGACTGTGTGCAATTCAACCAAATTTATTTCCACGTCTGACCGTTCAATTGTGATCGGTATGAGATTAAAACAAGATTATAAATGGGCTCTTGTGGGTGTGTGCTGGCATTTCATTCACCAAGATCTTTGTCGGTTCTTGATACTTCTGAAAAACACCATAATGACCGCGGGAAACTATTGGGTGTGCACAGTTCATGGGAACGCATACGTATTTGGTACTCAAGCAAGCTGTACAGAGTCTAGGCCACAGGAAATGTTCATCAGCCTAAATTCAATCCGGAAGGAGGTGCAGGATGATCGGCACCCAGGTCAGGAATGCACACAAACACGTGATAACGTAGGGGGCACCTGACTAACGAACAATTTACCTTTTGGGGCAGATGAAGGTGCGATGGTCGGTATACTCTGCACCCAACAGCGACCAGCACTCAGGGATAATGCCACGGAGATAATGATCATGTCAGGGGAACCAGACCGACAAAACCGCAGACCACACCCGTAAGGGGCTTGTTTAAGGGGTGGTTATAACAGAAACTGAAAGACTGGGGTTTGTTCCCAAGTGATCCCTTCATGGAAAGCATTTCCTCCAAGCAGATAGTCATGTAACTGAAAATTTATTGAATAATAAATTCTAGTGCTTCAGAAAATTGGAAAAAACTTTCTCATTGTGGCGTTTTTGACGGTCCCTTTATAGCAAAATGATGTAGCAAAAAAAAATCAGTCTACCTTGACAAGAATCTTTACTGATATCAAACGCTATTGGCTATCTGCCATTCAGTACATTTTTTCAGCTCTGTATTGCAGCCTATAGCCTCTGATTACTTAACACCTCAACAGATGGGACGATAAAGTAATCAACTCCTCTTCTGAATTTTACTCCTTTAAAGTTTTGAAACGCGTCAACATAACTGACAAATGATCTGGCCCATACAGGAAGTCTTAGTCATTCCAAAATCCTTAATTGACTTCTGGGTAGGCTATAGTATTCAAACACGATGCTCAAGTTCAACCGCGGCAGACTATGTGCAACCCCCACGCAACCTTGGGCTCCCATCTGTTCTGCCACCGTTTCCCGTTCCGCATGTCCAACACGGGGTCACTTTCTGCCCAAATCCCGCCTGGACGGATCTGATAGCGCAAAAGGCAGCCTGTCTATATGACAAGGGAAAACAGATAACTTGACAACGCTTCAAAGGAACTCGATTAGCAAATACCCAGACCCTAGGAAACAAAAGATATTTCAATCAAAATACTTCCAACGTACTTTATAAGCCTACATTTCCAAGACTCAGATTCCTCTTTTTTTTGCATCCCGCAAGATAGACGAGGGGTACCGGTCGTGGTATGTTTAGAAAGCTCATTACTAAGATGGGACGTAACACATTTTCATGTATTAGGCGACTGACAGGTCTATATCACTGATCACAGTTGAGTATTAAAGTTTAGGGTTCGCGGGGGCACATTAAGGCCGGCTACACTTGAAGCGCAAGTAAGCTCTTTTGTCGTGGTGTGAAGGGAAACAGTGAATTTGACGTGATAAATTGGTTGAGATTATAATTAAAGATATTACAAGTCGGGCTTCTGATATTTTTTGTTTATTTGTCAATGTTCTGTTTTTCTACAGTTGTAATGCAAGATGGGGGTGGCTCGCCACAGACAACTGCTGGGCTTGGCCAAGTTGTTTTGCCGGGGCATGCGCAAAGGAGGCCAGCGAACCAGGGTAAGTTGGAATCAACACAATCGTCTTCACTCTCCCTGCAAGCAAATCTTTCCCCAACAGGTAGAATCTGATGACAGGTTGTGAAAACATAGCCCCGGATGTGGACAGTCACCAGGAAATGGCTGCACATACCAAGCGATCGTGTATCAGTCATATCGGGATTTCTAGTTTAGTTTTAATATCTTCTGCAACCTATTCCACATTAATATTTTTTAAGGGAATGAGCTCTCATTCTCCGAAGTTAGCTCTAGCAACCGTCAATTTGTTAAAAATAAGAGAAGCTGCAGTATAACTTTGTTCCCGCGGCGATCAATTGGTACGCCATACTAGCCACCTCTCTCGAAATAACGTCAGTTCATTTTGCATGTAGGCCTACGCAATGAAACAAAAAAGTGCATTGTGTGACACTGTTCTCGTCTAATATTGGTTTATCCCTGTAATCTGCAAAATGAAATCAATGCACAAGTTGACCATTATCAAGACCATTCAACTTTACCATAACGAGAAGTGATATAAAGGCCTCGTGGGAGAACATCGGATTAAGTCCTCAGCCTAATCAACGATTTCAATGACAAAGTAAATTGAATTTGTATGGTTCACTTGACGATTTCTAAATTTTGTGTGTTTCATGCCACACGCATTGATAGTTTTCCATCGAAACCCTTCGTAAAAATCCCACTTTGCATAAAAGAAATGAGCAATTAACTTAGACCCCGAGGACGAGGTTGAGCAGTGAACAGTGCAATAAAGTTGTGCACAGCAGCCTGAAGACTATCGTTTTCTTTCATCAGAGAGTGGGTAGAATTTTCTGGCAACAACAACAACAACAACAACAAACAAGCTTCCATCTGGCAAAAGCCCAAGGATGATCCACCTTAGGGATAGCAACGTTAGGAGGTTTGGCCGTGACAAGCGCTCACTATTTTACAAATAATATTGTTTTACAAAAATGAGCTCTGGGCTTGCAAAGAATGAACAAGCAATAACACCAACGATACAGCGAAATGGCACTGGGGAAATATTTGTCTAAGCCTTACTGCAGTTGGAACAGCTTCAGCAGAATGTACCTGACAGATTTAACAAAGCAAATGAGGAAACAAAACCAGCATCCTTCCTGGATGGTCCCTGTTTTGTGTAATGCGGACACGTGACAATACACTATCACGCGTTAGAGGAAAAACTGCCCAGGTTGCATGAGTTTGTAAAACAAATTCGATTCTGTGTCAATGAAGGTACAGCCCTTTCGTGTTTACAAACAAGTGCCATAATTGCTTTATGTTCAATGAGCAAAACAACTCCGTGTTGGCCTCCGTTTTGCCTCCAATGACAAATTTGTGGCCTCAACAAAGAGGAGGGTATCTTAATTTAGATTAGTGGTGACTGGTTGGCAAAAACTACAATAACAAAGCAAAGGGAACTCTTGAACCAAATTGGGCCTTTTTTAATCAAAGGTTGCCTTCTGTCATTTCCAGTTTACCAATGAATGAGCGGAAAACGGGCCATGATGACAACAAAACTTAGGCCCACTGTATATCCAAGGCTGTTTTAATTTTCTAAACGACTCTTGAGTTATAAACTCATGAGTTTTAATGCGCTGTCTGTACACACTGTCACTAGCGGGCCTCTTTTTTACAGGTTGATTCAGACTGGACTGATATCATGACGGGATAAATTAACAGATACTAGCATTCAAATGCCCGATGTGTGCGGTGACTGATTTTTAAATTTCAACTGCAAGAATGTTTAGTTACTTATTTGGCCGTTCAGGTGTCATAAAGTACAGTAAGGTCTATTACACAATGCCTAATGACGATAACGTAAATGCAGTACAGCACATGCCAATTAACTTGGCCATATGTACGCTACAGGGTGTTATAAAAGAAGAGAATGAAACCGATGAGCAACTTATGAACCCTTTCTCGACGCCTATTTTCTGCACTCTAGGTCTGCCTCCTTATTTGACGGGTTTTGTGGTGACGGTCGATGCGACGCCGACGAGAGCGCGGACTCGTGCCCCAGCGACTGCTGCCCCGAGGTAAACCCCGACGAGTGCCTGATCAAGAACAACACCTGCACCGAGGCGTGCTGCTCGGAGCCCACCTGCTGCTCCAGCTCCATCTCCAACTTCTTCAGCAACTTCTGGATCATCGTCTTCAGCGTCATTGGGGGCGTGTTCCTCCTCATCAACATCTGCTGTTGTTGCTGCTGTTACTGCCTCTTCCGGAGGTGTAAGGGGGTCAAGCGCGAGAAGAGGCACCCGACTACTGTGGATCGCCAGGACACCACGATGACGGTGCTTTCAGTCTAGCATAGCAGCAAACCGAATTGGACTGTCTGGTATCCTGACAGCAAAGTCGTTGATGTGGTTCGAGGGCCACATCATCTATGCGTGTAACGTCACGAGGTTATGTTTTTCCTTGTGAACGGTTGCAGAATGGTGTCACTTTTAGTTTACTTGCTTGCTAGGGAGCCTCAGGCTGACAGCAACTGCGATATCAGCAACTCCGATCTGGAAAAGGCTCTTTTATCATCTAATTTCGAAAAAGTACACCATAAACCCTCAAACTTTGGAACTGAATTGGTCCGATTCGATGGCCTTGTCTCTGGCCACTTCGGTCAAGTCTGAGTCCTAAATGACATAAAGGAGAGGTCTAAGTCCGTAGGTCAGGTCCGAGTCAAATTTCTGAGTCGTTCATTGCTGTTAATTACCTTTAAATTGAACAGGAAATGAGACCGATATTTCAGAACGTGAAGTAATTTGATGGAATGAATCACCTCTAGCGACACCTTCCAAGTTGACACGTAGAAGTGCTTTCAAAAGACGTATTCATTATTTTAGTTACTTCACATTAAACATACTCTTGTTTTTTCCCTAAATTATCAGTATGAGGTCTGATATAAAGTCTTGTTTTCGTTTGCAGTTTAAAATAAATCAGGGCATCGACGGCAGTGTTTTACTTATATTTAACTTAAATGTAAGATTGACTTAACTTAGTCATCGGATAATTTATTTGTTCACGGGAGATTATGTGAGATTTGGGCTTCGGGTAGTACTGCTATGTGCAAAAGCGTATTCTCACATACATCAAAGGATGAACGTCTAGTGTGCTAGTATGTTCAAATGAATTTTGCGGGTTCTAGTTTTATATGAAATCGGCAATAACATATTATTAAAAGGTGGTGTTACCTTCCTATTCTAGTTGATACAAAATATTGAACGATATTTGCACCCCACTAAGGGCACGGTCATGATGAGGACTGGTGTGATGGCTATTCTTTACCATACGGTTGTTAAACGAGCAGTCGTTCCTGTGTGAGCGGACGTGGGCGTGCAAGAGCCCTTCTTAATTCGTTGACATACCACGCCCCTAGAGGCTTCACCACTTTCAAGGTCTGTTAAGTATTCACTGGGTTCGCAATTCTAAGGGACTGGGTTTCGGTTTTTGAATGGTTGTAAAGGTTAATAGTAAGTGTCGTTTTGAAACTTTTTGAGAGGCAGTTCTTTTCTCAAACAACTAACAAGGTAACTGAGGGCATTAATTTCGTAATTAAGTATCTAAACATTATAAATGGAAATATATATTTTCAGTGGCTTTGTAAAAACTGTTAATTGATAAAATATCCTCATATTTGGTTGTAAAAGCATTAAAATTCCCAAATGATGTACATATTATTTTATTTTATTTGCAGAGGTGTAAATATTTTTTCAGGAAAAGATGTAATCTTTGTTCAGAAAGTAATATGCACTTGAAATTTTTGCTGAGTGCATTTTACTTAGCTCTTTAACCAGAATAGCACTGCCGAATAGGTGCACTTGTTAAGTAAAATAAAAAGAAGTGTTCTGTTATGTATTGGATCTGTCGTCAACATTATAATGTTTACATGCTGTATTTGGGGGGATTTTCACAGAAAATCATCATTTGTGTAAAAAAAAAAAAGAAAAAAAAAGATTATACATGTCTTGGAACTGTAGCTCTAAACCATTCTGATGTCACTATTCTGGGGATAAATTTCAAGGATACAACATTGTCATTTTTTTAAAAATCTTGGTCGGATGTGATTTCACTTTGTTTACGCGCCTCTACAATCATAGGCATTGTGACGGAAAACCATTTGAGGATATGTTTGATACAAGGACATTAGTTTTTAGGGGCAAGATTTCCACAGTTTTAATGTACATAACTTGTAACAGTCCAAATAAAGAGAGCCACAAAAATACGAAATATTTATTACTTTTATGATTGTTTTGATTACTCGTGTTGTGATTCAGTGCCACAGGAAGTGGGACGCAGTGACGGACGAAATGGCTTTTTGGCGTATATTTCTGCAATATGTAAACTAATTTTAAGCAAACTGGTAGAAAGGGGCTCGAGCAGAACTTCCACAAGGGCCATGTGTGTAAAAATAAACAAGAAAGTTAACAAAAACTGTTTGAAAGTAAGCCTTGAAAGAAGACAAACAAAAGAAACGACCGAAAATAAAACAAACGTTCCAAAAGGCAAAAAGACGCTTGGTTCATTTTCAAACGAAATAAACCTAATTGATATGAATCGCAACTTTTACAGGGAAATGTTGGCCATAACTCTACGTGCAAAATGGCACAAACTGTGAAAGGACAAAAACGCAAATCCTCTCAAACCATAAAATAATAAACAACTGGTGTGCTACGAATGTCGCTGAACCATAACATGAATTTTGCACCGAATTTCCGTTTTTCTGTACTGTCCAAACACCGAGGCACCCTGCGGTCGAAATTTCGCTTTGTTTTGTGTTGTCATTCCTTCTCAATTTATAGCTATGCCATTCCTGACCACTGAGGGCGTTTCCCCAATGTCTGTGGCACAGACATATAAACGCATAGACCGCCAGGTCCTATTCAAAACTACAGGGGGTTTTCGTGATCTGCGCGGCGCCCGACTAAAATCAAAACTATGGGCAAATTCACCCCTCGGTATAGGGAATTTACGCACAGTTGAAGAATTTCAGCCATAAAAATTATATGAAGCCATTTTTCGATTGTAAAAAAACCCTGTATTCACTTAATCTGGCCCATAGGGATTCAAAATAATGCGGTTGCAACATTTGAAAAGAAGAGATAGCAATACTGAAGGAACAAAAAAGGGGGAACGTATTTGGAAGCACATGTACATGTCTGTAGTCTGTGGGTATATGTCTGTGGTTATGGCATGGTTATGCCTGTGGTTTGCTCGTCACCCAGCGCCCGAACAGGACGCCGGGAAGAGTTTATGGCAACCTCGACTCCATGGCCTGCGTGCGCGTTCCTTCACTAGCCGTGGTCGTGTGGTTTACGAAAATGACGCTAACTGGCGATTCAGGATGAATACACATAAACGTAAACTGAATCGCCCGCGTATTTCAAGAGATACACGCTCGCGCCCCGTATTCTCTTGCACGTCACACACGCTTAAATCTGCGTCGCGCGTAAACACATTGATTAAAGGCCTAATTTAAACTCCCAAATAAGGTGCGTTCAATTAGTTTCCCTGATTACACCAGTGTAACACGCAAAGGAAGCCTCGAAATAAGGCTAATCGAACGCCCCAGCGTATTCACCAAGGCATTCTGGGAAAAAGTCAAGTTCCCGCCACATTCCATCAAGTCCATGCTCGAACAGTCCAACCATCACTACACTCGGGCAGCTTCCATAATAGTAGGATATTTAAACCATAGTTACACAATACCTAGGGGTTCAGATCGCGTAAGGCATGGTGGGAACCAAGATGGCGCGGCATTATTGTACCCATGGGAACGAGGTTGGGCTAATGGCTATGCACAGTTTTAGTGAAAGAAATAACGTCACGGGGTCACAGATACCAACGCGCAAAGCATTTGTGGGTAAATTCTGCCAGGCGCGCGAGCTCGCTCAATGCGTTACACAAGCGGCGGTTATCAATTCGATATTTTTTTCTTTTTCTTTCTCATTGCTGAAAATATTCTCACTACACTGATTAGTGATGCTTAGTAAGAAGATAAATTACCACACGGTGATTGTACAAAGGCTATGCTTTTATCATATAGCTAGGCCGACGCTTTGCCCGGGCTGAAGCATTGCCATTTGCGCGTCCAAAAATCTAAATAATGCTTCGCTAACAGGATGTGATAACCTCGCGGTCACAGGTCGTGCACAATGTAGCCAACCACAGTGCAAAGCCATCAGCCCTTCCCAGCGCGCTGTTCGGGTGCTCGGCGACGAGCAAAACGCCAGGGCATTACATTTTCTGACTACAGTGGCTTAAGTATGAAGGAGGGGTGCGTGCCTCGCCCAGAGGGGGTAAACATGAAGTGAAATATGTCGCAAAAATACATTTCTAAGGCTCCATTACAAAAGATTCACTAGGCCTACGTGTATTATTTTTAATTGTCATGTAGGGCCTACTTCGGAGTTGAGATGCATGTCCAAAAAGTGTTACTGCAGGCAAACCTATATAGAAAAGGTAAGTAGTAAGATACCTGTTTGGGCTCAACTTTCAACATTGGTTTCTTGAAAGAGAAAATTGATCTTTTAATGACGCTATCATCAAGTACTGATGGATTTTACCCTCTGAGTATTTTATTTGCTGAAAACATCGCAACAGAAAAAAATTGGCAAAGTTACCAGTGGCGTAGCCAGGTAACGCTCAATAGAGGACAAGAATTCCGGGGGCAGTTGCCCTACCCCTCCCCTCGGCTACGCACTGAGTGGTATAATGGATGGCTCTTTCAAGAACAGGGCTAGAGTAATGCATATCAACAATACAAATTGCTTGGTGACAGCCCCCCCCCTATGTATCCCAATTTTCTTGATAGGTGGGGGAGTTCCCACAGGGAGGCAGGTACCCCACCCCCACCCCCAGCTACGCCTCTTAGCAAAGCATTACGGTGTATTCTGAGAAACCCATTGGTCTCCTATTTCGGGTTAAACCATCACACCACTTCTTGTGGTGGGCCTGTTAGCAAAATAATTGCATTGTTCTAATGATGACGGGGTTCTGACAGTAACACCAGATTGTGACCTTTTGGTTACAATGCGTAAAGGGGAAACAGACGGATGACAAACGGATGTCGCGAAGCCGGAAAGACATCCTACCTACCTACACTGATTAGTGAGATAGCAAAAGGCCTCCAAGGACGCAGTCAACTATGGTCCATCGTGTACAACGCATTGCCATGTGTTTCAACTGTATTGAAATTGACTTATTGCTAAGATCGTGACTTTGCTAAAATCGACTTTGTAATTGAGCTTTTTCCCCGGGGGATGTTATTTCAGGGGTACACACTAATACTCGATCCCTTTGACTGAGGCACAGCGCCTATCGTACAATTTAAATGCTTCAGAATAAACCAGAAACGTCGTTGACACCTCATAAGATATTTTTTTCCTTTTGTATCAGAAACACTTGTCAAATCCTCCGTCTTAATCTAGTTTTTTGTTCCAGGAAGTATATTTCTGGAACTTTAACTCGTTTCCATGGACATTACATTTCTCACACTCATCAGCTACACGAGGCGACCTTTACTTCCTTCACAATTACTTTTTAAGGTGGCATGAGATTCAGTGCTTTCTTGTCTCTTCCTCCGGAAAATCAACTTCCCACCTACCCACTGCACGTACGCCCAGCACAAAGTCACAAGCGTCGCGCTGTCATTTGGTGTTCAGGGTATCGTAGTGCTGTATTTCCCGTTGCCAAATCATCTGTGCAAACATCTCTCTTTCCTGAAAACCGTACGCGTGCAAACCATGTCAGCCATTATGTGACAGTTTGCGAGCAGGCACTTCATCGAAATGGTGACTGGGGTCTCGCAAGCCGTGGCCACAGTTTGCCTCGTGGTAAATCTTCTCATCCATGGAGCAAGCTCGCAGAGTCTTATGCCGGTTGGGGACCCACCACCGCAGCCTGTCGCACAGGCCCAGACGAACGGGGACTGCTTCACCTTTCACCTTCGGGTGGAGACCAACGAGACAGACTATTTCTACACATGCTGTGACAGGATAGGTGGTGTCACCAAAAGAACAGACAGGGAAATTAAGGTAAGAACTAAATGCTAAATGACAGTGTAATAAAGCACAAAATTTGGTCCAAAACTGACGTACACAAGTCAAGTTTCAGGCTAGTTAGTGAAAAAGAATACTTGCCTCAATATCGGCTTCTTGGAGCATAAAGTTCAAGCCCCATCCACTCATTCACGTTGTCTGTTTACGCACACTTTCTACCTGTCTAAAGGCACAGGCCACTATAGACAAATTTGATCGAGAGAAATGCATTTTTTTCCTCCTGGTCTAAACTGTCACAGGTACCAACCTTCAACTACGATTGCAATCCATTCCGGCTGAACAGAACTGCACTTTCACGACAGCCAGGTTTTGCGTGCAACGACAAGGAGAAGGCAGAAAAACTGTGAGTTGCATCACGATTTTGAGGTTGTTTTTCTGGTGTTGTACGTTGTTATTTTGGTATTTTAGCGTCGAAAGTCATCTGATAAATAGCAAGGCACGGAGATGGCAAGGCAACCAAAGAGAAACTTCCCTTTCGAATCATCGATTGGTAAATTTAATCGCCTGAAAATAACACATCTTCGCGATTAATCTTAATTTCATCTGTTTCACTTCTCAAGGCGTTAAAAATAAAGATATTGAAAAAAATTGAATTTGTGTTTTGCACATTATTTAATTCGTCATATACAGGTGCAATCGCCGTTGGGGGTGGCTGAGTACTGACGATTGTTGGGTGTGGTCAGCGTGTTTCGTTGAGGCCTGCAGATTGGAGTAAGAAATAGGATTCATTTTGTTAACTCACTCATCCTACTTTTTTCAGTGTGAGATGCCCACTTTTATGGTTGAACAAAGAGGCTTCAAAGAGAAAGGCACCGGTAGCTTGTTACCCAGGATGCGGTGTATTGTTCCACAGACGAAATCGAATATTCTAAACGGAAATACGTATAGGCGTACACGCGCTGCAAAATTTTGCGGATGCGTGTTTAATATTAAAGAGCATATGCCGATTTTATGCAGAGTCAAAGACCGCACAAATAAGTGGAATGATATTTTGTAGACGAGTTAGTGGAAGGCACGTTGTTTATTCCTCAAAAATCTCGCATTCACCCCTACCTTCGTAGGTCGGCAGCAGCAGAGCTGTCATGCGGAGACGGCCAGTGTGATTTCCAAGAGAGTACGGCTAGCTGTCCGCTTGACTGTTGCCCCGGGGAAAACACAGAATGCATTATCAAGGTAAGTTAAGTCACTGAAGGGGGGAGTTCCTCCTTTAGGTATTGATGGGTCTTGGGGGTGTATATAGGCGTATCTATGAAAATACAGAATTTTGGCTCTATGTTCTAAGTATTTCAGGAAAAAACGATGACAAGATTTTCACACGCACAAAATACAAAAGCATTCTGCACAATGGGCAATCTTAGCTTCCTTTATAATTTTCCCTTTTTGATTTGCGTCATTTCGCCTCCAGAATAGTACCTGTTCCAAGTCCTGCTGCGCTGAATCCACCTGTTGCCAAGGAGACGGTCAGGCAGTCACTGCCTCTTCACAGACCTTCTGGTTGATCGTAGGCTCGGTAATCGCTGCTGTATTGTGCCTGCTGTACTGCTGCTGTTTTTGCTGTTGTTGCTGCTGCAGAAAGCTGTTCAACAGCATGTTCCATTCGTCAAAGAAGAGGCGACATTCCATCATTATATCGGGGGCAGGGGCACACTAAATGGGTAGACGTATAAAATTAGCTAGAAACTTTAAAAACAGACCAGGTATGGTACCTGAAAATCATCCAGCCGACGTGTCAACCCAACCACAGTAGCTTTACAAGTTGCCTGTGAGCACTTCGTCTGGCAAGGCCATCATTCTTCAGAACATTGCACAAAGTGTGGCAGGAACATTGTTATATGTTGACGACAAGTTGAATTGTGGATCTCAAATTTAAGAAGCTTCCATATTTTCAACAGCATTTTTAGGAGAAAAGTTTATTTTTCAAGTCGTAATTTCAACATAGTACCGTCTTAAAACTCTTCCCGAACTCCAAGTTGTAACCATCAACAAAGATTTAAACTACTTTTCGATTTAAATGTAAAAAAAATCAAATTTCACGTTAATGTGAAAGATGTGTTTTTCCTATATAAAGTATTTTTGTAAATATAAAATTAGTTTTAACTTTGGATAAAATACAGTTAATTGAATGCTGTACATATACTTCTACATCGAAGTTTTATACAAACTTGTCATTTTGCTTGCAAAATATGGATAATTTGTTTACCCATTATTTGCTTAAAACCAGTGACCACTGCCAATATGTTCTGGTTTAATACTGAATAGTAGGTTCAGATATGCTGTAAATTATGTGTAAATTAGTTTGTGTAGAAGCCGCAGACGCGCGCAAAGCTTTGAAAATGGCTTGGAGTTTCCTGTGTCGTCCACTTTGGTTTTATGCAGATTACCAGTGGGTTGATTTGGGGGTGCAGGTCTACTGAAATGAAGAGAGAAGCATTAGATATGTTCAGAAGTAGAAAGTGAAATAAGAGACGCTAAAATGTGCCAAACACGCATACACAAAACTAAGGAACGCCCAGTTTATGTCATGGTTTTTCAGATCGCCTATAAATCTTAAACTTAATACTTGTGAGGAGTATAGAAGTATGGTCGGAAAGAAACAGGAATGGATTGTAACGCTAAAAAAAGGCTAAATGACTTGTAGGATAGATTTGATTTGAAATTCATTCCTTCAATAAACAACCGTAAATACGTCAGATGTGCTTTTCGTGTGTAGCTATATGTGAAAACTTGAACCTTTATGTAGGCTTTCAAATAGGCTATGTTGCCACGGTTGCGGAAGCGGAAGTGATGGGCAAACCACTTTTTCCGATTTCTGTTACAGTCAACCAGAATCAGTTTTGCACAATGATTTCTTGAGGTTCCCTTGTGGTTTGGCTTGTGCCCAACTCAATCATACCCCAACGAGTACATTATTTTCTCCTGACCTTATAAGGACAAGAACCCATTTCAACAGAAATTCACTGAATGGCTATTTTTCCAAGGTCGTGTGGGCCGACTGAATCGCAATATCCCATTTGAAGCTGGTGGATTCTACCATTTTTTCTGTCGCTACGATTATATCTGCCCTGCCTGCGTTGTTGGACTCCGTCCAAAATTATGAGCGAACCTATCACAAAGATCCCGCAATGCAGATACAGAACTCTTCAGCTGACGGTTGAGTTCAGCACAGGACGTTGCGCTATTGCGAGTCCTCCATGTTGCATTGTATGAGTGTGAATTAATAAAGCATGCCGATCTCTTTGCATTTTTTTTTGCATTCATCTTTGCAAACCATCATCCCAAAGATTACACAAACAACTCTCCCAAAAATTTTAACCGAGGTCACATATAGTTAAGCGTTGTTTAGTGCCATTAATGCAGGCCAAGAGTGCAACCAGCCGGTGGTGGGGTTACCATGGTCACCGGATTCGTCTAACGGGACTGTCAAGGGACAGTCCCTATGTCATGGTACTTCCTTTCTAACCCTCCCCCCTCCGGAACGTACGCCCCGATCACAACATTGTGGTTGCTGAGAACAGACGGATTCGAAGGGAGAGGACGCCAAGAGTGGTTTCCGATCTCTCTATGTCTTTTGATGTCTGAATTACTGGAAAGGAACCCAGCTCAGCCCAGTGGGCACTGCATTGTGGTCGAGATACGTGCGTTCGTCCGTCTTCTTAGCCCAAAACCCCAAAGTTTTGAGGCCTACTATAATACACCTCCGCATCCGACAGTACAGCCTACTGGGCCCTCCTGATGAATCAACGGAGGCCAACTGGGCACGACGACATAAATTTTACTTGGAAACATATTTCGTGTTTCTTGCTAACATTTTACTCCTTTATTACAGTTCGAATTTTTCCTAACAAATGAGAGCAATGTTGCTGTGACGTAATTTCAGAAAGACAATTTTCATTTTAGGGAGTTTATTCAAATTATGCACCTAAGTTTGCAAAACATGTACTCGTTGAGCTAGTCAAACCAGCACCTGACCAACTATCAGATACATAGCACCGACAGACAAGAAATTTTTAAGTTAGGAGACTAAACTTCTATGATATGAGAGGGTCCCGCTGTCTTTCTCATTTTAGGGCGTGACCTTTTTTCAATATTCATGACGTTTTTCAGTGGTACAGAGGAGGCCACCTCTGTCCGCGGCTCTGTTGGCCACAAACATTATACAGCAATGAGGTCAAGCTCTGAAAGATTCTGTTTAGTTTACGATTATGAATGGAATCAATCAAAATCGATGTCACGAGACCATTTTCTTTATAGAGACGAAAAGAAGCCTTTTAACATCACTACTAGCAAGGACTCCCTATTTAGACCTGTCTGTCGACTCAGATCTAACATACAAAATGAAGAAATCTTGAAACTTTGAGGGTGCAACTGACTCACATCAAGAGTCAGGGTAAAGTGCAGTGATGGCAGCACCTAGGTGGAGGAGAAACTGTTCCATCCGGGTACAGGTCGACCGTCTTATCTCGGCCAGTATATGACGGGGCGTACAATGCGGTTGACGGACAGGTGGATCACCCACATCCCGTAAGTTGGTCTCACTGGAAGTTCTGCTATTTTCACTGCAGTGTGGACTAAAGATCGGATTGGCCCTACCACCGAAGCTTCACTTATGATACTGTTATATCATAACCCAATTTGGGCAAACGGGACGTTTTCTTTCCTGAGTCGGTTGGCAATGCCGTAACTACGAGGGCACATCCCCCGACTAGGTCTGTTCCCCGGGTGCCCCTCCCCCGTTTGAAATTAACGCAACCTATGTAATCAATGTCAAATGTAATTTATTGGCTTCGGTGATCCCTGAAAATGTTTGCACATCTAATTTCCTTCTGGGATGTGGGGTTACTTCGGATGACACTGCTTGCCCAATGACCTTTCCTCCCCACTGCGCGGCATAAGTTTCAGCCCCAGTTTCTCTGTGAAATGGGAACAGATTTTGTGCTTGTAAGTCATGTAATGGGTATAGTAGGCACTGTGTCACGACCTACGAAAAATTCGAGGGCCCCTACAAAAAGTCGAGTAGGTGTGCTATATATATTATGCGCCAACACAGACATTCACGCACGCATAAAAACGTTTCGACGTCTCACGTTGCACTACCCCAAATACGCGCCCATAGAAAACAGTGAAAAATAAGCACGAAATAGCGCCACCTGTTGACCCTCGGGAAGAGGTTGGCCGCGTGAGTTTGCCTTAGCTTTACCCGAAGATACCCCGCAAAATAGTGGTAAAACTAAGCGCTCAGTTCTGAATGTAGCTGCCCACCTCTATCCCAAATTTGGCCTGCAATTCGGGGCTTTTTGTGAAAGAATAAATCCCCCGAACTGGAAACTCGGAAATTCGGCACTTATAAAAATATTTCTATGATCCCTCCTGATGGCATGTCTTATTGTAAAAACCCCGTGGGATTACAAAATATTAATGAGCTCCCTTGTCATAGCTTACTCCAATTTAACTTCAGCACGAAATGCAAATCTCAAGCGCAATTTCGTACTATTACGTTGCTGCTTGTAGGGCCCAGCTAACTATAGAGGGCGGAGTAAAGGACTAGTGAGCTGAGCTACGTTCAATTTTTAAAGTGCGTGAACGAGCCAAAGGTCAAAAGGTGGATGACCTAACCAGACGTCATGCACGTGGATTTGTTTACTGGCAGTGAGTGAGCGAGCGCATAGACCTTTTCTCCTCCTCCTGGTCTTTGGTGAGCAGGATTTCATTAACAACGAAGATGCTTTATTTTATCGGTCTTGGACTGGGTGATGCTCAAGACATCACAGTTAAAGGGTTAGAAGTTGTCAAGAGAGCGAAGAAGGTGTACCTCGAGGCGTATACATCGATTCTTACTGTGGGAAAAGAAGGTTTAGTAAGTACAATATTCTTCAGTTTCACTTTTAATTTGATGGTGTGTACTGTGGTTACACCCACCCCTGTTACGCCCCCAACTATAGGACAGTCCCAAGTATATAGTTGGGCCATGGTTGGGCCCATTCCAACTAGAGTGCTACAGTTGGGCCCAGCGGCCCAACTACAGCACGGATGTCCAGTGTACTAGCGCCCAGCATGTACCCCAGATGGACCCCACAATTCTGGGGGTACGGGAGATGCCTGTCAGGCTATTTTTCATTACAGATAGCCCAATGCATCAAATGGGATTGAGCACAATTATGCACAGGTTTTGGGTGTCCTTAGGTCATGTCACTGTCAGAATGTTGTTTTTATTGATTAACATTTTTCAGGAGGAATTCTATGGCAGGGACTTGATTCTAGCAGACAGGGACATGGTTGAGCAGCAATCGGATGAACTTTTCAGAGATGCTCATGCTGAAGACATTGCGTTCCTTGTTGTTGGAGACCCATTTGGGTAAAGGAGAAACATTTTCATCTTTGCTTTATAGTCTAATCTTGGCAACCCAAGAGCTAAACTAATACATTGTGAATAACTGTATTATTTTTGTGCATTATATTAGCGTACTCAATTGCTTTCATGAGAATGTCTACAGACCTGAAGCATTTGTGGGAATGGGTGACAGGTGCCCATGGCAGCAGTCGCACTCAAGCGTGCATGAGTAATTCCAGAAATTAGGGGTCCATTTTTTTGGTGTCCCTGTCACATCTGACATATGATTGTGTAAGTTCAGAACACATTTTCTAATTTCCAAGAGTGCTGAATTAATGCAAATTACCTGTCAAACAGATAGTAATAGTTTGAAATCAATTCCGGACATATTTCCATGTCAAATAACAAAGGTCAGATGTAACAGGGACAGGAAAACGTCACACTTTTGGACCGCTAATCTCTGGAATTACCCACATAGGTGTCATGTCACTGCACTACCAAATGTCACTGCAGAACTGATGTTTGTGCATGAAGTTATGGCTTGAATTCGAGGTACATTCTTGAATTGATTTGTAGTTCCATTGCATTTCGGCATGGAGTCATAAACACCTACTCTACTTCATGCCCCACCCTTTCAAATGATCTCCAAAGGTAGTAAATTTGTGACTACTTGTAATGGGACAGAAAACGTTTGATGTTGTTCTTTCAACTCCTATTGAACAGTGCAACGACCCACACTGATTTGGCCCTCAGAGCACGACGGGAAGGGATTGAGTACAAGGTGATTCACAATGCATCAATCATGAATGCCATTGGATGCTGTGGTCTACAGGTAGGTCAGAAATTTGCATTGCTCATTTGCATATTTGAAAGGTTTATGTTAGGAACCATCCAAACATGGATAATTAGTTTTAGGGACTGTCAGTGATTAAGCTTTCATGTTGAAGTGAAATAATGTTTTTGCAATTTTTGATGGAATACACTGTATTCATTTACACCCCTCGTCCAAACCTGACATTTCCTGGCTAGAAACAATAATTTTGCCTTGTCCGTTAGTCTCAAAGTTGAAGAGTAAATTCAAGAAGGACAAAGGTGAAAATGGAACACTTTGACATTAGAGTTTAATTCTTTGCTTTTTTGAGCATTTTTATAAAATGTCATTCAAAGAGTTTGGGTTAGCCTTAAGATATCACATTCACTGATGCTTTTGTTTATTTATCGCTGAACTATAATTCCGGGTACTTTTTCTTTCAAAGGATAATCATGGAATTGAATTTCTGGTCAGTTCAGTTCAGTTGATTTTATTTTCCAATTATGTATGCCAGAGCAGTACAGAAATTGAGACATTTGAATGGAACAATTAATTAACAATAAATGGAGGAGGTCTGCATCACACAGAGCTTGTAAACCGGAGACCTCCTTAAAATGGTGTACTTATACATTGGACCACATAAAAAAATTACTTGTGTTCCCTATTACACTGAAAAATAAATAAGCGTGGTTGGTTGGGGAAAATATTTTTTTTACTCTACATTTTTATAGCCTAAAAAATTAGGGTCGGATGATGGTCTGTTTTTTTTCGGGGGGGGGCACAGTGTCAGATTAATACTGTACAATACTGTAATACTGTGTGTCACAAATTAATCAAGCCAAAGATTATTGTATTGCTATCCATCTCATGCAAAAAAAATTCAAACAATACCATGTACAGGACGATGTACACAATATGAGGCTCGGGGCAAGGCACCATAAGTTTTTATATTTTATTGATTTGTTGAATAAAAAGATATAGGTTCCGCGTGATTTTCTAGGTTGGGTTGGGTAACTGGAAACCACAGCTATTTTTTGTTTGGCCTTGTTGAAAATTACATTTACATAATTATAGTGGCAAAAGAAGTACACAATATTTTAGTGAATAATTTAATGCTACACACAAAGAGACATAAGGCAAAGCTGACAAGGACAAAACAACAAGAAGTCCAATCAGAAATGATCACAATTAGAGTGAAGAAATGAAAATAAGATAAATCACTCTTGTCAATATTTATCCACAAGCCAAACTGTAAGTTGTTTCTTTAAGACAGACAAACTATGAATTGATTTAAGATTGTTACTTAAAGAATCCCAAAATTTAGGACTCTGAAAAGATACACAATTAAACGATTAATAAGCAAGCAGACATAGCATGGAAAAATCTCTAGGGTGAAACCCCCCCCCACAAAAGAGAAATCAGGACACAAAAGCTTCCGTCAATTTCCACCCTCTTGCAAAGCAAATACTTTGACAAGAGGACTCAAAAGACCACTCGTACCAAATCCATCTCTTTTCATGCCAGTTGTACAACTTTGGTGAGACAGTCTCCATTGTGTTTTGGACCGACACCTGGTCGCCAGACAGTTACTACGACAAGATAGCCAGCAACATGCGGAACGGTCTGCACTCGCTCTGTCTCCTGGACATCAAAGTCAAAGAACAGTCCATCGAGAACATGATGAGGTGAGAAGTGTTTGAGTTTAGCAGCTCTGTGCTCAGGGCAGGGTTGGAGTAAATGTCCCTTGGGCTGAGGCAATAGTAGTTGGCAATAGTACCTTGGGCCCTACTCATCCACCCTAGGTACCAGAGTCACTTTCATAGCACTGGTAAGGAGTGGAGCTCTGTACTTCATGTTGATGCTAAGCAACGTGTACCAACTTGTTTGAAGCTTTCCTGCAATAGAGAGACATGTATAGTGTTAAAATCTCTCTGTTTTGTAAAAACAATTTTTTTTAATAATGAGAGAAAGGCAATAATCTGTGTATTTCTTTTCCCTTCTAGCCAAAAGCTTGTAAAAAGCCTCTATATTTAGCATTTTCTTAACAGTAATTCAAGTTTTTCACACTGCATTAACATAATTCTGAGCAGAGAACATTTTTCCCCCCCCCCTCCAACAGAGGGAGGAAGATCTATGAGCCACCTCGCTACATGACGGTCAGCCAGGCAGCCTCACAACTGATCAAAATACTGGAAAGGAAAAGGGAATCCGAAGATCAAGAAAACTTAGGTATTACAACATCAAGTGTGAATTGCATCAGTTTCAAGTATTTGGTGACTTTAGATTGGTTTGCAAGCAACTACAGTTGCGAAATCTTTCTTTTTTTAGTGTAAGGTCATTAACCACTACCAGCCGGGG